TAAAGCGTGCCCGAGTCTATCAGATGAAAAGGATCACGTCTTTAGGAGTCTTGAGGTCACCCACACACACACACACACACACACACTCACAAACGCGCAGCAATTAATAAATAATTTCTGCATCTTCCGTTTTGATTGAAAGTTCACGCCAAGGAGCGATCGCCAGAAGCACCTTTAGTACTAAAAGTTGCCGAACAACATTTCTTTCTGGGGAATACAAATCGCCTCATTAAAAAATCAAGATCGGTCACTTGGGCTGGGAAAATACATAAAAATTACTGCAATGCTACCGATTACTTATAATTCAAAAAGTAACGGCGTCGCTTAGATTTTAATTCCCACAGAAGTTAAAGCTCGATTTCCTCCACTTTTTGTGCTCATTTGAAGAACAACAGCTTTGAAGGAAAACCTGTTGGCGACGATAATTTGCATATTTGAAGGAGTTTACATAATTACTCAGTCCGCCCGAGTGTCAAGTTCATGGCAATTAGTCTCTCTCCGGGTGACACATTTATGAGTGTTTAAAAGGTGGGTGGATATATATTTTTTTTTCAAAAGGTCACGCACCTTTCTTCGGGTCGGCCACAGCGGGAGGCGTTTCCGCGTTTTGTGTATAATGATGTCTCAATTTCCGAGAAACGACACCAGCCGCAATGCGAATTTTATTTATATGAAAAGTTTCGCTTGTTTTTCCGTGTCTCAATTACGGTAGCTGTCAACGAGAAAAGCTAGAGAGGGCAATAATTGCGGTCGGATGAAGGGAAAAAAAGCGCACACAAATTGCACGTGCTCTCCCGTTGTGAATGAATGTGGGCAAATAAAAGGATAACAACAACAACGACAGACAGCTTTGGGAATTACAAAAATGGCAAAAAAGTGAGAACTGGCATGTTGAGTCAAATTGTAAAGCGGACAAAAACATTGATTGAAATTTGTTTTATTCAAAACGGTTCTGTTTCTTGACATAAAACGTTTCTTTGACAAAGAAAACAAGTTGATTTAACCAACGCCAGAATTAATCCTTCAATTTTTTCGTGGTATAAATAAATTATTAATTGAAACACTGCTGATGATTTCAATTAAATGTTTAATAAAATTATTATTTATTTAACAGAAAAAGAAATATTTAAAAAATATCTTTTAATTAATCAATAAATGTCAACCAAATTAAAGTAACTTTAATCATTTTAAACTAATTAATTATTTACAAGAAACCAGAATTTCCAATTTAAAGAGCTTGAATTATAGATCGAATATTAACCTCAGAATTTGATGAATTAACACGCGTTGCTTGTAAATATTCTGCAAACGATCTTTATCCATTATACAAAAAAGGGCATATCCGCCTGAGGTCTGCTCTTGACCTTTCAACGCGCGCGCCGTCGGTTGTGTGGGAGCGACGAGCGAGCGTTCGCCAAAATCAAACACCGCACAACTCACCTGCTGATGAACGACCTTATTTAGTATATAAATTAGCAGATTCGAACAAATATTTTCCTTTCGCCGGAGAGTGTGGGAAACGTTTTTGTTCGCCCGCGCCGTAAATCACCAAGTAATGAGCGGAGGAAAAAATACAAAACACGCGTCTAAATGCGCTTAATCGCTCTGAGAACTTGACAGTTATGCAATTGTGCGGCACACCGAAGGCGACAAAGGTGAGGAATGGGGGCACTTCCTCCTCGCACTCTAATTGAAATTAAAGCACCGACAGCGGAATCATTTTCTTGAACAACCGTTTTATTTGCTCCATTAGGCTTTGTCGCAATTGCAAGACGCAAAGATCGGAAGAAGAAGCGTCCAGTTATCCGCCTTAGCCTTTTGGCCTCGTTTTATCTCGGAAATTAATAGCTCTCTTAAGAGGGTAGCATAATTTATTTCTATCAACTTGTTCTCAGTAAAAATTGCTTTGGTTTTCCTCCGTCTCGACTTTCCTTATTTGCGTTGACGACCGTTTTGTCTCCGCAAGGCGTGTTGCAGTTTGAATTTGCACCTTTGTATAAATAGAAGGAGAGGTTCAAAGACACTTGATGAATTTCTATAAAAAAGAATAAATGTAAGTTTTTTTTATTATTAAAAACAAAAAACAAACAGTCACGATTTAGTACAAAATTTTGACAAATTGCCTGTTTTTAGGGAAAATATAAACACCGCCTTTGCTTATCTACGCTTTTTAATTACAGTATAAAATTAAATTCCCATATTTCGTTCTCTGCATTCTTCCTTAATGGCTGATGTGCACGTCAATATATGATAAAATGAATGCTGAAAATTCGCCTGAATTCATTCACCTCTCGACCTTTCTCTCTGCTCACATGAGTGTATTTAATCTCAGGGTCATCTCAGCGTTCTCCTTTTTCGCTTGCAATTATGTCCACGTGCTTTTTTTTATTCCATTCCACTCTCGATTTGTATTTATCCAACATGTTCATTTCGGCATACAAATAATTATATGCTAATAAAAGCCGTCACAGTTTGACGCCCTCCAAGGTAGAGAGAGACTTGGTCCATCTGCAGGAACCGCTCATTATTCTCTTCGGGAGGCAGTTTTTTTTCTCTTCGACTCTGGAATTAGCTGCACGCACGGCGTAATTAGAAGCGCACAAAAAGAGCCAAATTTCCTTCTTTCTTTTCTAATGAACAGGTCACGCAGCAAAAATTCTAGACGTGCATTAAATAATTTCTTTCCCGCCTCGGGTTTGTTTTTGATTCCCACTAAATTGGCATCGGTTTTTGGTGATGATTGAATTTTTTTAATGGGCCTCTCTTGTTTGCCAAGTTTCGTCTTAATTATTATTTCGACAGATCCGTTGAAAAATTAATTGCCAATCGCGAAATTCTTGTTAACGAAGAACGGGCGAAAATGCTTCGAATATTTCATCTCCTTCTTTGATGAGGAGCTTATGATACCTAAATTGGAATTAAAACTTCTCAATAAGATCAATGAAATTTTTTTATGTTGACTGACCTATCGATTTTATTATTCCTTCTTACGATAAATTGAAAGTTTTGGTGAAATTTTTATCAATTTTGGTCGGGCCAACTTTGAAAACAATATTAAACTTCAAAAATTCAGTTCAGTTTCTTCTAGATTTTATATCTACAAACAATGCTAAAGTAAGGGAAAAATTACCATTTAAATAGATCGGGTCTTTTTTTGCAATCGACGAAGCTTTTGCTTTTAATTGAAAGCCACAAGAATTCACAGTCTGCTGCGTATTGTACGAATCGATGAGGTGCATTGACTGCACCTCTTCTTCCTTTCTTTGCACTCGTGTGTAGCGGTTTTCATTTCCACGCACACACAAATGTGCGTTCGCCGCGATCACGTGGCTCGAAAATGCGACCCGCACTTTTTGCTCCGCGTATTATTTTTATATAACAACAAAGAAAGGCGGACAAAAAGAGAGGTGATGATGTTATTAAGGCGGTGATTAATCGACGGTTATATTGTGCATTAGTGACGCCGGCGATTGATGGATTGCACCAGACGTACTGTTATAGATGCATTCTTTTTTGGCTTCTGTCTCACACAAGAATGGCCATTTGACAAAAAAAAATTATAATTTGATCTAGATATAAAAGATTTTATTTTAATAAAAACTTCAGTTTTCAAGTTTCATTTTTTTTTCTTAGAGAGACATTGCAATATGTACAGAAACTTTTATTTTGAACTGAAATTTAAAATAAAAGCGACAACTTTTTTCAATATATTTCATGAGCTCTATTAGAACTTCCCTTTCAAAGCTTGGTATTATAATTGTGATTTATGAAGTAAACTTCTGACAATTTGAATGAATCAAATTGAGCATAGCTCTCGGTCCGAACGTGCAATTCATGGGCTGCAGAATTTAATTTCATTGTAATTTTCCAGCGTTTGCACACACACCAAAGAATTGGTGCGCGATTGAAAAGCAGCGTTCGGATGAATTTTCCCAGCTAGGAAGGCCGGCCGGCCGGCCGGGCGCATTGTCCGTTGAGATGTAGAAAAAGCCGAAAAAAAGTCATTGGACTTGGTGTCTTTAGGACACATTTGTTCGAATGTGATCACGAATGCATGGCTGCGCGGCCTAGCATGACTAGGAAGGCCTCCGCAGAGCTTTGTGCTTTGGAGGAGCTCAGCAGCGTAACATCGGCGTGAACATCAGCTGGTTCCTTTTTCCTCTCACAGACCCAAACAATTCCGCTCTTTCACGCTCCGAACGAGATTACTTTAGCCAAGAGTGCAAATTTATTTTCCAAACCTGCTAATTGTTTAACTCGCCAAGGGTACTTACGAGCAGGTAATTGAGGAAAGGATGAAATGGAAAGTTGTTAAAAGGAGAAGGTTGTAAAAATTTAAAGCAGGCGAGGTGAATGAAAGAACCTCTTCAAAATTTAATTGCAAAGTGTTTCTGATTAATTTTCTTTTAAGTGCAACAATTTCCTCCAAAATCGTGTAATTTAATTTATTGGAGGGCCATTTATAATGTGCGTCAACAAGCAGTAATTTACTCTCAAAACGAGGCAGAGAGAAAAAAAGAAGAGAAGAACCTCGGAATGAAAAAGTCACGTTATGCTGTTGTGCGTCTTTGGTTGGAAAAAAAAACTCCCATAATTCGATGCACGACTCTGTGATCTTTATCGCCGGCGCCAAAATAGAAAACAACAGTTTCGGTTTCTTCCTCCGTAGGCAAATTAGGCGAAATTAAGCGCAATTATATGCGTGTACGGTTTCTCGTTTCAATTATGAGCCCGAAAGTGTTGTTTTTTCCTCTGCGGCAACGAGATTTTTATCTCCCGCTTTTTGTGCGTGGCTCCAACAATTTTATGGCCCTTATAATTGCCAACTTGTCAGGCTCAGAAACAGGTACTTGAACCCACCATAATTTTTAATGAGTAATAATTTAATCATGATGGAAAATTTGCAATATTTCATAATTTGATCGGGCCCGGCTCTTAAACACTAAATTGCTCATGTAATTTTTGTTTTTAAACTAAAATTGCTGCTTGTTTTGTTTCAGGATGGTTCCCAGAGGAGCATTAGTTTGCATCTTTGTGATAGTGGGCTCGGTGCTGGCCCAGCAGGACAACTGCGACCCCGACATGATCGGCTTCGAAATGATCACGGGCTACGTTTATTCCTCCCCAAAGGACCTCCTGGACTCGATCCCAGGCACCCTGATGCTCACCGACTGCCTCGAGGCTTGCCAGACTAACGAGCAGTGCAAGGCGGTCAACTACGAGACCGGCCTTTGCGTCCTTTTCTCCAGCACTGCCGATCAGCAACCAGGTAAAAATCTAACTCACTCTCCTCAATTATGCCATTCAAAAATAAATAAATTATATAAAAACTAGCTTCTTAGCAGGGTAATTTTTTGAAGATCATAAAAATAAATCAGGTTTTGAAAAAAAAAATTATAAAAAGGAATTTTTGAATCAATTTATACTCATTATTCAGTTCAATTATTAATAATTTTTTTAAAATTTCAAAAACCACGCATTTAATTTAATTAAATCGCTGGTTTGAAATGTAATAATATTAACATTTTTAAAGCATAAAAGATGCCTAGAACTTCAATATTTCGTTTTGCAGCTAAAGGATTTGTAAAAGATTACATCACTTTAGATTTTACGATAAAGGAAGCTCATTATTAACGGCTTTAATATAGATTTAATCGTTTTCAATGAAACAAATCGGAGTTGATACTTTTTCTCAGAGTTTAAGATGAAAATTAACTGCATCTCTCGCGACGCGTCTCTTTAAAGCTTTTTTATACAAAATACAAGTTTTCTTTGTCAGTTATATTTCCAATTTGTTGCCGCTCTTTCGTGAGACTGGCAGCAGCATCAATATATGCATTTGTAGCAGACGTGCAGTTGTCAGGTGCGCGTTTCCAGGAAAACGCCGCCGATCGCAACAAGCAAATATTTCTCTAAGCCCGGCAAACAATGAGCGCGCAACAGTAAACGCATTGCCTGCCGCGCAGACAAGACAAATGTTGACATTTCGACAGCCAAGCACAGAGGACGGGATAAGGTCAATTTTTTTTCAACATCTCGTCTTAAATTACAGAAATGGTAAACGCACTAACTGGTTTTCGCATACTAATGAGGAGTTAATCGGTTTTTATTTAAAGTGAAATCGATCCGAGAAAATGTATTTTTCATTTTTCCTCCTAAAAATAAATAAATCTTCTCAACCCGAGGAATTTTCGTGCATTATTTTAACAAGGGTGGGTATTCAGGTGCCGCGGCAAACCAAATAATTGAGTCGTCTCAAGTGTGTTTGTTTTGCACGCAGACGGACACGCTCGGCTGGTGCATTCAAATCGGCATTACATGCTTTGCCGGACGCGCTCAAATAAGCATTCATCCGCGGCGCGATGCCCGTCGGCTTTAATTGAGCAAACTAAATGCTAAATGCAGATTCGAATACAACGCTGAAGGATCACGAGACGAGCGAATCTTTTGGATAAATAAATTGCAGCGATTCATCGGACTTGACAAGTTCATTCAAGACCAAATTTAAACCAAACAAAGAACAATCAGTTTTTTTTCTTGCCATTTGCATTTTTCATCTTAAAATTAGATGCTTCGCCGTTATTTAATCTCCTATTTTCCTTGCCCGTCCGCAGGGTCTGTTGGCGGCAATTTTTCATTCAATTCTTTTTCGGGGATTAAGGCGCTCTCGTGTTTTGATTTAGAGACTTGTCTGCGCACCGTAATTTGAGATGCATTCGCGCTGCTGCACCACCCGCGGCACAATTATAAAACCGAAACGTAGCGGGAGATGCGACCAGGGGTATTAATTACCGCGAGCACATGCTTAATGATGAGTGGCATTCAAAATAGCCTCCAGAATTTCGATGCTAAAACCACGAGAATAAATTTATCCCTTTTATTGCCCTTCGTTTCCAATTTTTACATAACCAAAGGGTATACAAAGATGAGAAGAAATAATTTTATTCAAACATTATTTTCTGTTTTTCTATTTATTTAGAATTTTCTTGTGCGACGGTTGAAAGTAATCATGAAAATTTAAATTTTTTAAATTGTTGTTGTTCATTTAAAATATAATATTATTTAATAATAAATTGTCTTGCAGAGGCTCTGAGTTCGTCGCAGTTCCCTGTGTTCACGATCTACGCCCAGAAGAGCTGTTTCATGGTGAAGCCCTGCGAAAGGGCGTGGTGCTTTGACAGGGTGCCAGGGTACACCCTTAAGGGCTACACCAGGGCGACCCACACGGCCTCCTCGCGCCAAGAGTGCCTCGAGCTCTGTCTCGGAGAGCGCGAGTTCCCCTGCAGGTACGTCTCAAAAAATTATTAATTAAATCACACGATGAGTGATTTGCAATTTACTTCAACCGCAATAAAGGCACGCTTTGTTGACAAAAAAACAAGTCGCAATTACTCGGCGCACTTTTAATTCATGAGAAGGCGATTTTATCAAATTTAATTCGAGCAGAGTTAGTTGAATGAATTATTCAATGCGGTTTTTTTTTCATCAGTCTGATTAAATTTATAGGCTCGTCAGACAGATGCAATGGTGGCAAAATCTCACGTCGTTAAAGTTGGTTTTTGCCAAGCATGAAAAATTCAGCTTGGGGCAAACCTGCTCTGCATTTTTATTAAAGTGCCAATAAAAATTCTGCAAACATTTAAAATCCGCTGGCGGAGTGAAATTTAAAAAAAAACTGCAATATCGGCACATTTAATTGAAACTCGGTTTCTAAATGGATGCGGAAATTTTTATTGATTTCCGCCAGCATCACAGTTTGCGCCACATTTTTCGCAACAGCTTTCATTCATTATCGCTAATTGTGTTCGAGTTAGTAATTATTTTTCCATACAGCTCCACTTTTAGTATTTATCATTCATTGAAGCCCGCAGTAGATTTAATAAAAGTAACCTTGATTTGTTGAATGCAAATTTTACTGTTATAGAATTAGAAAAAAATTTGCAAAGAAATTGAAAATGAAAATCATTTCTTGTTTGAGATCTTCTATAATGAATTTTGTAAATTCCAGAATGACCAAAGAAGTCTTAATTTTAAATCTCTCTGAATGAATTAATTTATCGAAGCTGTAAAGCAGTAATATTTAAATTCGCTTGACCGCAATAAAAATTCTAGAAGTTTTGAAATTGAATGCGAACAGCGGTTCTTGAAAGTTTCCAACTTTTTTTGCATCATAAAAAACCGATTCGGGCTGTCAAGGCAAAATTTAAGTAAAATACGGTCGGATGTTGTCAGCTGAAATTCGCGCAGACATACCAGTTTGCCGCCGGTGTGCCTTATACGGGCAGGGGGGTAATGCCCTGATTGCCGCGGCAATATGAAGCGCAGAGATAAAACGTGTACATCATCAATTGCGGTTTTTAAAACATACGCACAGAACAAATAAGTTCTTTTTGGATCTTCTGAAATTCTCCCACGAGTGACACATGTTTGAAGGAATAAAAAAAAAAAACGATCGGCCTTTTTGGCGAGCGAGCCAAATTCTTAACGGCATCACACCCGCCAGCGACAATTTGACAGAATTTTTTAAATTTATCTCTCAATACATAAATATTTATCAAGAAAAGCCGCGCCAAACCGATAATTTGGAGTAATTTTACGTTTTCAGTCAAAACATATCTCGTGATTCAGGAGCCCCCGTGTGTATCATTAAGTGAGCGCAAACAGTGCACTGTCATGGCCTACACATTTCATATTAGAAACAAGAAAAGCGTGAGCAAAGTAATGACACAGGCGCGCGAGATGAAATGATTTACTTTTGCGGCCGGCAGGGAGTCACGACGAATTATGGAATTGACGGCGATCGTTCCTCAACATTAATTCGAGGAAATGGGAAATTTTCAACATGGAAACTTGCTTGTGCAGTGATTTGAGAATTTACAATTTGAATGACATGTGAAAAGTGCTTTTGCATCTGTTCAACTTTTATTAACTCAATTACGACGTCTGCCAACTGGAATTCAGCGAACCAATGTAGAGTTTTCCAAAGCTGCAATTTCACCGAATCAACACATTTTTTAATAATAATCTTGTTTTATTTTCTTTTTAAAAAACGATTCTTTTGACAGAAATGAAAAAAATTAAATACCACTTTTGGTGCACCAAATGATTCAAACACATTTTTAAACCATCGCACATCTGAGTTTGGAACACTCTTTACGCCGTTTAGACTTTGGTAAATTTTAAATTCTTGCTCTCAAGATTTTATTTTCGCTCCATGCGGCCCATGCACGAAATTAAACAGACAATCTCACGAAGCACTTTGCCGAAATTAATTGAAAATGAGAATTCCAAGCCGTACCATTTCGGCCGAACATGAAAGCAGCTGTGCGCGGTGAGCATACAAAAGAGAAGGAATGAGCGTGAAATTTATTCCTCTCTTTTGTTTACAGTTAAATCGCGTCTTGGCTAGGCCGGCACCACACGCGGCGGCGGAAATTAGGGTGTATAGAAACAATGAATTTGGCGAGCAGCATTGTTGCCGATTATACAACTATAATTGATTTCATTACTGTAGCCTCAATACATCTTACGGTACTTGCGAGCAGGAAGGAAATTGCATCTCGCTGCGATTCCGCACACACATGCATATGTTTATTTTCTTGACCTAAAGACTGACTTCTTATAAACTTATGTAACGCGTGGAACATAACTGGAATCGCCGTGGGTTGCACGCGTGAGTCATAAAAGAAGAAGCAGGTTGGGCGCGACAAAATTGCGGAAACTGGCTCGCTGCTGGGTTAATGACTTGCGTGCCAAACTCGCGCGATCAGCCTCAATGGCCGCCGATTGTCCTTTTCTTGGCCGCCGAAATATGTACCGGCGAAACCCGTTTCGTGGGCGAATAAACGATTTATTTATTCCTTTTCGTCTGCAGGTCGGCCAACTACAACAATGGCACCGGCGAGTGCGCCCTTTCCGACATGGACCGCATCACCCTGAGTGGAACCGGCGCCTTCCAAAGGGCGGGAACGGTCAATTTGAAGAAGAAGAGGCAGGAGGACGACGTCCCTGAGCAGATCGAACTCGACATGGACTACGATTATCTTGAGAACAACTGCGTCGACGAACCCTCAAAGATGTGCGACTTCCGAAGGGTAAGAACAATAAAATTGTTCTAAATGACTTTCTTACAAAAAGAATTAGAATAGAAATAAAATCGACTTTTTGGCCGAAATTCAAACTTTCAACAGAATTATAAATTTAGATTTCTCATTTGAGGAATAACCAAATTATTCTAATATTCAGGTTGGCGGGCGGATTTTGAAGACGGTGGACGCCGTGTACCAGGACGTGGACTCTCTGGAGGAGTGTCGCGAGTTGTGTTTGGCGGCGCCGTTCAAGTGCCGCAGCTACGACTTTGGCGACACCGGCGAGAACGTGTGCCGCCTGTCGCACCACTCGCGCTCCACCCTGGGCGGCTCCGTCGGCGACCCCTACCTGATGGTGCCCGAGGCCAACACCTACGAGCTGTGGTCGTGCTACAACGTGAGCGTCGAGTGCCGCTCGTCGGGCATGGTGGCCAAAATCCAGACGACCAAACTCTTCAACGGAAAGGTCTACGTCAAGGGCAGCCCCAACTCGTGCGCCAGGGACGTGAGCCGCAGCCTCGAGTTCGAGCTGCGCATGCCCTACGACGACATCGAGTGCAACGTCAAGCGCGAGGGCCTTGGAAGGTACGTTAATTTTCAATAATTGGTTTTTAAGACAGTAGAATGATTTGAATCTTTTCAATTCTAAGATGCAACGCAAAAAATACTGGCTTTGAAAAATTCAAAATTGAATCAGTCTAGCGATCAAAGATTTGTAAAGTAGGCAACTGAAGCCATTTCTTAGTGTTTTTGCATTTTTTTGATCGCCTGATTGAACCAATTTTGATTTTTTTCCAACAATAGTATTTTTTATTTAGCATCTTAGGATTGAAAAGATACAAACAATGTTCTTGAATTTTGGTGCGTTGAAAGGGAACCTTTGTGTATTGATCGGTGAACTTTGCAGGTTCGGAAACGCCGTCGTCATCCAGCACCACCCCAACATCGTGACCAGCTCTGACCTGGGCCTGGCCGTCAGCTGCCAGTACGACCTGAGCAACATGACCGTCGCCAACGAGCTCGACCTCAAGGTTCAGGATCCCGAACCCGGCGACGGACCCGGACTCACCCACGAGGTTGTTGTCGACTCTCCCAGCGTCGCCATGCGAATCACCGTGAGTGCATTTTAACATTTATTTAGTGAAAAACCTCTGTCAAAAATAAGTTTGACTCTCCTACCAAATGTTTCAAACTTTCAATTTTGAGTTAAATACAATCATGGCTGCTCATATTTGACTAAAAAATGTTGAAAATATCCCCGTTTAAAAAAAAGTTTTAGTGCATCTACACTGATAAATTATTAACTTATTGGGAAAAAAACGAAATAAAGTTATATTTTTTTTTATTGATTCCAACGCTACTTTGATATTTATAAAATGGCTAAATTTTGACAAATTTTCAAAAAAAAAAAAAAAAAAACAAGAAAAGAATAGCAGTTTTTTAAGACAGATTTTTATGTGAATTAACAAAACCAGGCAAGTTTTTCCCTTGAATTGAACTTATTTTCTCGTACATTATTCATAGATTTTTCTGTTGACCAAAGTGATCTTTAACGGTTATTTTGATAATTCTTCAACGACTAAATATAAACAAATTAATTAGATTTATACAATTTCAGGAACGTGTCACTTCTGAGGACTTTGACGCGCAGCTGCTGCGCGACCCTGCCCGCCCCGAGGCGGACATGCCTGTCAACGCCGGACTTCCCGAAGCTCGCGTCGGAGACCCTCTTGCCCTGCAATTCGTCATCATGGACCCCGAGAGCCCCTACGAGATCTTTGTGCGCGATTTAGTCGCCATGGACGGAGCGGACGGAGCCGAAATTCAGCTGATCGATGAGCGCGGCTGCCCCACTGACAGCTTCATCATGGGACCTTTGAATAAAATGGGCAAGGTGAGAAAAAGAGATTTTCGGGAAAAATTTGGATAAACTTAGTTAAAATCACTTAATTTAAAAGACAAAATTAAGTTTTAATCTTTCCTTTAAAGTTGATTAAATTGAAAATTTTCCTATTTGCCAATAAAATTGAAAAATAATCTCAGATTAAGGAAGATTTTTCAATTATAATCTTTGTGATTTTTTGCTAATTTTAGGATTTAAAAATTTCCATTTTAATTGAAAAAAGAGGGGAATGCTAATTTCAAAACCAATTTTAAATTTCATTAGAAACAAGTTTTAATGAATTAGAGAATAAATTAGTCTGAAGTCCAGTTTCAATGATTTTTATTAAATCATATTAATAATCTTTTTTTTTTAAATTTTAATCTGGGTAATTTTTATTCATTCATTCATCGCTAAGTTTTCATTTTAATTGAGTGTAAAATTGAATTAAAAAGTAAATTAAATATTGATTTGACTGTTCAAAACCTGTTTTAATTATCATTTTAATAATAATTTTCAATAAATTAGTCGTTTTAAACAAAAAATATTTTTCTTTAACAGGTGCTCAAGGCCAATTTCGACGCGTTCAAGTTCCCCTCGTCTGAAACGGTGCAGTTCCGCGCCCTGGTCACCCCTTGCATGCCGACCTGCGAGCCCGTCATCTGCGACTCGGAGGACGAAGGCTCGGTCAAGAGCTACGGGCGTCGCCGCAGACGCCGCAGCAGCGACGAGGTCAGCAACCCCAACGACCTCCTGCTGGTCCAGTCCATCCACATCACGGACACCTTCGAGTTCGAGCGCCAGACCGGCAACAAGACCCTGGACGGCGCCGTCGACAAGTCGGACCTGCTGCTCGGCGGCCTGTGCAACAACCTGGCCGGCTTCCTGATCGCCGGCGGCGTCTTCGTCATGCTGCAGGTGCTGCTGCTCACCAGCTGGGTCATGGTCCGCTCCCGGCGGGGCCCCAAGTCGATAGACGCGGTCAGCACCGACAGCCTCGGCAAACTCTACGACTCCGGCTACGCCCGCAGATTTTAGATTTTACTAAAATAATTCATCTTGCCCGCGGTCATTAAAGACCCAAACCGGCGAATTTTTAAAAATACCGGTCTGGGTTCTTTAAAATCGAAAGAAAAAAAATTTCTCCCCTTTTGAATCTTATCTGAAACAAATTTCAATTCTGACAGCATGAAATCTAAAAGAATGTGCCTTTCGAACGGAGGTTTCTCCATTCGAATCAGATAATGTTCTAAACTCTTAATTAATTAATTTATTAAGGCTTCCTTAGAATACCCTCCCGTATCCTACACACAATGAGACTTTCTGACAAATTTAACTGACGACTTATACTGAAATTAACCTGTAGAAAAGGCGACTAACACAATTAGTTAGTCAAAAGGGATCATTTGCTGTCCAACTGATACAAAAAGTGTTTTTTTCTAATTTATTAAGGCAAAAAATACTGATAATATTTATACGTGTCCGACTGAAAATTGATAATTGCAGACGTAGACGGACTAATTAGTTGCGAAATCGAGTGATTGTATTTTATTTTCTTATACATATTTATTGACGCTGCCGATGTTGCACTTCTTCTTCTATTTTAATATTCATAATTTGATGAATTAGACGCACCGTGTGAAAGTGTATTTGGCCCGAGTTTTGAGTTTACGTCTCTCTTGTCTGTTTTCGCCGTTGCGGCGGCCACAAGACTAACCAGACCTCTTCGGCCGTCGCAATTTTAGAGTTTGTTCAAACGACTTTTAATTTTTACTAACTTTTGTTGGACGATTCTTGCCGAAAGAATCGTCCAACGAACACGGAAAACTAATGGTGCCTTGTATTGTTACCTAGTATTGTGTTTAAAGGTGGAATTTTGTGTAAAAAAAGAAAATGTGAAAACATTTCTGTTCATTTTGAGAGGGATCGCGATTTACGAGAAAGATTGCTAAATGGTATCAAGGTGATGCGCCAATTATGTTTCATATTACTAACTAAGATGCTAATAAAAAAGAAAAATATTTAAAAAAAAAAAAACGCTGAATTTCTTTTTGGTTGTACTCACCCTTAGTCGCTCGTCGGCGATGGTCCACACTCGGCTGGCAAAGTCGTTCGAAGCTGCTAAGAGGAATGTCCCTGTAGAGTCAAAGTCCAGTGACATCACAGCAGCATTGCTGCCCACAAGAGTTCCTTTCATTTCGCACAAACCTAAAATATAGAGAAAAATGAGTTAAAATTAACTTTGTGTTTGATTAATCAATTATTTTATCTTTGAAGCTTAAAAATTTACAGTCCAGGAAGGAATTTTGATTATGATTATAGAAAATTACCATATTGAAAGATAATTTAGGAAATTACAAATAAGTCCCCGAAAATTTTGAATTTTTTTTAAGAGGAGCTTCTGCAGGAAATGTACCCGATTAATTTTTATCAAAATTTTTCTATAAATCAGAATTGGTTTGCAAATTTTAATTCTAAGGAGGCAAAATAAGATGAATTTAATTCATTCAGAGAACTGAATTTTTGAAATTTAAAATTGTTTCTTATGGGAATTATGTAAAACTACTTTTTTTCTTAAAATTAACAGAAATCCAATCAAGCTGGCAAATGAAAATGAAAATTTGCAATGATTTTGTGAATGAATTTTTTGTAAACCTATTTCTCTTTACTAAAAACTCCTTGTTAATCAATCTTTTGAATAATTCACATCAATCAGGATACTTTTCAAAGAAGCTTTCATGATCAAGTTAGACAAACGCACCCTTCGAAATGTCCCAAAGTTTGACTTTCCGGTCTTGGCCTCCCGTGGCCACAATTCTGTCAACCGGACTCCACCTCACAGCATTGACCTCCCCGTCATGAGCATCCTAAAAGAATTAAAAATTAATCAACTTTCATAAGAATTATCCAATTGATTTCTCACAAATTTTAAGACTACTCTTTGAGGCAGGGCCGTGCTGAAGCCTGGAAGTGCATTTCCCAGATCTCGGACTGCCATTCTGTCCGGAGATAAGTTGCCTGTGTCCTTGGCCGCCTCTTCCAACTCCTGGGCAACCTTTGCTTGCTTTTTCCTATTTGATAACATATTCATTTAGTAAAAGTATTAATAATTATCAAAAAACGGAAATTACCGATAAAATTTTACAATATAATTAAGACATTTTGTTAATAAATTTTGTGCATTATTCAAACAACGATGAATTTGAGACTTTTTAACTAATATTTGATAAAAAGAAAACTTATTTAAATAATTTTGACATCATCCACATTTCAAGTTACTCTGCAAGTGCATCACAAAAAAAATTAATTTAATTAGTTTTATTAAAGCGTGTAATTGTGATTCTTACTTATTTTTGCTCTGTGACTGTTATCACTAGACATTTAAAATAAAACATGTCGATTTTAACCTGAAAAATGTTGTTCGAAAAGGATTGACGAACCTGACGAAGTTTTCATTTTCTTCGTTGAGTTTTTCGGCATCTTTTGCCTTAATCCGCATCAGTCTCTCAACCAAAACAGCATTTTCCTCCTAAAGAGAGTGAATTTTAATTTATTTTGAATCAAACAAAGTTTTAACAATACCTGAGCTTTTCTCAGTTTCTCCTGCAGAGCTTCGAAGGCCAGATGGAGAGCGTAATACTCGTCCTTCAAAGTGTCACTCGAAGCTTTCAGATCAGAACAAAGAGTGTCAGTAGCTTGAAGCTTTTGCTGCAACCGATGCTCCCGTTCAGCAGCCTCCATTAAACTAAAAAATGGAAAAAAAAGTTAGAAAATAGATGATGGAATGTTTCACAACTTTGTTTACAAATTTCTGTTATTTATTTATTTTTTTTTTTTAATTAAAATAATAAATTCAATTTTATTTTACTTTTGGTCTCTGATGACGAGGAGTTTTTCCTTCTCGTTGAGCTTTCGGTTGAGCTCGACCAGAGCTTGGGCGTTTTCACCTTTGGTCCTCAACAGATCCGTCAGTTCGTCCTGTTTCTTCAAAAGCTTGTGCTCCAAGGCTTGGACTTTGTCACTCGATTTCCCATCAGAGGGCAAACTCCTCATCGACGCCTCTGAGTTTTCCTGGCGAAGCTGCTCATTTCGAATTGAAAGCTGCAGGTTTTCTGAGCGCAGGGCAGTTGCACTCTCGAAAATTTTGTTGTCTGCAAGTGGAAATTTATAATTAAAAAATAATTTTTATTAATAATAATATAAAAAGAGAGTCAGGTTTATGGAATTATTTATGAGAATTCCAAACTATGTAGAGATTAAAATACTAATTTTGTATTTTTCAAAATTTGATCTCACGGCAAGCAATTAGTTCCTGAAAGCTGTAGTTTTGCAACTTGTTCCTGGTGTTGAGTTGCGCCAAAATGTTTTCGCGCCAGTAGCCGTCGGCCTGCCTGACGTCCATGGCGACGACGAGCTCGTCAACTTGGTCGGTCAATTAAGGTAATTAGCTTGAAAGGTTCCCGAAAATATAGTTTTTAATCCTTCAAAACTCGGTCATCATTTGGAAATCCAATAAAATTATGATCTAAACACAAACAGCTGTAGTGGGAATTCGTTTTCAATTTCGCCGCGCGAGGGCAGCACCGAACGGAGGCGACTCGCACGTGCTCATGTTTATTGCTTTCCTTTTCAATGCTGCAGATTTAGTAATTTAGTAATCTCCGTACTTTGGCCATGTGAGCCAAAATTTTCGATGGCGTTTTCGAATTTAACTGTCAATCAACTCTTTCATACTCAATTTGTTTCGCGTGTGTTGTTCCTGAATCGTCACTTTTCCAAAGAACTAGATTGCGGAGGTAATTTTCGTCTACAAAAATTTAAAGAAATTTAAAGTGATATGAAAAAAATAAATGAATGACTAAAACTTTTTGTATGTGCAGGATTTACAGGAATACATCAGAATTTTTCTTTTTAGTTTTGATTGATATCTTACGTTGATCTTATAAGAGAGATTTAATCAGAATTGTTTACAAAAATTTTGGTTCTTTTAATTATCTTTATTATATTTTGTTTTTTATTTTCTTCTCTTTTCCAGGTTGAGCAGAGGTTTCATCTCCATACCATTATCCAGCTTAAGGTATTTATCTAAGCTTTTTCAGCCTATTATTTGGTTGAAGAGGTCATTTTTACAGAAAATTATTTGCAAATTATTTTATTGGCATTTTGATTGAAAATCCGCTTATTATAATATTATGCAAGCTTCGCAATTTAAAATTTATGCTACATTGATAAAAATATTGAAATTTTCAGCTCTGACTGGGCAAAAATTATCAAATCTTTCTGAAGTTTAAGGAAAAATTAATAATTTTAATGATAAATTCAAGTTCTTGTCACATCAACTGGAAATTAAATTTTTCTCTGCGCTTTAAAAATTTGTTTAAAACATTTAGTTCTAAAAAGAGTTTTATCGGCTTTGAAATTTAGGCTGAAATTTTATGAACTGATGATTTTGCGGTTGTAATTAAGTATAATGCCCACAAAATATAATGCACATATGTTCCAATAACAATTTAATTAAATAATTACTCTAAAATTCTTTTTCTCTTTGCACCGCACTTCCCTAAAATTATGTTCAAAGGAAATAATGTTGAAAAAATTCACAAAAATTATTATTTTTTTTTTTAAATTTATAAAAAACCCAAGATAGAAAGCTAAAAAATAATTTTTACTCTGAATCATGTAGCTTTGAAAAACTGAAAAAATCCTGCATTACAAAGCTTATTACCAAGAAAATTATAATTCAATTTCATCCCAACCATGAGCTATTGGAAATTATATCCGTAATTTCTTGGTATCCGCCTGTGCTGTTGGTTTCGCAAATGAAATGGAGTCCGCCGTTTTGACACTCAATGTCCAGCCAAGAATTTGCTAATAAAGCTGTGCAGTTTCTGTCCTTGCTGTTGGGTGTGCTGGACGTGTACCAATTTGAGTAGGTCAAGCTGACATTGTTGATCCAGTGTGAAAAGCTGGGTCTGTCGATCTTGTCCAGGCCAATGAAAACGTACGCCGACGATTTGTCTAAAGGCGAAGATTAATTTCAATTCGAAAAAAAAAATTTTGATGAATGTACTAAATATTCCCAAGAGTTGAATGAGAAAGTCGCTCTCCTCTTTTGATTCTATGATTGCCAGGTCGGAATGGAAACTTTGACACAAGCCTCGCGCCTCAGGATAAAGTTTCCCCTGAATTTTTTAATGAAATTAATCAGAACATTTTTCCAATTTTACTACATCTTATGCAAGATCATGAAATAAATCAAAATAAATCTTCTATTCTTCACCTTTTCTTTATAAATGAAATACGTTGACGTGTTGTACGTCATAAAATCAAACAATGCATCTAAAATAAATTTGCGATTAGTTTTCTTTATCAATTTGACACACATTAAATTACAGTCCGGTCTCGTCCTGGAAATCATCATTGATTAAGAATGTAATTTTTAGTTTTTGGACTCAAACTTATTTCAACTAACTTATCTTTGCTGGTGACATTTGTGACAGGCGGGTCGAAGAAATCTTCACACAGAATAGGCAGCACCATTGAACAATTTTGTGCAAAAATTTTGGTGCCTTTTTCTGAGGCGACCAAACAGAAATCCTTTGGATAAAGCGCAACGTTGAAGTTTTCGTAGAGCAGCCATTTCTGGTTGGCCGAGTTTTTCCAAGAAGCAGCCGAGCTTCCTGTTAACTCGCTTGAAATATAACATGCAACGTTGGGCATATTCTCTGTAAAGGGGCAAAATAATAAGTAAAAAAAGCTTAAAAAATATCCTACTTGATGAGAGGAATGGCATAATGGAATTTTTCAGCTCAAACGGCGAGTCCAGCGTAACCGCACGTTGGCCATAATAATTGCAAGAAGTGTTCAAGCTGTTCTGGGGAGCCTGGAATGTTATTATTGATTATGCAACCCTCGGAGCACAACGTCGAGCTGGTTGCGTCTCAAAAATGCTGCAAACTTACAAAGGATTTTGGGTATAATCGGTATTTGTGAGCCTCGTTTTTTGGGTCTTGGAAGATTATCGCTAAAATTTATAATAAAAAGGTCGATCTTTGTGCTTCTAAATTAATTGTGAATATTTTTCCTACGATTTCCATATTCCTTGCTGAGAATTATACATATTTTAAGTTATGAAAAATAATCAAACTTTTTCATTACTCTTCCTGACAGAATATCCGTTTGGGAACGTAACAATCAACCAGCACTAGGGACCCGTTGAAGTAAGCGCCGCAATCACCGTTTCCGTTTGGTCTGGAGGTACCCCAGCCCACCGCGTTGGGGTTGAAAGTTCCGTTGTTTCCCCACACATAATAGGTTGCATTTATTTTTAATAGATCAACCGCTACATAAGTTGTAGTAAGGTCTGGAAATCGTTTATCAATTAAATACCAAACCATGACAATAAAATTTAAATTATTATTATAAGGAAATTAATTTGCCTGTTTCAAATTTTGTATCTGATCTCTTTTGTAAAATTCATCCTCTTGATGAATTTTCTGAGCTCCGATATCAGCCAAAGATTTGATGAATCTAAATAGGATTGTACACTCACTGTTTAAATTGAGACGCCCCACGATAGTTTGATGCTCCAACTTAGTTTCCACTGCAACCACTTTCATATTCATTGCCGTGCAGTAAATATCCGCATCAAACGAATTGATCTTGAGCACAATTAATTATTTTGCTAGTTTTTATTTTGGTATTTCTTACTATTGGACCGCTGACGAGGTAGGCTGTTTCCCCAAAATTCATTTTGACGTCATTGGCTATATTTTTGTATGATTTTTTTTAATTAAATTGGAATTATTTAACAACAATTGCCATTTCTTACCGATCTTGGAGGATTGAGTGGTACTAGGAGTAGAATTAAACGATTTAGCCTCCACGTGTTTAAAATAAAACTAAAAAAACTTACTTTTCACATATTGGGTACAACGTTGACAAGCAGGCATGCGTCGTCAGCGTGTAGTTGAAATAAGCATTGCAGGTGAAGGCGTCCGGAAAGCCCGGGGCCCAGTTTACGTATAGGAGGTCTGTGGAATTTTTGGGAAATGACCCGTTCACCATATCCATCCAAACACGCAGTCGCATGTTTTTTATTCCTGCAAAAATATACTCTTGCATGAAATAGAATTACTTGTGTTTTCATTGAACTGACCCAGCGAATAAATCATGTATTTCAGTTCACCCAAGAGCTCGAAACGACTGTCGATTTTTGCCAGTTCCAACCCCCTGTCTTTGCAATAAGTCCGAGCCTCGTAGAAAGTGTACTGTGCATAATTATTTTAAATAGTTTTTTTTTTATGCACGTCCGTCTATAGTTTTCAAAACTCACGTCAACGAACAGTTGTGCTTCGTACGATTTGAACAATGAAACGTTGTGCACTGAAATGGGCACCATTCAAATATTACGTACAAGATAAAAATTTTCCTTCAAAGAGGCTTTTTAATCTTGTTAAATTTTAATATTAAATTAAAATAGACGAATTGAGAATTTCAAGATGAATTAATTATACACTGTAAAACGTAATTTTTTCCTATTATTTTTACCTCCGACTTTATTTCCATTGGGTTTGCTAAGGAAAACAAACTGTGTATAATTCAATAGAAACAGTTTTTCCTCACTTTGACTCGCAAATGAATGCGCGACTTTCGTTGCAAGAGTCGCTTCTGTATGTCCTATTTGCAATTACAAGGCACTGACTTGCGTTTATTGAGTTAAATGCGGTGGATGCGTAACTATCGCAATAGAAAGAGCTCCAATTTCTCCCGATTTGATTCATCCCCGTATAATAACTAAGGTTCGCATGCTCTAAATCATGATTTTGGTTACAATTTAACAAAGAAAAAAATATTCATTCACGATAATTTGGGCCAGTGAAGTTGTAGAGGACGTCGTACTCCCTTTTGTTCTCAAGTAGAACCAATCTTGCCGAATTTTTGCCACACCAATCACTCGCGTTTGCGACGGGAAGCTGAAAATGAAATTTAAAAAATTCAAAGTTTTCATTCAAACAATAAAACTTGCCGATAAATTTGGGCTAAAATAAGTTCTTCCCATGTCGGAAACTTCAAACGCTGTAAAGAATCAAAATTTATTAATTAATTCATAATTTTGTTACAAATTTCACCAATTGGGGCTGGTGTTGTGGTTGTGGCAGTTGTGGTTGGAAGTGGCGTTGTAGGATATGTTGTAGCAATTTGTGTCTGTGCCAAAGTTGTTGTGATTGGAATTGCAGTTGTCACAGCAGCAGTTGTTGTTGGAAGTGTCGTTTCAGCCACAGTGCTTGTTGTTTCCTCTCTTGTCGATGGCGCTTCGGTCCTGCCATATCCAATTTAAAACAAAATATATCAAACTTATTGGGCCGAATTTTATTCATCAAATATACTGAGTCTCCGCTAATTTTTCAGTAAATGGAGATGTTGTAACTATCTGTTGATAAAAAAATGTAGTTATAATTATATTGTTTTAAATATAAATTTTACCTCCGGCACGTTCACGATTAATGTCTCCTCAGCCACCGTCCCATAATCTGCTGATCATTGTAATAAGTTGATCAAAAAACGATCAATTATTTTACAAAAATCACTACCAATTGTCGTCAACACTTCTGTTGTGGTCTGTGATGACTTTGTTGTAATTAATGCTCTGAGAAAAATTAATATCGAGCCAATTGTTCATATTTCTATTATTTTATACATCGCCCTTGGAAGCGCCGTCGTTTTTATAGGACGCATCTGCGTTGATGCTTTTGCTGGTGTTGTTTTCGATTCTGGAACTGCTGATGGCTCCAGCAACGATCTAAAAATTTCCGCCATTCACGCGCGTCATCGATTTTTATAACTTCTGAAATTTACTCAATTCCCAGCGAATTGGCCATGTTTAGCAAATCCATGCTGAAGGGCAGCTCGTTGCCGTTGTCGCCGATGAGCTTGGGCGGCGGCGCTTGACACACGAAATTGGAAACCATGTCGCAGCTGACGCCCAAAATGCCCAGAGAACTGATTCCCATGCAGTCGCCCTGGTCCGCGGGGTTCTTCGGCGGCGGCAGCAAAGCCGAGGCCAAGTCGCCGAGCCAGTTGGACGAGCCCGAGTCGTCAACTTTCTTCATCGAAGTCAGCAAAGTGCTTGACGAGAGCCCTGACGAAATTTTGTTTATGATTAAATTGCAAATTAAAATAGAATTTCGAACCGATTCCTCCGAGGAAATCATGCACAGAGCTCAGCTGGGTCAGCGAATCGAGACTCATCAGGTCCATGCCCTTTTCCTTGCACATGCCAGTGGCCTCGGGCACACTCGCCCTTTCCGAGGGGGCAATTATGTTTTTGCCACCAACGAAATTCAGAACCGCTGCAAATTAAAAATGAAGTTAAAAAGCCAAAATGTAAAAATGTTTACCATCTCCAATGGAGGCGAGCATATCATAGGATCTAGAATGAATTTTAAAATAAATTGTTTTAACTCGATTTGAATTTTTTACTGCGTCACGCCTTCTGGCAAGGGCTTTTCCTGGCAGGAGAAGTGCGATTGTTGATCGCAGGACGCGTTGTACAAAGATCCCTTGTACTGGGTCAGGCATTCGCCAGGCCCTCCTGGGGGTTTGTCAGAGCCCCATTTAGCCCCGCTGAGAGAATCGTCCGTCGGAAAAGCGGTGAACAAAGGCTCAGATCCTAAACCTGGAAAGGAAGTTTAAAATAATCACGATTCACTTGATTCGAGACAGACCGATATAGTTGAGATATTCGTCTATTGATTTGGATTCTTTTGTGCTGGCTGGTGACGTCAAATCTAATCCTTGGTCTTCGCAAAACTTTTTTGCCTCCTCAAAAGTTGCCTATTTTTGTTCAATTATTGCTCTCTATTATTTTGGGAACCCAAATTTTATACCTTTTCTGGAGGGAACTTGTATTTCTTTTTTCCAATTACCACCAATCGATTGGATGGTCCTGAATAATAAAAATCGTTTATGAACGTGGTTTTTCAAACACAAAATTGGCAAAAGTATACCATTCAGTTCATTTCTTATGACTGTTAAAAGAGATTTTTTTTCAAATATCAAATTAACAGGATTTCCAACGTAATTAAGTGTTATTTATCTTACTTTTGGCTACTCGCGCTAATGTATTATTTTTCCTAAAAATTTTCCAATTTTCAAAAGATATTTATGAATATTAGAAATTGCAACTTCTTATTGTGGTAAAATCCCAGCGAGCACTTCCTTTTCTCGCAACACTTAACAATTCTGCTTCTTCTAAGTTGGGCAATCCTTAAGTTGAAATTAGCTGAGGACAAAAGGCGTCTTGCATCATTAATTTTTTATACAGGAACATTCTACCTTTCATATTAGAAGTGGATTTTGACGGTTTGTTCATTTTAACCACCATGGGAGTACGCTTAATGTGCACTATATTTTTAATTAATTTGTGAATTTCTTATTTATTATCTTTTTAATTTATGTTTTTTAATCCTTAAAATCTTGGCAAAAAGGGCAATTATTCAAACCTTTGGCGACGTTTTTATGAGCACTGTCAGCAATGTTCCATAAAAATATCTAAATTTTGAGAAGAAACCAATTAAAAACTTCTGATCTTTCATAATATGGAGTTTTGATGGGTTTTGGACGTTATAATTCTTGGAAAAAATAATCCTTTGTGAATACATTTCAAGCAAATCTTCTACAGTTTGTATGTTTTAACGCCTTTAATTGGAATTTATGTTTTCTGAATGTATATTTTTTATGTTCCTCTACAGCATTCAAATTAAATATAGCTTTAATTTACCACACATAAATTGTACAGTCTGATCTACTTACTGGAAAACATATTCCCACACAGAAAATGTACATGATGGCCGATGAATTCATTGGAAACGGGTTTTTACCCTCGACTTCACTTGCAGTAAATTTTTTTGGACGTGCTTGCTGCTATTGTAATATACATATCGAATGCTGATTAGAGTTATTTTACAATCGCGATGCAGAGTAGCCGTTGCCACAAATTTAACTGGTTGACGTGAATTGTTTGTCACGGAAGTCAACCCGGATGTTGCCGACCGATTTCTCTGCTACATTGAAAATTAGAACTCGATTTCGTTTCATTTTTATACATATTTTTTGGATTCTATCCCATCAAAGATTGTCTGCCTAAATATTGCGATAAAATGTGGATTAAAAAAGCTGCGCTCAGCTAAATTAAAAATTATTTTTTACAAGTTATTAATAATAAAATTTTATTTATTGTCCTCTTTGAAATTTTTATTTTGATGCTGTTACTTTCTTCAAGAAATATCTAAATATTCTTGGATTTGTAGAATCTTTTTAAACCAACATTGCATTATAAACTGACATTTTTGCAAATTCAAACTTTATGAAAAAAAGTAAACGAATTTCACAAATCGCCACGTCTGATTGTGAATGGAAACGTGATAATTTTTACCCCGAAATGCAAAAATATGAATAGTCTAAAATGTCCATTAGAAGAAACTGTTTTTTACAGCAATAATTTCACCATTTATTTAGATATTTACACATAAAAATAAAAATTGTTTTATAGAATTTTCCTTGTAAATCCAAATCTCTACTAAAATTATAAATAAATATGAACAATTCTTAAAGAAGACGTTTCTCTTTATTTTGGAAACTATGTTGAGGTATTGCTTTATGAATAGATTTTAGCCCAAATTATAAAATAACTTATTGGTTTGGCCCTGATATTAAATTTTCATTTCATGCACCTTTATAAATTTGAGGATCATAAACAAGTTAAACCTAAAATGTCTTGTTGCTGGTAACTTTTGTGACAGTTGGGTCGTAAACTTTGCAACTAAACATTCTTGTGAAAAAATTTTGACCACTCTGATTTAATAGCGTATTAAATATAAGATTAAGATTCAAATAATTGTAAGAATAAAAACTTTTTTACTCAAAATGCATGCTGTTTATTAATAGTTTATTCAAATTTTTTGGAAACTATATTTGCATGTGAATCAAAGGTTATTATGATTTATTTAAAACAAATGCCTTTACATCAAATTTTTAAATCTCCCCCCTTTATTATACATATTATACAATTGATCAGATTGTGGACCCTTCGCACACATAGTAGGTTGCATGTGGACACATCAAGTCATACCATCCGTTTTTCCTAATATTATTATAAAATTAATGCATTGATAAAAAAAAAATGAAATTAAATAATTACCAGTAAATTGCACATTTCTCTGCTGGATACTGCGAAGGTTGCGACGGACCCCACGTCCAATAAGTAACGTTGACATTATTGGCCCAGTGGTTATAAAACTTCTCATTTATGCAATTCAAAGACATCCAAACATATTGCTCTTCCAGTCCTAAAAAAATATTCTTTATCTCATCATGACTTATTAAAATATCTCGATGGAATTACCCGCTTTATTTATTAATGAGCGAACGCACGCGTCCTCTTCTGGTGTTTCGGAACTTACAAGATCCATTCCATTTTTTCCACACTCCGATCGTGCTGCAGCCCACGATTTCTTACAAACAGAATTATAATGTATTAACTCATCAAATTCAATCAAAGATAGCTTACTTTGTCTTTAGTCAGCGTGTACCGTGAAGATGCTTGAAATATATTAAATTTTAATTTAATTATTAATTATTAATAAATTAAATCGTCATTTATAAAAAACTCACTTGCTGGGCAGCCTCTTGAGGAAGCGTTGATTTTATGTTTTGACGGTTCGCAAGCATAAAAGTTAATATCGGTGCACAATTGATTCTTCCACTTGCCATCCCTTATATGATGTAAAGCAGCAATTAATAAATTAGGTTCAAATTTATCATGAAATTACGAAGACGAGACGCAGGCCTCCTTTTTTTTGGAAGTTGGAAATCCATTTTGCCATTGCACATAAGACAGAGAAGAGTTGTCATTTGCCCACTTAAATGAACTCTGTGCAATTGAACTTATGCCAATCCAGAACGTGTCCTGGACTCTACCTACATTTTTAAATTCGAACAACACGTTTAATAAAAAAGCAAATGTAAAGATACTTTGATTTTGCAAATATGTGAAGAAACAAATTTCTTTAGGCTGTGAATCAATGGTGATTAAGTCCATTCCCATTCTGTTGCAATCCAATCGGGCACTTTCCCAAGTGGTCTAAACAATAAAAAAGTATGCGAAATTTAGATGAATAGTGATGAATAGTAAAAAGGTAAATAAATGGTTTTTCTTACGTAAACCTTTGAAATATTAAAATCTGAAAATTTCCACGTTAAAGCTGCATAAAACTAAGAAAATTAAATTATTCTGTATACTTGGACACACTGTGGTGGTGGTTTTAGTAGTTAAAGTTGTTTGGGTAGTTTTTGTCGTAGTTGAAGTTATTGGGGGGGTTGTGGTTGTGGTTGAAGTTGATAGGGTAGTTGTGGTTGAAGTTGTTGGGATATTTGCAGTCGTGGTTAAAGTCGTTGGGGTGCTTGATGTGGATGTGCTTGTGCTCTCGTTTACTATTATGTGTATGAAGGTAATTTCGAAATATAATTAATGATTTATCGAATCATAAACACAAGTTCCAAAAATCTGAATTGATAATTGAAGCCCAATTTTAAAGTATTGTTATCTAATCATTAAAAAAATGCAAACCGGTTTATGTAAATTCAAAAGCTATACAAGTAGTTGAATATTTTTTTTAAACAAAGAGATTTATACTTATTGGAGCTGCGCTTAATGTCGTGGTGATAACTGGGGCTAGTGTGGAAGTAAAAGCTGCAGGCGTAGGGTTTTGGGTCTGGGCCCACACTGTTGATGCAACTGTTGGGGCGACAGCAGTTGTGACAAGAAGTGTTGTTTGTTGTTCAACTACCGTCGTTATCTCCCCTATCGCGATTACAACAGTCAAATCGGTCCTAATTATTCATTTCATTAATGACGAAATTTAATTTAATAATCATTTGAAAATTTACGGTGTCTGAGCAGGAGTTGTTGTATCAGACTATTTTTGGTTTAAAAAATTTAAACTTCAATTCGACAATCGGAGAAACTTGCCTCCGACGCGTCACTTAATGGTGTTCCATCCATCACCTCTGTGTCAGCTTTGTAGGAAGAAAAGGAAATTTTCTTAATCAATAAGAAGTGGACATTAACTTTCATTACTTATCATAACCAACTCGGTTGCTGTCTTTGAAGTAGTTCCACTTGAACGAAACAATAAGAATGGAAATTTTTATTTTTAGTATAATATATACCGTGACATTGGAAGTGTTGTTTTCAAAACCCGCTTCTGAGTTGCTTTTGCCGGTGTTGTTTTTGATTCCGGAGTTGCCGGCTCCAGCAACGTTCTACAAAATGCCAGTGTCATTTCACGCGCGTCATAGATATTTATAGCTTTCAAAATTTACTCAATGCCCAGCGAATTGGCCATGTTTAGCAAATCCATGCTGAAGGGCAGCTCGTTGCCGTTGTCGCCGATGAGCTTGGGCGGCGGCGCTTGACACACGAAATTGGAAACCATGTCGCAGCTGACGCCCAAAATGCCCAGAGAACTGATTCCCATGCAGTCGCCCTGGTCCGCGGGGTTCTTCGGCGGCGGCAGCAAAGCCGAGGCCAAGTCGCCGAGCCAGTTGGACGAGCCCGAGTCGTCAACTTTCTTCATCGAAGTCAGCAAAGTGCTTGACGAGAGCCCTGACGAAATTTTGTTTATGATTAAATTGCAAATTAAAATAGAATTTCGAACCGATTCCTCCGAGGAAATCCTGCACAGAGCTCAGCTGGGTCAGCGAATCGAGACTCATCAGGTCCATGCCCTTTTCCTTGCACATGCCAGTGGCCTCGGGCACACTCGCCCTTTCCGAGGGGGCAATTATGTTTTTGCCACCAACAAAGTTGAGCACCGCTGCAGCTCAAAAATGAAGTAAAAAATCCAAGAATTAATGAATATTTACCATCTCCGATTGATGCAAGCATGTCATAGGATCTAAATTTAATTTTAAATAAATTGTTTTAACTCGATTTGAATTTTTTACTGCGTCACGCCATCGGGCAAGGGCTTTTCCTGGCAGGAGAAGTGCGATTGTTGATCGCAGGACGCGTTGTACAAAGATCCCTTGTACTGGGTCAGGCATTCGCCAGGCCCCCCTGGGGGTTTGTCAGAGCCCCATTTAGCCCCGCTGAGAGAAGCGTCCGTCGGAAAAGCGGTGAACAAAGGCTCAGATCCTAAACCTGAAAAGGAAACATAAAATAATCTAAGCAAAATTCACTCAATTGTAAACAGACCGATGTAGTTGAGATATTCGTCAATTGATTTGGTTTCCTTTGTGCTGGCTGGTGACGTCAAATCTAATCCTTGGTCTTCGCAAATCTTCTTCGCCTCCTCAAAAGTGGCCTATTTTTTTCTTTTAATTTTTGCTCTATTCATTAGGAACTCAAAATTATACCATTTCTGGAGGGAATTTGTATTTCTTTCTGCCAATTACAACAAATCTATTGGATGGTCCTTAATTAATGAAAGAAATCGTTTATGAACTATAGGGCTTAATAAAAATTGACAAAAATACCATTCAGCTCGTTTCTTACGACTGGTAAAAGAACAAATCTAAATTAAATAGACTAACAGAATTTTTATACACATAATCATACTTTTGGCTACTCGCGCTGATGTATTATTTTTCCTAAATATCATTTGTAGTAACTCAATGCGCGTGAAAGTTAAAAACACAACTTATTCTTTTGATTGAATTGAGAAATTCCAGAGCATTTCCTATTGCCGCAGCACTTCACTATCATGACCCTGCTTTGCTTGCCTTTTACATTCTCTTCAAGTAAATCAGTGCAATTAAAAACAAACAGTTTTGTATTCTCTTCAATGATAAATTTTACGGTTTTTAACAGAAGATTTAGCTGCTTTTTTCACTTGTATCACCAAAGCATTCCGCTTAATGTTCACTGATTTATAATTGTTTTATTAAAATTTATTTTCTTGATAAGAAAAATACGCATACCTCTCGCCACTTTTTGTCTAGCACTTTCAGCATTATTGCAAAAAATAATCTGTAAAGCAAAAATGTAGCTATTCAAAATAATTAATGTCGAAAAACTGTTAATGCGTGCAACAATAATGTCAAGGTGTCATGGTAAAAATTAATTGATATAATTATCGAGGTAATTTTCAACATATTCGCAGATGAAGATCATTTGCTATTATCTATCTTAAAACTTTTATTATATAATTAATTTTCTGCTTTTCAAATAAAAAACTTACTGCAAAAAATGTTCCAACATAGATGATGAAAAGTGCTTTTTGTGACTTCATTTCTAAACTTATTTACTTCATTTCAAATCCGCCTCCAGCACTAATTTTTCTCTAGAATCATTAACTGAATTTTCACTCGCGCAGCAACACAACATTAATTTCTGTTCGATGTGAAAACAGCGACTGACGCTCAGGCGGATGTTGTGAACTGATAGACATGTTGAAAATTGTGACGTCTATTTTGTTGCTTTCAAACAAAAAGCTGTCATTTCCAGTACATATATACATATGTGATTATATATGACGTGTATATTAGTAGGAGTGTCATTTTTGCATGCTATGACCAAAACCTCAATCTGGTTCAATTTTTACTTTACTTTGTTGTTGGAAATCGCAGCGATTGGAGATTATAAGATTATTGTTTATCATATAAAAATACATTCTTTAAATTTAAATTAAAAAACCATTTTTGATTTTAAATAATCAAGTTTTTCTACACTGCCGGATTTAATATTAAAATAAAAGAACTAGAGAAGGATATTTTTAAACTTTTTTTACAAAATTATCTTTTCATGGGTCAAAGGTTATCATGATTTATTTAAAACAATTGCTCCCGTATATATATTTTTTTTTAATCTTCATCTCTTATATTTTTTTTCAGTTTGTGGAACCTTCGCACACATAGTAGGTTTCGTAATCACAAGGTAAGTCATACCATGCGTTTTTCCTATATTATTATAAAAGTATCACATCAATGAAAAAGAGCAAACTGAAATAATTGCCAGTAAATTGCACATTTCTCTGCTGGATACTCCGAAGGTTGCTGCGGACCCCACGACTTGAAAGAAACGTTTACACCGTTGACCCAGTGGTTGTAAAACGTCTCATTTATGCAATTCAAAGACATCCAAACAAATTCCGGTTCCAGTCCTAACAAATTTTAATTCATGATCTGAAAGTAATTAAAATATCTCAATACCCGTTTTATTTATTAAAGAGCGAACGCACGCGTCCTCTTCTGGAGTTTCGGAACTTACAAGATCCATTCCATCTTTTCCGCACTCCACGCGAGCTGCAGCCCATGATTTCTTAAAAAGTCAACAGTAAAAATGAATAAATTAATTTTAATACTTTTCTTAATATACTTTGTCTCGTGTCAGTGTGTAGCGCGAAGAAGCTTAAAGAATTTAATTTTAATAAATAAGAAAGTGATAAATCTGAAAATTTCACTTGCTGGACAGCCTTTTAAGGTTGTGTTGATTATATTTTTTGATTGTTCGCAAGCATAAAAGTTGATGTCGGTGCACATTTGATTTTTCCACTGGCCACCCCTTATATGATGTAAAGCAGCGATTGACATAATTAGTTTTAAAGTGTCTGATAAAAATTACGACGACGAGACGCAGGCTTCCTTTTTATTGGAAGTTGGAAATCCATTTTGCCATTGCACATAAGACAGAGAAGAGTTGTCATTTGCCCACGTAAATGTGCTCTGCGTAATTGAGCTTATTCCTATCCAAAACGTGTTCTGGACTCGACCTAAATTTCTAATTTGAATAATGCGTTTAATAAAAACTAGGGTGAAATATATACTTTGATTTTGTAAATATGCGGCAAAACAATTTTCTTTCAACTGAGAATCGATCGTGATTAAGTCCATCCCATTTCTGTTACAATCCAATCGGGCACTTTCCCAAGTAGTCTAAACAATCAAAAATATGCCAAAAGAATTAAGATAAGTAATTAATTAAGTTGACAGTATTTCATTTTTCTTACATAAACTTTGGAAATATTAAAATCTAAAAATTTCCATGTGCAGCAGCATAAAATAAATAAAAATATATTTTTTTTTGTACTTGCAGGACAAGGTGTGGTGGTGGTTGTGGTCGTTGAGGTTGTTGTAGTAGTTATAGTCGTGGTTGAAGTTGTAAGGGTAGTTGTGGACGTGGAAGAAGTTGAAGTCATTTGGATGGTTGTTGAATCTGTGCTTGTGCTCTCGTCTGCTATAAAATAAGATCAATTAATTTTCCTTTCACAAATAATACATAAGTTAAAAAATGTGAACTCACAATATTTTTTAAGATTTGCTTTTTAATTACTTTATATAAATAAATCGTTTAATGTAAACTCTTAAGGCAAAGAAATACTGTCTGAAGTGTTAAATATCGTTTTTTTCTGAGAATATTTGTACTTATTGGAGCTGAGGTTGTTGTGGTGATAACTGGGGCTGCAGTGACAGGGCTTGGCGTCGTTTCCTCTTTTGCAACAGTTATATCAGCCCTAAAAAAATTTTTATTTTAAACAATTAACTTTTAATATTTTGAAAAGTCACTGTGCTTGATAAGGAGTTGTTGTCAAAATCTATTTGGGATCAAAAACAAATTAAAATACCAAGTAAATTATTTTGAATTTTAGAATGGATTATTTACTTTATATATAATTTCAAGATACTTACAACAATTACAGTCCCATCCGTCACATGAATATCAGCTATTTTAAAATATATGGCAATTTTCAATCAATAAATTACTCAATTACGAATCGTGATCAACGAGGTTGCCGTCATTAATGTATTTCCACTGAAATGAAACAGATTAATTGAAGAAAACACAATATTTAATTTTCTTGTATTAACCTTGGCTTAAGAAGTGTGGTTTTGATAACGCGAACTTGGGTTGTTGCTTTTTTCGATGTTGTAATCGATTTAGTTTGTTCAGAAGTTGCTGTTTCTAGAATCGTACTAAAAATTTATCCAAATGAAGTCGATTTCCGCGATTTGAACTATTCATTTACTCAATTCCCAGCGAATTGGCCATGTTTAGCAAATCCATGCTGAAGGGCAGCTCGTTGCCGTTGTCGGCGATGAGCTTGGGCGGCGGCGCTTGACACACGAAATTGGAAACCATGTCGCAGCTGACGCCCAAAATGCCCAGAGAACTGATTCCCATGCAGTCGCCCTGGTCCGCGGGGTTCTTCGGCGGCGGCAGCAAAGCCGAGGCCAAGTCGCCGAGCCAGTTGGACGAGCCCGAGTCGTCAACTTTCTTCATCGAAGTCAGCAAAGTGCTTGACGAGAGCCCTGACGAAATTTTGTTTATGATTAAATTGCAAATTAAAATAGAATTTCGAACCGATTCCTCCGAGGAAATCCTGCACAGAGCTCAGCTGGGTCAGCGAATCGAGACTCATCAGGTCCATGCCCTTTTCCTTGCACATGCCAGTGGCCTCGGGCACACTCGCCCTTTCCGAGGGGGCAATTATGTTTTTGCCACCAACGAAATTCAGAACCGCTGCAAATTAAAAATGAAGTTAAAAAGCCAAAATGTAAAAATGTTTACCATCTCCAATGGAGGCGAGCATATCATAGGATCTAGAATGAATTTTAAAATAAATTGTTTTAACTCGATTTGAATTTTTTACTGCGTCACGCCATCGGGCAAGGGCTTTTCCTGGCAGGAGAAGTGCGATTGTTGATTGCAGGACGCGTTGTACAAAGATCCCTTGTACTGGGTCAGGCATTCGCCAGGCCCTCCTGGGGGTTTTTCAGAGCCCCATTTAGCCCCGCTGAGAGAATCGTCCGTCGGAAAAGCGGTGAACAAAGGCTCAGATCCTAAACCTGGAAAGGAAGTTTAAAATAATCACGATTCACTGGATTTGAGTCTGACCGATATAGTTGAGATATTCGTCTATTGATTTGGATTCTTTTGTGCTGGCTGGCGAAGTCAAATCTAATCCTTGGTCTTCGCAAATCTTTTTCGCTTCCTCAAAAGAAGCCTGGTATTTTTTTCTATTAATTGTTTGTCTATTCATTAGGAACTCAAAATTGCACCATTTCTGAAGGGAATTTGTATTTCTTTCTGCCAATTACAACAAATCTATTGGATGGTCCTTAGTATAAATGAAAGAAATTGATTATGAACTATAAGGCTTAAAAAAAATTGACAAAAATACCATTCAGCTCGTTTCTTATGACTGGTAAAAAAAGAATTTCAAAGAATAAAGAATTTCCAATATAATTTGACCTCACTTTTTGCTACTCGCGCAGAAGTGTTATTTTTTCTGCATATTTCAATTTTTAATATATCAGTCATGAAACTTTAAAAAATTTAACTACCTTTGGTTGAATTCAGACGTTCTGGTGCATTTCAGATTGCTGCAGCACTTCACTATCATGGCCCTTCTTTGCTTCCCTTTAAAATTTTCCGCATCTACATTATTTTTATTTAAACATTTTATTCCCATGATAGTTTTACTTGTTTTAATAGAATATCTCCCCGGTTTGTTCACTTGAATCACCAAATGATTCCCCTTAGTGTTCACTGGTTTATAATTATATTTATAACCAATTTTATTAAAAAGAAAACAATCACGCACCTCTCCCCAATTTTTGTCCAGCACTTTCACCATTGTAAAATATTACCTGATTCAGAAGTATAACAAAATCATTAATGATGTCAGACTGTTAATGCGTGCAACAAAATTTTAGGATTTGTTTCATGATAAAAATCAAATAACATATTCCAGTGTTAACTCCAAGGAAAAAAATTGCAAAATCAATATTTCCATCGATATATAACTTATAATTTTTAACGTGATAACTATTTCTTTCCTGCTTTTTCTTGATCTCAAATCAAGAAATATATAAAACGTAAGCTTACCGCAAGAAATGCTCCTAAGCAGATAATAAAAAGGGTTTTTTGCGGTCTCATTTCAAACCGCTGGTGCTTGTTAGGTGTGAATTGTCGACTAGCACTAACTTTTCTCTGTGTAACTCATTTGACGCTCGCTGCAAGAGAAAATTAATTACCGTCCAACGGACGCCATAGCGGATGTTGCCGACCGATACAAATTCATCTAGAATCGTGTAGCGTCTATAATTTGTAGCTTTGAAGCCCGAAGCTGTCATTTCCGACAACTTCATTGGTTTGGTGTATTAGCATGTTTTTTGCTAAAAAATAATCAAAACGTCAAACATATTTGTAGACTGATAACCTTTATATTTTTATATAGTTTTATTCCCAAAACATTACATGATATGAAAAATTAAATGTTTCGGCTGTCATTTTTATGGTTGTTTATTTGTCTTATGGAAAGTAAAAAAGTAAGAATGTAAATCATAACACTAATTATACCATTACACTTTAGTTCAGGCGAGAAAGTTCTTACATAATGTTTACTTATATTATTTTATTCTAAATGTTGAACCGAGTTTCAAAACGATAATTATTTATTTTCAATAATCAAATTTACAATTTCTCAAGGCAGACTATTTGTTTCCAACTTTTTTATTCTAAGTTTTTTTTATTTATAAAATTACCAGTAGTCATTAATTACACTGTCTCACATTTGTCTAATCATACTTTTATTTGCAACAAGTCATTTAGTTTCAAGAAGTGTTTATTGGGTTCAAAATTAGGGCAATTTATTATGTACACAACAGAGGGGGCAACTTTGCCAAAGACAGGGAATGCAACAATATAAAAATTTTAAAAAAAGTCGAAAAATGAGGTATTAATACAAACAAATTGATCAAAATGTACATGTCATGTACTACATGAAAATGAAAATAAAATAAATCCAAATAATTTACCCAATTATTTTTTAAGACATTAATTTCATCCATCAATTAACCTTTATTAAATTTTTACAAAAGAAAAGAATTGATTAATGATTAGATAATTAAACATTTTGATTCAAACAAAGGCTGAGAAAACTTCATGTTTAAAGACTCCAAATATATAAACTTGTAAACTTAAAGGTTCAAACAATGGAAGCTGAGAAATTATAACTCTTCCCACTCGGAATGCTCTCCTATTGAGGTTAGGCAAAGTGTTAGGAAAACTAGTTCATGTATCAAATGTTATCAATATTTACTTTTCAACCAATTTTTCCAAACATTTATTATTATTCAGATTGTGGATCCTTCGCACAAGTAAAACGTTGCTACCGTACAAGGCAAATCATACCATGCGTTTTTCCTAGATTATAAAAAAATCATTGCATTGATAAAAAGAGAAGGAAATCTAATAAATACCAGTAAATTGCGCATTTCTCGTCTGGATAATTCTCGGGATCGCCCGGATGCCACGAATGATAAGAAAGGTTTGCTCCGTTTGCCCAATTGTCATAATTTGTTCCATTTATGAAATTCAAAGACATCCAAACTAATTCTTGTTCCATGCCTAGTAAGTAAATAAATATATGTTTTTGCAATTCAAGAACATTATTAATAAATCTCAATCAAATTACCTGTTGTATTTATAAATGTGCGAACGCACGCGTCCTCTTCTGGTGTTTCGGAACTTACAAGATCCATTCCATCTTTTCCGCACTCCAATCGTGCTGCGGGCCATGATTTCTGAAAAAAAGTCAACAGTAAAAATAAATTAATTTGAATACTTTTGTTAATATACTTTGTCTCGTGTCAGTGTGTAGCGCGAAGAAGCTTAAAGAATTTAATTTTTAATAAATAAGAAAGTGATAAATCTGAAAATTTCACTTGCTGGGCAGCCTTTTAAGGTTGTGTTGATTATATTTTTTGATTGTTCGCAAGCATAAAAGTTGATGTCGGTGCACATTTGATTCTTCCACTGGCCACCCCTTATATGATGTAAAGCAGCAATTAACATAATTAGGTAAAAATTGATCATGAAATTACGACGACGAGACGCAGGCTTCCTTTTTATTGGAAGTTGGAAATCCATTTTGCCATTGCACATAAGACAGCGACGATTTATCGTTTGCCCACGTAAATGTGCTCTGCGCAATTGAACTTATTCCGATCCAAAACGTGTCCTGGCTTCTACCTGCATTTTTAAATTCGAAAATCGCGTTCAATGGAAATTAATTTTAAAAATATACTTTTCGTTTGCAAGTAAGCGGAAAAACAATTTCCTTTTGACTGAGAATCAATGGTGATCAAGTCCATTCCGATTCTGTTACAATCTAATCGAGCACTTTCCCAAGTGTTCTAAATATTAAAAAATGAGGCCAATTGAAGGTAAATAATGTAGTTAATTTTATAAACTGTCAAACGAATATCTTACATAAACCTTGGAAATGGAGATATTTAAATCTGAAAATGTCTATGTTTAGCTGCACATAATAAGTAAAATAAAAAAATTTTGTACTCGGACAAGATGAGTTGTTGTTTGATGAGTTTGTGCCATCGTCTGTTAATAAGTTCATTTCAATATTTTTGATTACTTTTATCAAATAATAAAAAAAAAATTAAATAAAGATCTGATTTCAAAATTCATTGTTAATATAAATTTTAATTTAAAATAATTACATGCTCCAAAATCTCTCCTGAAATAATAAACCATGGTTTATTTTAAAATCGAGAAACATAGAAGTGGTTAATTAAATACGATTCTTCACAGAGGACACTCATGGGAATGTTGCAATCGACCATCACGATGGAATTGTTGAAATAAGCTCCGCAGTCCCCGCTCATATTGAGCGAAAAAATCCAATTTACCATTTGTGGGAAGAAAGTTTTGTTGTTTCCCCAAACGTAGCTAGTTGCGTTAAATTTATGCAGATCAATTGCCACATAAACATTTGAAAGATCTGCAAATGAATATTGTAACTTTATCGTTTATTCTGACATTTGAGAATTTTTATTTTTTGCAAATTCCCTGGATAATTTTTTTTCTAAAGTGGATACTTTTGCAATGTATTTAATTTGAAATAATCCGGCTCTCAAATTTTAACCATCACGTTTGTGTTTTTCACTTTTGTTCCGTGATTTCAAAATACCACGAGCTGCGTCACTGTATTTTACCATGGCTGACATATCCTGCCAACCATTTCCTGACGTTTTTTTGATTGCGTTAAAAACTTCACTCTGGACATTTTGTTCGATAACATGATTTGATTATATGAATTTATTTATGCCTCTGCTTTGCAAAGTATTAAGAAAAATTTGACATACTTGACGCTTGAAGCATACTGATGATTGCAATATGTTCCGAGTAAGATTCCACCGAGACCATTTCCAATTTCAGAGATTTGCAGTAATCTTTTCCATCGATTGAGTTGAACTGTTGAACAACAATTTTAAAATAAAGAAGTTGTAATAAATGAAAATATCTTACTATTGCACCACTGATTACGTAGGTCTCATTTTGGAGTATTTTTCTCCAATCGGAAGCTGCAGGTTGAAAATAAATTATGCTACAGTTTTAATTTAACTATCTTACCAATTGCAGAATGATTTTTACTTTAAATAAAAAATATTATATATTTAAATTAGTTTTCATACAATTAATATTATACATACGCTTCACAAATTCCAAACAAAAGGGACGTGCATGCCGTTGACACCAAAGAATAGTTGAAGTAAGCGACGCAGCCCAAGTTTGCGTCTGGGTTGCCCTTCGCCCAGGGCAAGTTTAAAGGGTACGTCCCATTGATTTTTGGAACCGAGATGTGGAGTGGCGTGTTTTGCAAACCTTTCATTGGATCTTGTTTACTTGTCAATAGAATTAAACTTTAAAACTTACCCAAGGAGTAAATCAGGTATTTTAACTCTCCCAAAAGCTCAAACGAATTGTTAACTTGGGCAGTGTCAAACTTTTGTTCTCGGCAGTATTTCACCATTTCGTAGGAGGTATACTGAATCATTAAAATTAGGAAGAAAATTGTGGTTTCAATTATGAACACATACATTCATGAACAATTGTGTAAAATAGTTGCCAAACAAAGAAATGTTCCAGGCTGCAATTTATAAATTCAATGCATCAGCAAAATTCACTACTTTCCGACGTTAGAAAAACATGAAAATCTTTATAATATTTAATTTATTCTTGATAAAAAAAAAATGCCTCGCAGCTTAAAGTTTTGATTCGCAGCAGGTGAAATTTCAACATTCAAAAATATTTGCTTACCTTTTCCATATAAAGTTGCGTTAGGCTTGCTGCAAAATAAGAGTTTTATTGAAAAAATCAGATTCAAAAATAATTCACTCCACTTGGTTTCACAAATGAAAAACCGACTCTCATTGCAAGAATCGATCATGTATGTCCCGTTTGTTAAAATTAAACACTGGCTAGAGTTGACAGAATTCAAAGCTGCCGTTGCGAAATCGTCCATGACGAAAAATGACCAATCTCGTCCAATTTTATTCATTCCAGTGTAAAACGTTTGATTTTCACGACCTAAAAATAATGAAAACAGTTCCAACGTGTGCCAAATGAACCCAGCAAATCTGCCAGACTCAAAGATCTGCTGGGCCTATCAGGAATTACCAGAGTCTGGGCCAGTCAGATTGAAAAGCATGTCATATTCGGTTTTGTCTTCGATCAGAACAAGTCGGGACGAGATGTTGACACACCAGTCTGACGCATTTAATGCAGGCAACTGTCAAAATCAAAGCTAAATCAATATGAAGAGCAAAATACATTTTAGAAAACTGACAGTGAAGTTTGAACCGTAGTAAGTTCTGCCGTTAAATGTAGTCTCAAAAGCTAGAGAAATAGTGTCAAAACTGTTTCCTTTTCAAAGAAGCTGAATTTGTACGTATTGGGGCTGGGGTTGTGGTGGTGGTAACTGGGGCCTGAGCTGCAGGGTTCTGCGGTGCTGCAGGTACAGGGTTTGGCGCCACTGCAAGCGTCGTCGGGTCAACAACTACCGTCGTTATTTCCCCTACGTTGATCATGACGGTCAAATCGGCCCTTTTTTTTATTCATTTCATTAAACGTGGAAAGTAAAATCGACGTGATAAATTACTGTGTCGGATCAGGAGTTGTGGCAATCTATGTGGGATATTTAGAATTGTGATTTTAAAAAATTTACCACTTGGAGATCAAATACTTGCCTCTGACACGTCACTTATTAATGTTCCATCTGTCACCACTGTGTCAGCTTTGCAGAATTGAAATGAAATATTATTAATCAATAAGTATTGAACTTTAATTTTCATTACTTGTTGTAATCAACGCGGCGGCTCTTTTTAAAGTAGTTCCACTTGCAAATATCATTAATTACTGAATATATATATTTTTCTAAAACACACCCTGGTTTTGGAAGTGTTGTTTTCAAACCACGCTTTTGGGTTGTTGCTTTTGCCGCTGTTGTTTTCGATTCTGGCTCCAGCAACGATCTAAAAATTTCCGCCATTCACGCGCGTCATCGATTTTTATAACTTCTGAAATTTACTCAATTCCCAGCGAATTGGCCATGTTTAGCAAATCCATGCTGAAGGGCAGCTCGTTGCCGTTGTCGCCGATGAGCTTGGGCGGCGGCGCTTGACACACGAAATTGGAAACCATGTCGCAGCTGACGCCCAAAATGCCCAGAGAACTGATTCCCATGCAGTCGCCCTGGTCCGCGGGGTTCTTCGGCGGCGGCAGCAAAGCCGAGGCCAAGTCGCCGAGCCAGTTGGACGAGCCCGAGTCGTCAACTTTCTTCATCGAAGTCAGCAAAGTGCTTGACGAGAGCCCTGACGAAATTTTGTTTATGATTAAATTGCAAATTAAAATAGAATTTCGTACCGATTCCTCCGAGGAAATCCTGGACGGAGCTCAGCTGGGTCAGCGAATCGAGACTCATCAGGTCCATGCCCTTTTCCTTGCACATTCCAGAAGCCTCTGGAACGCTCGCCCTTTCCGAGGGGGCGATTATGTTTTTTCCCCCAACGAAATTCAGAACCGCTGCAGCTTAAAGATGAAGTCAAAAAGCCAAGAATTAAATAATTTTACCATCTCCAATTGATGCAAGCATGTCATAGGATCTAGAATAAATTTTTAAATAAATTGTTTTAACTCGATTTGAATTTTTTACTGCGTCACGCCTTCTGGCAAGGGCTTTTCCTGGCAGGAGAAGTGCGATTGTTGATTGCAGGACGCATTGTACAAAGATCCCTTGTACTGGGTCAGGCATTCGCCAGGCCCCCCTGGGGGTTTGTCAGAGCCCCATTTAGCCCCGCTGAGAGAAGCGTCCGTCGGAAAAGCGGTGAACAAAGGCTCAGATCCTAAACCTGAAAAGGAAACATAAAATAATCTAAGCAAAATTCACTCAATTGTAAACAGACCGATGTAGTTGAGATATTCGTCAATTGATTTGGTTTCCTTTGTGCTGGCTGGTGACGTCAAATCTAATCCTTGGTCTTCGCAAATCTTCTTCGCCTCCTCAAAAGTGGCCTTTTTTCTTGAATTATTGCTTTGATCTTTTCGTATAACCAAAACTATACTTTTTCTGGAGGGAATTTGTATTTCTTTTTTCCAATTACAACCAATCGATTAGACGGCCCTGTATTTTAATCATTAACAATCAAAGACTGATTTACGTAGATTTTTTAATTACCATTTAGCTCATTTCGTATGACTTTAAATTTTAAATGACTTTAATTTAACGAATAAAACTTTTTAAATCTCTCACTTTTGGCCACTCTCGACATTGTACCGTTTTTCCTACTTATTTCAACTCCAGTTACTCATGAAAATAACGTTTTAGAGAAAACTTTTACTTTTTGTGGTTTTTCATCGAGCACTTTCTTCCCCCGCAGCACTTCACAATCATGCCTCTCCTTTGAGCTACGTAATGAGCAAATGCAAATTAAGCAGTTTCAATAGTTTAAAATAAACTTTGGAAATCTAACCATTCCTAGATGTTGATTTTGACTGTTTGTTGACTTTAATAACCACAGTATTTTGCTTAGAATGTACTGATAGAGAATTAATATATGCGCAATAAACGATTAAAAGAAATGCACCTTTCGCTACTTTTCGTTCGGCACCGTCAACAGCATTCCAAAAAACAACCTATGAATTTAAGAATTTTTCAATGTAAAAGGTGATTTTAAAATGAATGCGCTGTCATATTCATGAAAATATATTTTAAAATATAATATACTGAAAAACGAGTTGTGCAAACATTTACTGACGCAATGGATTTTTACAATTTACTGTGAATATTATGACGCATTTAAACTGTTTGACTCGGTTGAAAAAAATATCTGTAGTCCGAGGGCAATTTTCCATATTAAAAAAATTTAATCATATTGAACTCATTTGTAAAATAATTGTATTAACAATTGCAATGATATTATTTTGCTTTGTATTGCACAAACGTAGCATTATATATTGTTATTATCATTAATTAATTATTAATAAATTTGAACTCACCGCAAAACATATTCCGAGGCATAAATAACAGTGATTCATTTTCAACCTTATTTTGGAACAAAACTGCTAAAATATTTTTTTCACTTTCTCCTGATTGATATATCAAGTGGAGCCGTATTTTGTTCTGGGTTTTCCACCAAGAGCTATTGAAATTGATGAATGCTCGGCGACAACGGCAGCAGTGACTGCGCCGCCAAAGGCCGGATGTTGCCAATGTGTGCGGCACGGAAAATTGAAAACATTTTCCACGATCGGCCTGCTTTTCGCGCTGCTGTTAGCAAGCTCCATTGCAAAAGCTTCACATTTCACGTTTTATTACATTTAAAATTCTCCTGTCAAAGCATTAATCTTAATACTCAACTGCTCGTGTGGCGAAATTCAGAAAACATGAATTTTGCTCATAATTTCTCTTCTTACATTTAATTGTAGCACATTAAAAATTTTAAATTTCGCCATAAAAATTTGAAAAAATAAAAAAAAAAAACGCCCTAAAACGTGACATGTGGGTCTGCTTGTTCTTTAAAAGGCGTAATAACCTAGATTTCCATGCTTATAAATTAACGAAAAAATAAGAATTAAAAACAAAAACTATTTTTTTTTCAAACAGATTTGCTCCGACAATTTTTTTTTACAATCTATCTTGAGTGTTCACTTTCAACGTGATATAATTTTTAAAATTGTTGTCCAGAAATTTCGACTATGAATGTTTTAATTAACAAACAAATCTTTTTTTCCGATAACTCTCATTATTAAATCACATAAATATATTTAATATTTTTTTATTACGGGGATTTAATAAATAATTAATAATCTTATAATTAATTTTCAATTGGAATCCAGGTTGCGTTTTATTAACCGAGGTATGTCAAAATGAAAAGAAAAACGAAACTTTTGCAAATTATTCATCGCATTTCACACAAAACTTGTGTGTTGCCAGTGCACCCTAGGGTAATCCACTTTTTACTCTGCGTACTAGCGCAGTGTGCCCAACTTGCTTTGCTGGGATCTGGCTCTCCAGAATTCCAGTTCGTGTTGGCCATGCTCGCATTGTTTATCCATTGGAAACTCCCCTTGTTTAATTTGTCCAATCCGATGAAAATTTGATCGTTTTGTTTAACTGAAGGTATGGAATTGGTTGTTAAAAGCGCACTTGAAAAATAAAAATCTCACAATTAGCTGCAAGGAAAGTATTGACGGCATCCACTTCTGCGCTCGACTCAAATACTACCAAATCTCCTCCGTTCTGTTTGCAAAGCGCTCGGGCCTCATCATAAGATTTCTATCTCAATCAACACCAAGTTACCAAAGCTTATCATCTTAATGGAAACAAAATTACCCAAACATGAACCAAGAAATACGTAGATCCTCCAGAAGTGTAATTTTTGTATACCAATCCTTATGAAAAATTGTGAAAATGACCAAAAATTATGAATATATATATTTTAAATTTATGCAAACCTTCAAATTTGGGTGGTCTTTTGTTTGCAAAATTATAATACGAAATTAGCATTTCATAACTGATAATTAAAAATCGTTTATACCCATCTTCGCATGCAATTTTATTAGCAGGCTTGCAATCCGAGAAATTCACCGCAGTTGACAAATATGCTCCACAGTTGAAATCAGAGATTGGAACCGCAGTCCAGCCGATGGTGCTCATGTCGAAATTCGCTCCTCCCTCCCAAGATATGGTGCCACTGGCTCTTTTTAAGCCGATATACATCTTGACAGTTTGAAGAGCTATATATGTGAAATAATGTCATTTTTAGTATTTTTATACTGCTTATTGAGTTATAAGACTTATAAAGTTAATATGTTTATTTTATTTAGTGTGCCATGTTTTATGGAGATTTTTTTATAATAATAAACCAACGAGATTCCCCAGCACCCTGACGATAAACATAAAAGGTAAAATAAAATCCTCAGGTTGTTGGCCCTTCAGATGGATAAATTTAATTTTTAAAGAGGATGAAAACACCTTAAGGCAGCATAATCCTTGACAACCCTGCTAAAAATGTGGCACCAGAAAATTGGGGGTCACGGCGTAAATTTGTGGAAAAAGTTAAATTTAAGGTTGCATTTTTAACGTTTAATTGATTTCTTCAGTCAAATATCATGATAGTTAATATTTTGGTTTCTACAATACCCTAATAATGAAAAAAATTCATATTTTTGAAAATCCAAAATGGCCGTCCGAGATACACAAGGGTTTATTAAAACTGATGCCAAATTAATTATCCGAGATAGCCAAAAGATGCGGCATGTCATTTTGCGTCAGTGTGTAAATTTTCAGAATTTTTGAACAAGTAGTTTTGAATTTATTAATGATTTTTAAATAGCGTTTGAACGACTGAAAATGATCTCTTCGGACGAGTTAAAAATTAGGAAATGAGGTTTTTTTCATCATATTTAACACAAATTAAGTAGGTTTTTTTTTGTATTAAATGTAGATTTGAAGGATTTGAAAAATATTTGCTAGGTGTTTTCATCTACTTTAATTGGATTCAATTATTACTAATCCACTAACTGTTGAGAAGCAAAAATGCATCCTTTTGAAATTGTATTTCATTTTGAATTCATATACATATTGCAGAATTCACTGAGAATGTCGGTTTAAAGGCAAATTTTTACTTTTTTTTCTTTCATCACTTTGAAAATTTTGTCTTTAAAGAAAGGAAAATGGGGTTTCCTAGATGAGCTCTATCTATGAAATGCTCAATGTTAATTAGAAAAATTGAGGGGAAGCCAACTTTTACAGAGTTTTGGCTAAAATTGGATATGCTGCGGTAATTTCAAAATGATTCTCGGATTGTTATAACTTGATAATTTTGAATTAATATTTCAAGGTATGAAAATAATTCAATAATCCGTCAAGAATAAACTCTCAATCGTGATGAATCGTGATGTTCTTCGATAAAATAATCACAAAAAATAAGTAAAATTGGTTTTTACAGTTTGTTTGGATAGCAGCTAAAATAGCTTGATGCTCGGCTAAAGTTTCCACTACTAAGCTCTGCATTCCTATGTCCTTGCAGTAAATGCTTCCATGTATCGGCCGAATCTAATTTAAACTTGAAGATAAATTCATCAAAATATTATTTTTGTTCTCCATACATATTGGGCGCTGTATACGTATCTTTTTCCCGACACATTGAAAGTTTTTCCAACAACTACATCAAATTTTGTAAGAGCTCAAAATATATCAGTTATCTCATAAAAGTGTTACCACTTAGATTTGCATGGGATTTCCTATGCAGGGATGTATTTGAGTGAGATTATTTTTTAAATATAATTCATACAATTCACAAATTCCGAGTGCTGGCTCGTTGCAAGTGGAGGTGCTCAGAAGTTTGTTGTACAATTTTAGGCAATGATGAGCGTTGTCATTGATCGGTTGGCCCGGCGCCCAAGGCAAAATTGTTCCATTTAATTTATCAGGAAAATCATTTCCATCTTTCCTCATCCATAAGTAGAATGTGGAATTATATAGACCTTGGAAAAAACAATATAAAATCATTTAGAGACAACGAATGTACGTGGCTTTACCCATTGCGTCAATGAAGTGATCAAGCTCACCGAGGAGTTCATATGGATTGTCTATAATTGCCAAATCTGCCAGCGAATTCCCTCTGCAATAGGTTCTCAATTCGTATTGCGAAACCTAAAATTTTTATGTCACTGCTCCGTTTTAAAGGTAAAGATTTAAATAGTTTTAGTTTTTACGTTGTATCCCATTGGAATGAAGTAATTGTTGCCCAAGGATTTGTTGACTGCAACAATATTATGCTTATTATGTTCATTTAATTTGAGTTTAAGTTAAAAGTAATAAATTAAGAAAAAAAAGGAACTTTGAAAGAACGGCACTGCCAGGGTAACTGACGAGGGGCGGAATTCCCTAAAACTGATGTTGCCCTTTGCAGCAGGTGCCTTTTTTTTAAATAAAATTGCTCAAAATATATTAAATTTCCTCTCAGTTCTAATCAAGTTTAATCAACCCTGGATGGGGCCCCATAGGGTTCGGCGCACATTTTCTCAACTTCGAGGAGGAAGCTCATTTTTCCCTAGTCGCGGTGCATCCCCAGAACTATATTCTTTACTTTTAAATTTCCTTTTTTTCTTAAATCATTATTCTATTAAATTTGAGTTCTATTAAATGAAAGTTAAAAAATGGGTCCCAATTTCGTGAAAGAAATTGTAAATAACTTAAATTTTATTTTAATTACCTGATAGTGGAACTATCCTGAGAGTGATGCAATATTAATTTTTAAATATTTCGCGTGTCTTAAATCTAATTAATTACCTCTCTTCGCATAGGAAATTCCTACTGTCAGTGCAGGGCTTATCGGAAATACTCTTGCCATGCAGCACAATGCACTTTCCCTCGTCCGTTTTGTTGTATTGATCGAAATATCCGTCAGAGCAATAATGCAGTGGCGGGAAAATAGATCCGTTCTTTTTTGCCATGCCAGTGAAAAATGTAATTGAGTTGAGTGCTTCAAAAAAAATCTCAGTTAAATCCTAAATTCACACAGAGATTTTGCATCACTTTTGTTGCTACTGATGATATCTTGCACAGCAAGATACTCCTCTTTGGTTTCAAACATTACTAGGGCCATTCCGGAAGCATTGCACCACGCACTTGCGTTCTCTTGCGTCGTCTATTATTTAAATTATCAAATCTTGTCAAAGTAAATAATTTGTTTTTAATTTCACAGTAAAGTTTGGGCTGAGATAACTCTTTCCGTTGACGGTGAAGTTTGCTAGAGAAATTGATTTAATTTCATTTTTAGTTGAAGATTTGCTCATATGAAATGAGAAAGTAAATCAAATAACTATTTAAAGACAAAGTTGCGTCGTCGGTTGTATTGGTCGTGCTGTTAGTGCTGGAAGTTTTATCAGAAGTATTGGAGCTTGTAGAGCCTGCATCAGGACTCAATGATGAAGCAGAACTGGCAGGTTGGCTAGCATCGGTTGTTAAAGTGCCGTCAGCAGACGATGTTGAAATTGCGTCAGTTGCTTCCGACGAAGGTCTAGTTAAACGATAAGAAAAATTTGATTTTTATATAACCACTTTTAGCAACCAACGTTTGTTTCATTGCTGTGCTGCTGGTCTAAAAATTTAAATGTAAAACATTTTATTAAAATAATGAAAATATTCACTGCTGATCCAACATCTGGAAGGAAAGAGAAAGTAAAATATAAATTTTCTAGTTTAAATCCTTTAAATTGTTGTGTTTAACCTGCACTAGTTGATCTTTCCGTCACCACTTCCGCACTTAATATTGATTTTATCTCAAACTTTTAGTATACTTTTCTAATTTCCAATTAACTTACACAGTTGCTACACTCTTGGTTGTTTCAACCTCACCAGCAGTTGTTTTTAAATCAGGTGATTTTTCGGTGTTTTCAGGCACTGCATCCTTTGACGCGGCTTGTGTTGCGCCTTTTGAGTTTTGAACAGTGCTGGATTTTGGGATTTCTCTTGAATTTTAAAATTATTAATTGAAAGTATAAAAAAAAAATTACACTCACTCGCTTTTAGATCCCGACAGAAAGGCTGTCGCTTGATTGAGCAAGTCCTGGCTGAAAGGGAGCTCTTGTCCTTTTTCGCCGATCAGTTTCGGTTTCGGCGCCTCGCAAACAAAATTAGAGACCGTGTCGCAGTTGATGCCCGTGATGCCCAAAGAATTCAAACCCATGCAGTCTCCATCTTTCTTCGGGTCTGCGTTTGGCAGAAAAGCAGAAGCCAAATCGCCCAACCAGTTGCTTCCTCCGTCAGTGACCTTTTTCATCGAAGTCATCAGGGTGGATGTTGAAAGGCCTAAAGATTTAGTTGTGAGTGTTTGTATAGAAAATCGGGGAACAGAAAATTCGGTAGAAATTTTGTAGAAAAAAATGCTTGTGAAAGAAATTGAATATATATAATATAATAATAATTTTATGCTGCGTTAATTTTAAAAGTGGTCGTGCACAAACTTCTTTACTTTTATTTTTCAAAATTTTTAAACAATTGATTTTAAGTAACAAATAAAAAATTTCAAACCAATGTCTCCTAAGAAGTCTTGAACGGAATCTAGCTGCGTGATGCTATCAAGACTCATGAGCTCCATGCCTTGATTTTTGCAAAGTTTATTTGCTTCAGTCGCATTTGCTTTTTCAGACGGCACCACAATGTTTTTTCCACCGACGAAATTCAGAACAGCTAGAACACCAAATTCATTTGGGACTTCCCAGAAAATTTCTCATACCGTCAGCGATCGAGTCCAAAGTGCTAAAAGTTTTTTATTAGGAAAAAAATTCTCATTAAATAATTGAAATTACGCTGGGGTTGTGACGCCGTCGGGCAAAGGCATTTCTTGGCAGGAGAAGGAAAGTTGCTGATCGCAGGAGGCATTGTAAAGGGCCCCCTGATATTGAGTGAGGCAGTCACCTGGGCCGCCGGGAGGACTCCCTGTTCCCCATTTGAGCGAGGCCATGGATTGCTCATTTGCGGAAGAAAAAACTGGTTCAGAACCAAGTCCTATAAAATTAATAATTAATATTTTGTTCAAATTTAATGCATTTGGTTTGACCAATGTAATTGAGATATTCATCAATTCTGGCCGCTTCCTTGCTATCAGCGATTGAAGTTAATTCCATTCCCTGGTCAGAGCAAAACTTTTGAGCCTCATCATATGTGGCCTAAAATATTTTTTCAGCAGATAGCTCTACTAAATCTTCAGATAATTTACTTTTTCGGGAGGAAATTTATATTTCTTTTTCCCAATAACAACTGTCTTTTTTGAAGGACCTTCACATTTAAAATATATAAATCTCAATAAAAAAAAAAATAATAATGAATTTACCATTTAGCTCGTTTCTGATAACTGTAGAAAAATATTAAATTAATGGTATATGCTTTAAAAAGTTTTCTTACTTTTCTTAACTTTGGAAGCATCATTTGGGATAATCGTCCTAAAATAAAATGTATGAATAAATTTTTATTTTTAAAAGAAATTTATAATTTTTTTTTATAAATGTATATTTTACTCGTTTTTTCTGTGAATCCTTTTTGAAGAGGAACTGCTGCAACTTTTTTGTCCGCAGCAAGATATTATCGTTCTCCTTATTTTAATCCTATTTCCTGCTTCTCCCTTTTATTTCTATCTTTTCAAGGCATTTTAATTTTTACCTGCGCTGCCTGACTTCAATTTTTTTGATCCACCGTGAGCACTTGGCTGCGCGTGAGACTGTTTCGATTTCACATTTTCACTTTTCTTGGTCACGTTTTTTAATTTGCTGTCCTTTGATTCGCATGTGATTACATACATAGTCTACAATATTAATAAAATTCGTTATTATAGTTGTTTATTCTACTTAATTAAGTCGTATTTGGCTAATTAATTATTTAATATACATACCAAAACCAAGCATATTGAAATTTTTACGTAAATTTTCATGTTTCGGTAAAAATTAAAATTATAAGCACCAGCACGATACACAAGCAATGCACTGGCATTCTCGTCTGCGACACAAAGGATGTTTGTTGTGTCTCGTGGGATTTCCAAGTTGATGGTCGCGCCGCAAATGCGTCACAAGCATAATCACTGAAATTGAGTTTAAATGATGAATAATGAACATTCAATCGTTTTCGCGCCTAAAATCTTGATACGAATTTTTCTTGGGAAATTTGTTCAAAATGGAAATTAGATTTCGCTTTGTAAGTAAAAAGTTAAGTAATAAAAATTATACAGAAGAAATCTCATTGAATTAATTTTGTATTCACTAAATCACGTTCACGCGGTGGCCGATCTCTTTTTGATGTCGAGCGTTTTAGCAGACCTCTGCTTCTTGTGATACCCTTTCATCTCATCTCAATTTTGTCATGTTTACTTGAGTAGAATAAACAATAACAATAATAATAATCACATTCATATCAAACCTTAAACTTAGAAAATCTGATCGTAAATTATCAAAGCATCTAAAGCTTCGTGAAAGATTTGCCTTCAAAAAGGCATTGTAAATTAACTCCACCTCTCATGAAATAAGTTTTTCAACTAATTAATTATCTTCAATATGATAGGACTCATTTGTCTCATTTCAAAATTATTTTTTGTTCAAAATTTGTTTGAAATTAAATAAAGGCCCATCTGTTGTTTGAAGTTTATATATTATGCACATTTTAACGCAAAACTACATTTATGGTTCGCAGATGATTCTGGTTGGAATCGCACAATCTACTATGCGTGCCCACACGTAAGCTGGATTTAATACTCCACAGTTTCCCGTGATTGCTGGAAGGTCTTCACTCCAATTTATGTCATTCTTATTAAAACCTTGTCCATCGGTCCACCCCCAGGCTGTGTTCTTTCGGAGGCCAATGCCCAAATTGCTAACGCCGTCATAGTTCAGCGCTAATATTAATTATTATTATCTTTACTACCAAAGCATATTATTGTTAACAGTTTACCTGTTTTAACGGCGGCTGTCTGTAATGTAGTTTTAATGTTGTTGAATTCGCCACTGTTCTTAGGGCAATACAGTTTGTAGCCTTTTGCTACACACCACGCCGAAGCGTTGTTTGAAGATATCTAGAATTATTTATTCTTTGATTACACGTTTTATTATTAATTTGGGATTCACACCAGCTCTGTTGAAACAATGTACGTCTTGGATCCATATGTAAAGCTGCCTAATATGCGATTAGTTAATATTTTGAATGCTTTCTTTTATAATTATTTATAGGCAATGAAATTCACCATTGTCTTGCATTAAAATGTAAAGAAACTGCTGAAAAGTGAATTGAGCACCTTGATAATTATTCACCTGAGGCTAACGAAGGAGAGGTGGTAGTTGTTGTACTTGTGGTTGTTGACGTAATCGTCGACGTTCTTGTAGTTGTTGAAGTTACAGAAGTTGTTGAAGAAGAGGGTAAAGAAGTTGATGGCATTGGGCTTGTGGGTGTTGGAGTCGAGCCTATCATTGTAGACGCACCACTTGCAGATGCTGGAATCGAGCCAGACGTCACTGAAGTGGAGGAAGATTGCGCACTTAAACTTGTGTCAGTTGAACCACCACTTGCTCCAACAGACGTAGTTGTAGAATCAACTGTTGAGGTTGTTGCCGTTTGTCCTCCCGTGGTGGAGTCTGCTGACACTGAAGTTTGCGTCTCCGTGGTTCCAGAACTTGGCAAAGTATTCGTCGCCGAGGCCTGAACGCCAGATGAAGTTCCAGTTCCGGAAGCCACTGCACTACTTGCGGCTGCTGAGTTTGGTGTTGAACCGGCTGAATTTACCGAAGAAGAATCACTTGGTGCTAGAGTAGCGCTAGCTTGAGTTATTGGTTCAACTGCTGGACTGTCGGTCATTGGATCCAAGTTTGAGCTAGTTGTCCCCGAGGAAGCTTTTTGAGTAGGACCTGCACTATTCGGTGATGGTGCTTCGCACACAAAATTTGAAACCATGTCACAGGTCACACCGGTCAAGCCTAGTGAATTTAGCCCCATGCAGTCTCCAGCTTGTGCAGGGTCTTTTGGTGGTACAAGAGCTGATGCCAAATCCCCTAGCCAATTGGAATTGCCATCAGTAACTTTCTTCATTGACGTAAGTACTGTTGTTGACGAAAGACCTAAGTATGGTACAATGAAGTATGATTCGTTTTAAACCTCAAACAAGGTAATAAATACCAATATCTCCTAAGAAATCTTTTACTGAGTCCATCTGAGCAAGAGAATCTAATGACATAAGGCTCAGTCCTTGACCGGCACAAATTGATTCTGCTTGTTTTGCTGTTGCCTTTTCACTCGGAACCACAATATTCTTTCCACCGACGAAGTTTAGAACGGCTTAATCAGAACAAATTAAAATTTAACTTCCTAAAAATAGTGCTAATTTCACCATCCCCAATGGAAGACAAAGCGTCCGCACCGCTATTTGATAAAAATTAATTACTTCAATTAGACCTGAACCAAAACCTTTTTACATTGCTTCTGTGACTCCGGGTGGTAATGGTTTTTCTTCACACGCAAAGTTACTCAGTGAATCACACGAAGCGTTATAAAATACTCCATCCTTTTGGACCACGCAGTCTCCAGATCCTCCTGGTGGAGAATCCGTTCCCCAATTGACTGAACTCGAGGAACTTGATCCCAAAGCCGATGATATGGACGTATAAATGGGATCATCAGCCAAACCTGGGAAAATTATTTCTATGAAATATTTTTACGGAAAAATCACGTTCAACCTATGTAGTTCAGGTATTCAGATATCTTTTTAACTTCACCGGGGTCATCAAAAGTCGAAAGCGCCATGTTTTGATCTGCGCAAAACTTTTTGGCACCTTCAAAAGTGGCCTGTTAATTTTTTACAATTATTTTCCCTTTTGCATTTGAACGTTATTGTATTTTTCGCAAAACTTCTTTGACACTTTTTGTATAAATTACCTTTTCCTTGGGAAACTTGTATTTTTTCGTGCCGATTTTGACCAATTTTTGGGAAGGCCCTGCATATTATAGTAATTTTTTATTTTTCAAAGGCCACCACCTTATTGGGTTTTTACCGTTGAAATCCGTGCGGACCACTAAAAAATTAAAAAATCATGAGGCACTGGAAACTCCAGAGGAAATCAGCGTGGTGCCAGAAACATATAGTGATGAATTTTTTATTAAGTGCATGGAAATTAAATTAATAGATTTAATTTTAACATTAATAAGAACGGTGGGAGGCAATAGTAAATTTATGAACTTGGGCTCACACAAATAGCTAGAGCACTGGCAGAAGTGTGATTTGTTCAAATTGTGCCAAAGGCATACAAGAACAAAATGTGCAGAATTCTCAAAATTATTACTTCTCAATTTTGATAAAACATTTTTCGTGGGAATCGTCAAGCCCTAGAGATATGAAAATTATAATATTTACCCAAATCTTGTGCCTCTGCGATTTTAGTTTGATTCCTTCAAATGTATATCATTTAATATAATATCAATCACAGATCCAGTTCAAAGGTGCGTACTGCCTATTTTTGCTATTTTGTTCGTTTGAACATGACCTAGAGGCACAACATTTTTGGATATGGCTTCGTCGTATTATTGCTGAAGGTTGCAATCCAGCACTTTTCTTCTTTCCTACTTTTACAAAAATTAAAATGTTAAATAATTAAATCTGACATAAAGCTCACCTTTTAGCGATACCATGTTTTTACCATTCAAGTTAATTTGCTGTATTCGTCCATTAGCTGATGGAAATCATAGAAAACTATCTACAAATCATTACTTCTTCTCACCTAAATTCCCACTGTAGGCTTGAATTTTAACTTTTGATTTTTTTTCATCGGCAGCATCATTCTGAAATATTAAATTTCAGAATTGTGCGCAGGAAAATGCATGTTCCGTACATTGTGTGGCATCATCACCCATATTAGAGTAAGACTGAAAATGAGCGTGTAAAATTGAGCCATTGGCAGCGAACACCTGAAGACTTCAGCGGTGTGACAACGTTTCGTAAAATTTTCAGAACGGCGTGGAGAAAGCAGAGAGTGCGTGGGTTCATATCCGCTTCATTAGTTAGTCGGGCGAACTCTGGTTGAAAAAGTGGTGGGAAACCAACGCAAGAAAGGAATCCCAGCGGATTTTTTTTCAATTTTTTTAAATTGAATTGTGGTGTCATGTATCATCACATTGAAAGCATTAATAATTGTTTATTTTAAATGGAATTTCCAGTCGTGACCCCAGAGTAAATTCATTTAACTTTATGGATATGAAGGAAAAATAATTAAAATTTATAAGGAATATTAAAAATTATTAATTTAATTTCAAAAAATGCTCTTCTCTTAATTATGCGTGTTCTTCTGATCGTTCGACTCAACTGTGAGCAGGCGCATTGATAAATTTGACGAAACCTCCCAACAAGTTATGCAATGCCGCCGCACGCCGCTGTTCAGCGGGTTGCTGTCATTACAATTTAAGTCGATGGAAATTTATTCGATTACAAAATATAAAAAGAAAATGCCCAATCATTTTACTATTTATTTTTTTATTGTTTTTATTTATTATTTATCCTTGAATGAACTGGAAATTTTATTTCAAAAATATCGCCAACAAATGGTGCAGCGAGCTAGTAATTGAGGGTGTTGGTCTTTACGCTCAATATAGATAATAATTTACTTATATTGGTTTTCTTGATTTGACACAATATCATAAATTTCAAATATAATCGACGATTTGCACCTAATAGTAAGACGATTATGAAATTTATTTATATGAAAGCAGAGCGTCCCTGAAAATACAATTTTGACGGCTCGATCATCTCATTTGCAAAATTTATAAAAGAAAAAAAATTAAACTGAAACTTTAAGTTCATTTATGAATTAAAATCTAGCCAAACTTGAGCCTAAATGAAACAAAAATAATTCCCCCATTTATGTGAAGTTTTTCTTGTTTGTTGTGTTGCTATATTTTTATTATTTGCGGTTGCTGTGCTTGTTTTGCCCACTAAAGTTAAATTTGTGCCGCAGTCAATCAATGGCCGCAGTCCTGAATTTCCTTTCAAATTGCGCGGGAGGAAATTATTTTCCACGTTGACGAAGTTCCTAGATTAATGTTTGGAAATTCCCTGCAGTTTTGAAGTTGGCTGACACATTAGGAAACATTGTAATGCACTTGCTCAAGTATGAAAAAATGAAAAAAACTGCCAATTTTTAAATTTCAAAACATATCCCGAGGGGATATTAAGTGATCAAAAATTCAAATAAAATACACATTTTGATTTGGGCTGATGATTATTGTAGGCCAAAAAGCAATTCTTGTCCTTCTAGGGAGAAAATTGATGATTCATTAGATTTTTATTTCATTAAGAAAAAATTATTTTGTCACAACTTTATAATTATTATTATTGTCAAAAAATTACATGGAACCCTTCTAAAACATCCATTATATATAAGCAATCTTTCTCATAAACAATATCTATGTGGTTTTTTCTATACATATACATGATCAAAAGTTTTTCTTGAAAATTTTTATTTCATATATACTTTAAAATTTTACGCCGAGCAGATAATCCTTTTACTGACCGTGCAAGAGAAGACAGTGGCGCTTACGACATTTGCTCTATTTATCCCTCCGCAGTCGCCAGAAGTGGGGACACTCATAATCCAGCCAAGATTCATCTTGCTGTAAGTTGTGCCTTTTGACCACTGCCAAGTACCGGTATTGCGAAGCCCAATAGCAACATCGTCAGAGTAGGACATTGCTAAGAGAATGATAATTTTAGCAAAGCACTGCCGGGTTTCTAATACATTAAATAACCTGATTTTGCGGGCTCTTTATTTAGTGCGGCAGCGATGTCTGCAACGATCCCAATACTCTTAATGTTCAAAAAAGTCAGCCCGTACGTGTTACACCAAGCTTCTGCATTGTCGTAGCTCACCTGGAAATTGTAAAATAAAAGCCATTTATTTTTATTCACCTGTTCGTTCTCTTACTGGGCTGGTTGAAATCAAATATTTCGTGCCAATAATTGAGGTGAAATTGTCTGTATCAAGAGAGTCATTTTGTTAGTTATTGAGTTGACGTGAATTCACATTTCACAAACAGTAAGGTAAAGGTGTTGTCACTACTGTTGTCGTCGTCGTTACAGTTGTTGTAGTTGTTGGTGTCGTCGTCGTTACAGTTGTTGTAATTGTTGGTGTCGTCGTCGGTACAGTTGTTGTAGTTGTTGGTGTCGTCGTCGTTACAGTTGTTGTAGTTGTTGGTGTCGTCGTCGGTACAGTTGTTGTAGTTGTTGGTTTTGTTGTCGTTACAGTGGTTGTAGCTGTCGGTGTTGGTGTTGTTACCGTTGTTGACGCTGCTATTGCTATTGGTTTTGTTGTTATTATAGTTGTTGTTGCAGTTGTTGTTGCTGTTATTGAAGGAGTTGTCACTGATTTTGTTGTTGATGGAAGCGCAGTTGTTGCAGTTGCACCGATAGAGGTTGAAGAAAGTGCAGATGTTGTAAGGATTGAGGCTGATGAAGAGACTGAGGATGTGGATTGAGTTGACGCTGCTATTCCAATTGTTGTACTTGCTCCCAGCGAGGTTAAAGTTGTTCCTGAGAAATCTGTAAAGTAAAATGCTTTGCCTAATTGAAGCTCATTTCTTACCCGTTATGCTAGGGTTGACCGTAGTGGGCGTTGATGGGGTGTCTGCAGTTGAAGCGGGGTTGGACAATCCTGAGGTGGTGGAGGCCGTATCAGTGCTTGATACGGAAGTGACCGAGTCAGTATTCATAGCTGAGGCAATCAAAGCAATTTAAATAATCATGTTTAAATGAAAGGTTACTTGTTAGCGCTGCTGGCACAATGTTGGTTGCCGCAGAAGTTTGAGGACTAATAAAATAAATTTTAAATCAATTAATTCAATATAAAATATACTTGTCTGCAGAAGTGGTTGTGTCTGCTGCAGCTTTAGCTCCACTTATTGTTCAGGGAAATGTGAATTATTAATTTTTATTAATTTAATTTTTTTATTTGACACCAACCTAGTCGTTGCACCAGTTTTTGACTTTCCAGATTCCGGCGCCTGGCAAACGAAATTGGAAACTGTGTCACAGGAAATGCCCGTGATGCCCATGGAAGTCAGCCCTGTGCAGTCCCCGTCTTTTGCCGGGTCCTTTTGAGGCATGAAAGCCGAAGCCAAATCGCCCAACCAGTTCGAACCTCCGTCGGTCACTTTTTTTAAAGACGTCAGCACCGTGCTCGTTGACAATCCTAGTTCATATTAATTAATAAATTATAATTTTTTATTATAAATTAATCAATTATAATTATGAGTTATTTATTATTTTCTTTATTTCTTTATAATTATTAATTATATTTCATAGTAGTGGTTTTTGTTTTAAAATTTCTTGCCAATGTCTCCAAGGAAATCCTGGACCGAGTCCAATTGGGCCATCGAGTCGAGCGACATGAGTTCAAGGCCCTGATTGGCGCACAGACTTGTTGCTTCTGGAACGGTGGCTTTTTCGCTCGGGACCAAAATGTTTTTACCGCCGACGAAATTCAAAACAGCTTATGAAAAAAAAATTTATTAAAAAATAAAGTAAGCAAAATGGTTTTGCCATTTTTATATTCACCATCTTCTAATGAGGAGAGCGATGATGGTCCACTGAGTCACAAATTTGGAACGTATATTTAATTTTTATATTAAAATTTCTCGACCTGCATATTTTAATCAGTTTTTTTTTTAATCATCAAAATAACTAATAATCTTCAATCTTCATTTGTGTTTAAGTTTTGTGAAAATTCAACTTTTCAACTAAAATTTGCAAGTCTCAATATCAATTGTATTACATTGTTGTGGTGACTCCGTCGGGAAGAGGTCGCTCTTCACAGGCAAAGTTGGCTTTTTGGTCGCAAGACGCGTTGTAAAGGGCCCCGTTTTGTTCTACCAAACAGTTGCCCTCGCCCCCAGGTGGGGCATCCTGACCCCAGTTGCTCAAGGTGGAATTGCCGCTTTGAACCGAGGACAAGGACGCAAAAACGGGGTTGTCAGACAACCCTGCAACAATATTAAGCTAAATAATATGAATTTTTTTATCTTACCAATATAATTGAGATATTCTGTGATTTTTCCCACTTCGTCAGGATTGCTAAATGTAGCAATGTCCATGTCGTCCTTATCACAAATCTTTTTCGCCTCAGAAAATGTTGCCTTGTAAAACCAGGTCAGTAAATAGTTGGCAGAAGATTTTAGTAAACCCACCTGCTCTTTTGGAAATTTGTATTTCGTGTTTCCGATTCTTAATCGCAGCGGATTTGGCCCTTTCGTGAATAATGATGGCAATTTTATTTAAAATAATATTTAGCTTACCGCTTAGGTCTATTGGTTCTGTAAAAGAGAAAGATAAAATTTTAGTTACCAAATATTTTTTTTCAAAGTCTCTTCAGTAGAGGCGTTAAATTTACTATGGAAATTTCATTTATTTTATCTCCAATAAAACTAGATGGTGAAATATTCTTCAAAGTAGACTTCCTGCTGGGCTTATCTGTATAGCAGGTTGTCTGAAACAACACCATGCATGGAGTTGTTCTATATAATGGTTTGTACTGGGAGGGCGTAAATGCAAAGCTCAAACTTAAAATAATTGTGCTCGCCTTTGACCAAATTTTTTCGTTTTGGTAGAAGCTATAAAGATTTTTAAAATATCCAGTTATAAAGACAATGTAAAATCTTTCTTAGATATGAACGTTTTTCTTTTTTTTGCATTGAAAATCAAGAATGAACAACCTTTTTTCGTATTTGATGTGTTGTTCCTGCAAATAGCATTCAAATTATAATCCAAATTTATCTTTTTGAAAATTACCGGTATCCTTTACTGCCATCATGACATTTACTGAACCCGCAGCACTTAACAATGAGGGTTCTCTGTGGCTTTGCATACTGCGCTGTGGCAACGTAGGTGTTTCCACTTTGACGTATAACTGCAAAAAAAAAAAAAAACTCAAATTTTCTTGATCTTAGCAATATGGGGAAAGGAAAAGCACAACAACGGATTGCAAATTTTGTTTTTATTTAAAAAAAAAAGAGGGATTATATTTTTGTTTCTTTTATTCATGGAGTTCTCTTTTCGAAAGAGTGAAATGGAAATTGCTTAAAATTATCCCACTTTGAAATTAGTCAATTATTAATATTTGCTTTAATTTAAAAAAAATTGCTATAGGAAACGATAGGAGTGAAAAATATTTGTGTTCCGTAAAATAAGGTTTTAAAAAACATACGTTTTATCGAATGCAAACGCTGTCCATTGGCACGCACTTGTACGGCTTTCTTGGCGGCTGTTGAGTTGAATATGGTGAGCAAGATATTTGATTTTTAATGCTGTTGTATTTTTATTAAGAATCGAAACCAATATTTAAATTTTGAGTATTTTGTGTGGTTTGGTGCGAAAGCAATATTTTATGATTGAAATCATTGAAATTAACCCCACTTTAAATCGTGAATTCAATTCCAATAAAAATCTTCTCGTCGCATGAAGTAAATCAACCAAATGTCAATTTTTGATAATGTTGAATTCCATTTAATTACTCCTAACAAGTTTTCAAAATTAGAAATAATAAGACACTAAAATTTGCAGCTTCGCAATTGCAATATACGGAGGCAATTTTATTGCTCGCAAACCGTTCGATTCCCAATACTTCAAATAAGGAAATTGTTTTCTAATCAACGTACACCGGACAATTGCATTCCGCGATGCTTTCTTTCCGATACGTTTACGATCTGTGTTAGGAAGAATTATTTTGATTATTCGAAGCTTGCTTAATTTAATCGTTTTAAAAATAATTTAATTGAATGACTATTAAGTTGAACTATTCTGTAACTCTCATTTTCTTGATTCCCTGTTTCTATTCCTATAATGTGAACCCTTATATTGGCCTACGCTTTTGGATGCTGGCGTTTTGTGTATTCTCCTTGGAACTCCACCCTAAAAGAACGTCCTGAAAACAAAACGAAGTCACATCAACGCTGAAGCAACTCGTCTTCGAATCTCACCGACAGAATTAAAATAATGAAAATTGCTAGGGTAGAGCGACACATCACATTGTAACTTTTGAAAGTGGATTTTACAGAGTGATCGCAGTTTGTGCATTCGTTGAACTGTGGAGATTGGAAGTGATTTTGCAGGGAATTCCTCTCTGCGTTGCAATGTCGACAGGTGGGAAAAAAAAACAGGAAAAGAGAGCAAAATGATGAGAGTTGGGCAAAACCAGGTGGGAAACGGGAGCAAATTAAAAAGACATTAGTTTACTGAATGTGCTTCTGAAAAGGTGCGATTTTTATTTAGTCGCTGGAGTTTTCTGTAAAAATGGTGTTACATAAGAGGCGCGAACTATTAACTTTTTTTAACTGCATAGAATGAAGCATAAAAAAATGCTGTTTCAAATATTTTTATAACTGTTGTTGTGCTCTGAATTCTTTTTTGTTTACACAAATGTACACTTGAAAGTGAAAATCGGCCTAAATGAAAGTGGATGAATTTGGGATGAAAATAATGGCTTGATAAATAGAATCTTTTCAAAGAAATCATTTTTGAGTGTTTAAATAATACTTTTGTTGTTTTGTAATGAACATGAGAGAGTAATTTAAAATTTTAAAGGATTTACACACTTTTTATCAATTATTGCACAATTATTTTCATAATAAGCCTCTATTAATTAGACACAAAAGATTCTTCTTGGCTCTGAACAATTAAAAGTGACGGCGTAATCTCGATTGACGTCGAAGCCGGCGCAGTCGCCTGGGGTTGTCGGTGCGGCTTTCCAGTTAAACACCTTAATGTCCACTTGTTTTTTACTTACTGGCCATTTCCAAACTCCATTAATTTTTCTTGCTCCAAACGCAATAATATCAGGATATCGCAGTGCTACCACGATTACAAATTTAGGCAGCGTTCTAATTGAGAAAAGTAATATAATTACCAGCTTGCGTCGCACTTTTCCTTAACAAAATCAAACTGGCATTGAAGTCGGCATTATCAAATGACGTAAATGTGTCTTTATTATCCTTGCACCACTGTTCTCCCTTATCGAATGGAACCTGCAATTTAATATAGAATTTTAGTTTTCAAAAGGGAATTTTTACAGTCGGATCAAATTTCTAATTGAATTATAATTATGGAACTTTCCACGATAATATAAAGGTTGATAGTTTTGGGCATGAACGTACCGGGTACCCTGATATTGGGCAATCCTTATTTGTAGCTAAACACGTTACATGAACAGCTGAAAATTTTGAAGAAGAAATTTTTAATGAAGCTGTATTTTATTGAAAATATTACTAGGTATAGGTGCCATTGGACTGAAAAAATTAAGCAATGAATTCTGGAAATTGGTTTAGCAGTGAAATTATTTACACTTCGCAAACAAAAGGAAGTGGAATTCCACAATCAACGCTGATTAGTTTTCCCTGCAGAGCTCCAACGCAGCCACCTTTTGAAAGGTCTGGGTGACCTGTTGCCCATTCAACCAAGCTCTTGTTCGCTTTCAACCATGTTGATAAATCGAGGGTAAATTTGTTAACGAATACCGACGTGTCTGACATGCCTAAAGTTCGTTTGACTTGGATTTGACATAGATTCTAATGCTCAGCTCTCACTCAAATTGATGAGAAGAGTGTTCAACTCTCCGAGGTGTTCGTAGGGCGTGTCGATGGACACCACAGAGGCGCTCCCGTTGAATCTCTTGCAATAATAATTTGCTTCCAACACGCAAGCCTAAGCTATTCTCTTATAGAAAATGTAATCAATTTCTACTTTTAATTTCACCTCCAGATTTCTCAACACAAAGTACTGACGAGTTTTTGAATAGATTACTGCCAAAAAGTTATTGAAATCACAAATCTTGATTATTTTTTTTAAATTTTTTATTTTACCTTCTGTATAATTCAATCTATATTTAAGGAAAGGCAAATTACTTGAATGCGAATAAAGTATTTTAAATTGTTACTTGTTTTCGCACGCGAAATAGCACTTTTTGTCGCATGGAGTGGTCAACCATTTCCCATACTGCGCCGTCAAACAGTCGCCACCCGAATTTGTCAAAATGTTTGCTGGAGTAGTGTTGAAAAATCCGCCTGGATTTGCCCAGTTACCATTTGTCTTCTTTAGAGCGACGAAATAAGACGCATTTTTCCTATCTGCGGATAAATAAAAATTGATAAAAGCGCAATGTCAAGTTAAATGAGCTTGAAATATTTAAGTATTAGAGTCTGGCCAATTTGGATTAAAAAATTATTTTAGATATTCATATGAAACTCTATTTTGAAATTTATTAAATAATGATATTTATGCAATACTGTTTATCCCAAAAAAAATAAATTTACCTGGATCAGCGACCAGTTGACTCATAAGTGTTTGAAACTCTTGCATGCATTCTCCTACCAAAAGCCTCATGCCCATCGCTTCACATTTGGCCAATGCCTCATCATATGTGGCCTGAGAAGTTCAAATTTAAAGCTTAAGATTTTTGTTTAATTTCCTGCTTACCGTCTCGTTTGACAAATAAGTCACTTTCTTAGAAACGGTGTACGTGAAAGCTGGTAAAACAGTGTACATATTATTCCATTTTTCAATTAATTTTCTTTCAAAAACTGAAAGCACAATTAAAAATGTTGAATATTAAAATAATAATAGGGTAAAAAAGCCACCAGTTAGGTCACTCTTTTTATGATTTATTATTTTAATTTTATGTTGATAATTTAAATATTTAATTTATATGTTTACGTTTCTTGCAGAAGGTTCAAGATATATTTAGTTTTTTACCTGCTATCAAAGGTTTTGACGTTGTTGTCGAAGTTGTAAGAGCAGTTGTTGCTGTCGTTGTCTGGACTGCAGCCGTTGATGCAGATCCATAAATTGTATTTGTATTTGCAGTAGATGTAGCTGTATTTGAGGAAGTAATAGCTGCATTTGTGCCAACGTTGGAGGTCAAAGTTGGAGTCGCCAAATCAGAAGTTGAAGTAATCGCAACAATTGTAGTTTCTGGGTTTGTGTAGGAAGATGTTGCGGCTTGGATGTTACTCAAGACAGTTGTCACTAAATCCGTGACGAGAGGAGCTGTCTGAGAAGTTGTCTCAGCAGGATTTGTTGGATAAGTCATCTGAAGAGTTGCTGAAGCGGTTGAAGATGTCGTGGTTAGAATCTCTGCCAATTCAGTAGCAATGGCAGGTGATTCGTATGTAGGCGGCTCGCTTGCAGCCTCTGATGCAGTTTGCGAACTGCATGAAAAGCAAACATTTAAAATGATCCAATAAATAATCTAAAAATGACCATCGTACTCGGAACTTGTAGAATCAGTGGCGTCTGCAGGTTTCGCTTCACACATGAAATTACTTTTTGCGTCACAGGTCGTAGTTTTCAGAGTGGAACTGGCAAAAGTGGTGCAGTTTCCTGCGGTGCTTGCAGGTTGGTTGCTCGCCCAATTAAGTCCGTCAGCAATTGCACTCCCATCCCAGGAAAACGACCCAGCGCCCAATGGCAGCAAACTGGTCAGAATCGAACTCGATCCAACACCTAGATTTTCCAAAATTAATCTAGTTTTACCAAATTGGACATTGCTCACCTTTGGAGTTAAGAAAGCTGCTAATTAAATCGCTTTCCGTTTTGGTTTGAATCGAGAGCAGGTCCATCTGCCGAGACTCGCACAATTTCTTTGCCTCATCATAATTGGCCTAAAAGCAGTTGAATTCTTTTTGAATAAAGTACATTTTTTATATTTTAAATTTAAAAAATTCACTTCTTCTGTAAAGAAAAGAAGAACACGGTGAACTTAAACCCAGTCAACAAACCTTGTTTGATGGCAAAATATAGTCAAGGCCACCAAGGTTTACAGGCTCCGCTGTAAAATTATCATATTAATCTTTAGATTTCATCTTTTGCGTGGTTCGGAATTGTTCACTTTTGTCAACTGACAGGAAAGAACTGAACAAATCACTATAATGAAAACATGTAAATAATATATAGTAAAACTGTATCTTTTTAATTCATATTAAAGCAGACCCAAGCGCAGGTGGTGCTGCTTTTGTTACGCCAGAATCCGGAGCCTGGCAAACGAAATTCGACACCGTGTCGCAGGAAATGCCAGTGATGCCCAAAGAACTGAGCCCCACGCAGTCCCCGTCTTTTGCCGGGTCCTTTTGTGGCAAGAAAGCCGAGGCCAAATCGCCCAGCCAGTTCGAGCCCCCGTCGGTCACTTTTTTCAAAGACGTCAGCACCGTGCTTGTCGACAATCCTAATTCATATAAATTATTTCATTATAATTATTTATTGCAATTATTATATATTTATTATAATTCATTTATAAAAGTGCAAGTTTATGCTATAAAATTTCTTGCCAATGTCTCCAAGGAAATCCTGGACCGAGTCCAATTGGGCCACCGAGTCAAGCGACATGAGTTCAAGGCCCTGATTGGCGCACATGCTTTCCGCCTGAGGCACGGAGGCTTTTTCACTCGGAACCACGATGTTTTTACCACCGACGAAATTCAAAACAGCTTTTCACAAATTTTGAATTACAGCAGGAAAAATAATTGCTGGACTTTCCTACCGTCCTCCAATGACGTTAGCGGCTCCGGGCCGCTGCAACGATTGAACGGAAATGAGTCGGAAATTTTCACGAAAACAACAAATTTAAAATTTAAATACGAGGGAAATATTAATTATATCTGATTTGAAATATGCTTATTTAAATATAAAACAGCAGAATTAATGTAATTTATATTACTTGGCTCCACCCGGCTTCTCTTCGCACGCGAAGTGGGCCTTTTGTTGGCAAGACGCGTTGTAAAGGGCCCCTTTTTGCTGCACCAGGCAGTCGCCAGCGCCCCCAGGGGGAGCGTCTTGACCCCAGCTGCTCAGGAAAGAACCCACCCCATCCGTAGAGGACAGAGACGCGAACAAAGGAATATCGGACAACCCTGATAAGAGGAGCAATTTTTATTTTTATGTTTATTTAATTTTTTACGTACCAATGTATTGAAGATACTCGGTGATTTTCCCAACTTCTTGTGGACTGCTGAAAGAAGCGATATCCATATTTTCCTTTTCACAATATTTTTTAGCTTCTGTAAACGTTGCCTACAAAAATATACTTGTCAGATTTTGAACCGATTTTAATACATTATAAAAACCTCTTCTTTCGGAAATTTGTACTTTGTTTTTCCGATTTTAACGAGTTTTGAAGATGGCCCTGAACGATTAATTAAAAACGCAAACTCAATTTATATTCCCTGTTATATTTACCATTGTAATCATTGAATCCTGAAATTTTAATTAAATTGCCGTTCATTAATACACAAAATTACTCTAAATAAATGATAATTTCAATAACAATTTACGCACCTTTTCGCCTTTTTGGCCATTTTGTGGAATTCCTATATTATTTGACATGTATTTTTATTTAAATTATTGATTAAAAATCGTTAGAAACCTGGCGCCTCTGTCATTCTGACATTTCCTGTGTCCGCAACACTGGATGATGAGATTCCGTTTTTCCCCAGTGTAGCGGGTAAAAGCCACGTAGCTGATGGAATTTTGACGCGTCACTTAAATAGGCATTTCATTACTTTGACATGCGACAAAACAGCTCAATCAAGCAATCGTACGTTTAATAGAAGAGATGCGCTTGCCGTTGATCTGGACTGGAACCGAATTCTTTGAGACTGATTCAGAGGTTTTATAATTTTATGTTTAATTCATATTAAAAAGAAAAACTCACTTTTCTGCATTGTTTTCACATTTTGATTATTGCCCGCAGAGCTCCATCCTACAATGATATCCTTGGAAAACTTGTATAATGTTATCAAAAATAAGTTGTTTTTTTGGTACTCACAGAGATTAATATTACGACCGTTGCGAGGGTTGCATAACGCATTACATCATTCGGGGGTTGGTGACGCAGTTGATTCCCAAAATCTGCTGCCCAGAGCCCGGTTGTGAAACGCTGAATAACGCGAAATTCGCTGGAGTTTATCAGTATTTTGCTCTATCGGAAGTAGGCATGTTCATTTCAGACGCGAACAAAACGTCAAAAATCTGTGACAGCCACGAAAGGGACTTTTTGACGTGTTTACTGCAACAGGAAACTGGATAAAAATCTTTGACGCGCAGCATTTTCAGTGAAAAACAAATTTTGAATAAATTTATCTGCCATTTAAAAGTTCACCCCTCTAAACATTGGAAATCGGCAAAAATATTTCAACTGTACAGTGTTTTGGCAGGGGTCATACGATCGTGACCATATTTGAGACCCATAAAGACCATGTCAAGAGGTTTTCAAAAATATATAGTTTTACCCCATTATCTCAAAATTTATGGGTTTTACGGGACGTTCAAATTTGGATTTCGGAAAATTTCAAAAGGCTGTATCTCGGCTTCCCGTTGACGTAGAACAAAAATCCGGGTATGGTTGAATTTGTCTCATTGCCCTCTACAACTTTGCTGTTGGAAGCAAAATCGTATGTCAAAGTTCAAGGTCACTTCTGCTGACCTCGTGACCTTTGACCTCACAATTGAAGGTTATCCCCCAATTTTATTTCAATTCTGAGATAGCCATTTTGTAGAACGTGAAATTTTACGCTATATAAGAAAATAAACCAGATGGTGTTTTTTGTTAAAAAATTAATAAATAAATTAAAAGAGCAAAAAACGTTGTTTTCCGAGCATTTTTGCTGGGTAAATATGTTTGAACCACCGTAACTTTTTTTCTGGGCAAGATAGCCCCACATACCTAATGACAAAAAGTAATTGCCTTGACACGGCCCATCTAATGATGTATCACACGTGGTGGTCAGGTCACAAAAGGTCATTGACCCCGGTGACCTTTGACCTTCCCATAATTTTTTCGTCATGTGTGGCACATGATTCGAAAGAGAACATTAAGAGGGTCATTTTGGTGCCCAGAAATCTGTTGTAGCTTGAGCAGAAGTAAAATTATTACTGTTTTTGTAATAAAAAGTGATCGAAATCGAATTGTAAATAAACGTAATTCTAGGATAACTCTGCTTCTCTGAAAGCTACAACAGATTTCTGGGCACCATAATGACCCTCTTAATGTTCTCTTTCGAATCATGTGCCACACATGACGAAAAAATTATGGGAAGGTCAAAGGTCACCGGGGTCAATGACCTTTTGTGACCTGACCACCACGTGTGATACATCATTAGATGGGCCGTGTCAAGGCAATTACTTTTTGTCATTAGGTATGTGGGGCTATCTTGCCCAGAAAAAAAGTTACGGTGGTTCAAACATATTTACCCAGCAAAAATGCTCGGAAAACCACGTTTTTTGCTCTTTTAATTTATTTATTAATTTTTTAACAAAAAACGCCATCTGGTTTATTTTCTTATATAGCGTAAAATTTCACGTTCTACAAAATGGCTATCTCAGAATTGAAATAAAATTGGGGGATAACCTTCAATTGTGAGGTCAAAGGTCACGAGGTCAGCAGAAGTGACCTTGAACTTTGACATACGATTTTGCTTCCAACAGCAAAGTTGTAGAGGGCAATGAGACAAATTCAACCATACCCGGATTTTTGTTCTACGTCAACGGGAAGCCGAGATACAGCCTTTTGAAATTTTCCAAAATCCAAATTTGAACGTCCCGTAAAACCCATAAATTTTGAGATAATGGGGTAAAACTATATATTTTTGAAAACCTCTTGACATGGCCTTTATGGATCTCAAATATGGTCACGATCGTATGACCCCTGCCAAAACACTGTACACTTGAAATATTTTTGCCGAAATATATAATAATTTACAAATAGAATTTCCACTCACCTGCTAAGCCTGAGGAGAAAATTATAGATTTTTATTTTTATCATTTTATTATATTTTATAAATTCAAGCCGCTGGCAAATTAAAAAGAGAACAATTATTTAAGCAAAACCAAATGAGTAAGTTGGAAATTTATTTTTTGTTCGATTCACACGCAAAAGATCTTTTTAGGTTCTGAACAATCGAAAGTTACGGCGTAATCGTATCTAATGTCGAAGCCAGCGCAGTCTCCGGGGGTCGTTGGTGCGGATTGCCAATTAAACACACTGAAGGAAAACGTTTTTCCGTCTCTCCATTGCCAGACCCCGTTATTTTTTCTCGCTGCCACTGCGATAATTTCTGGGTAGCGCAAAGCTATCCGTTTTAAAATTTGAGCCAACATTAAAAGTTGAAAAGAAAATGAATTACTGGCTTGAGTTGCATTTTGCCTCAATATGGTCAAACTGGCGTTGAAATCAGCATTGGTGAATGAATTAAAATCGTCACCATTATTTTTACACCAAGCTTGACCCTGGTTAAAAGGTACCTGCAGTTTAATTTTTTATAATTACTAATTATAATGTAAAATTTAAAAATATATTGAAAAATTCAGAGTGTAAGTAATTCATAATTATTTTTAAGTATTAAATTTTACGCAAATTTGTTTTCTTTGCATAGTGGAGAAATCATATTTAATTTATTCCTTTTAAAATAATCGATTGAATCAATTATACCGGATATGGTGGAATAGGGCAGTTCCAATTAGCAGCTAAGCACTTGATTTGCACAACTGCCGTAATTTGAGATTGAAAAAAAATATTATTATTGTTATTTACAAATGTACCAGGTAATGGCGCCGTTGGACTGAAAAGTCAATAATGAACATTTGAAAATTAACAAATAAAAATAATCTAGTACATTTCGCAAACGAAAGGCAGCGGCATTCCGCATTCAACACTGATTAGTTTTCCCTCGAGAACTCCAACGCAGCTGCCTATGGTCTGGTTTGGGTGACCTGGCGTCCATACGACCGAGCCAGAGCTCGCTTTTAACCACGACGATGCACTTAAGGTAACTTTGTTGATGTGTGTTGAAACATTCTGTAGATCTAATTTTAAGGTGCCCATTGAAGGGGCTCAGTGTGGAGTTAAAATTTCTTACTTAAGTCCTGCAGCAGGGTGTATAACTCAGCATAGTGCTCGTAAGGTGTGTCAATCAAGACTAATGAAGCGGCGGGATTTATTTCCGAGCATCTTACGTTAGCTTCACTTTGGCAAACCTTCACACAATGCTCAAGTTCTCTCAAAGGGGAAGTGTGATTTAAATTTTACCTCCAAATCTTGCATCACAAAGTATTGACGAGATTTTGAATAGACCACTACCACACATAATTAACTTTCTATGCGTATGATTAATGTAAATAATTATATACTTTACCTTCAGTGTAGTACATACTAAAATGCAATTTTATAAATCAGTGCACGTTTCAAAGAAACAACTAGAAATACTTGTTTTCGCAGGCAAAATAGTACTGGTCATCACAAGATGCCATAGACCAAGATCCATTTTTTGTAATAACGCAATCGTCACCTGACGTTGAGGGGGCGATCGGGCCCGGCGGAGAATGAAATGATCCAGTGGGGTTTGACAAGTAGCCGTTTGCATTCATCTTAAGAGCAATCAAGTAAGACGCACTCTTTCTATCTGAACAAAACGAAATGTGAAACTTTTATTATATTTCTATTATAATTTACAAGTAGATCATTGAAAGTGACACTCCCTGCTTGATTTTATCATAATTTTTGTCAAGAACAATAATGAGGGTCATAAAAATTGCTGTGATTTATCATTAAAAACGAATCCATTTTAAATAAATGCCAAACACACTTCAGCTCACGCTGGCTTATACGCTTTCTTTATTGCGCTCTTTCTTAATGTTGGCAAGTTAATTACATACCTGGCGAAGCAGCCAGCTCATTAATTAACATTTTATATTCCAGTTGACACTCGGCAATCAAAAGTCTCATCCCCATCGCTGCGCACTTAGCAATCGCGTCATCGTACGTTGCCTGAAATTTTGGACGGAAAATTTTTATTTTGCATTTTATTTTATACAAAAAAATTACCGTCTCATTTGATAAGTATGTCACCTTCTTCCCCAAGGTATAGATGTAAGCTGCAACAGTAGGTGAAACTGTCGTGGTTGAAGTTGATGTTTCAGTTGTAGTTGAAGTTGATGTTTCAGTTGTAGTTGAAGTTGATGTTTCAGTTGTAGTTGAAGTTGATGTTTCAGTTGTAGTTGATGTGGATGTTTCAGTTGTGGTCGATGTGGATGTTGCGGTTGTGGTTGAAGTGACACCGGCTAAAGGTGGTGCACCTGCTGCAGGGACACTGGTTGGTTTTGCAGTGGTACTGGTTGAAGGTGGTGCAAATGCTGGAGGGACAGTGTTGGGAGGTTTTGCAGACGTACCGACTGAAGGTGGTGAAGATGCTGCAGGGATGCTGGTTGAAGGTGTTGAAGAGACAACGGTTGAAGGTGTTGTGATGATATCAGTTGAAGTTTCAGTTACAGTACTTGTAGGGTTCATGCTGCCCAATGATGCTGATGATGAGGTAGAGCTTATTGTGGTTGCACTGATGATGGATGGAGGAATTGCTGCTGAAGAAGTTGCGCTTGACTTTGTTGATGTTGAAAGTGATTCTATTGTCTGCTGAATTGATGTTGATTCAGTCGGTGCGTTAGTTGCTCTAGAAATTTGACAATTTTATTAAGAATGTCGCAATCTATTCAACATCAAAATACTCTTCTGTAGAATCTGGAACTATAGTTGGTGCGTTGGTGGCGTCTGCAGGTTTCGCCTCGCACATGAAATTGCTTTTGGTGTCGCATGACACAGTTTTCAAAGTTGAACTGGCTAAAGTGGCGCAGTCCCCGGTGCCAGGCTGATTGCTCGCCCATTTGAGGCCATTGGCAGCGGTACTTCCGTCCCACGAAAACTTTCCAGGGTCAATTGACTGCAAACCGGTTAAAATCGAACTCGACCCCACTCCTGTGATAAGTAATTGAAATGTAATGTGGAAGTGCTGAAAATATGAGATGACCTTTTGAATTGAGGAAGTTGCTTATTAAATCGCTTTCGGTTTTCGTTTGAATGGACAGAAGATCCATTTGCCTCGATTCACACAGTTGTTTTGCTTCATCATAAGTGGCCTTCGTAAAATATTACAGATAAAAATAATAAACAGAATTAAAAAGTATTATTTTTCATTAAAACAATTTATAAAAATATCAAAATATATGAATAAATTAAATGAATTAATTCTAAAGAACCTTCTCTGACGGTAAAATGTACTGCTGCCCTCCAAGTTGCACAGGCTGTGCTGGAATAGAAGCAATTAATTTAATTTTCATTAATAATCAGCTTACAAAAAAGTGATTTTTTTTAAATCACCTTTTTCAACTGGCATGAATGCACTAAACAAGTCGCTAAATGTTGCAACGAATCGGTAAATTATTTTGAATGTACATCACACATTTAACCTTAACGCTGGTGCCGAGGCCTTTGGGCTGTTGGATGCAGGCGCTTGGCAAACGAAATTCGAAACCGCGTCGCAGGAAACGCCCGTGATGCCCAAAGAATTGAGACCCATGCAATCCCCATCTTTTGCCGGGTCCTTTTGCGGCATGAAAGCCGAGGCCAAATCGCCCAACCAGTTCGAACCCCCGTCGGTCACTTTTTTTAAAGACGTCAGCACTGTACTTGTGGACAATCCTGATTCATATAAATCAATAAATTATAATTATAGTATTTAATTCTTTATTAATTATCATAATTATTAATTCTATTTTATTTTATTTTAATTATTATAAATTATAATTCATGTCAAATTGCATGTTTTTGTTTTAAAATTTCTTGCCAATATCTCCAAGGAAATCCTGGACCGAGTCCATTTGGGCCATTGAGTCGAGGGACATTAGTTGGAGACCCTGATTAGCGCACATGCTTTCTGCCTCCTTAGCGTTGGCTTTTTCGCTCGGAACCAAAATGTTTTTACCGCCGACGAAACTCAGCACAGCTTTTTTTTTTAGAAAAAGTAGCATTGTTAACGGCATGTAATAAACAAATGGTAAAATTTTAAAATTAAAAAAATTATAATCGTTTTCACGACTATTTAAAACAATACAACAGAGAAGTAATTCTTATTTTCAATGTAATTCAATTTGGTTTTGGAAATTGTAATTTTCCAGTCAAATGCGAGTGATAAATATCCGTAATTATTGTCAAACCATCTCCTAGTGATGACAATGATTCTGGTCCTCTGTTAAAAATAATTAAAAATCAATTTTCACTCATCTTTTAAATTATTTGACAGCTTTTAGTAATTATACAATTAACTTTTAACAAAATTGTGAGAATATTCTTGCAAGAAATATACTTAATAAAATTACATTGTTGTAGTAACTCCATTTGGAAGGGGCCTCTCTTCACACGCAAAATAAGCCTTTTGATCGCAGGAAGCGTTGTAAAGGGCCCCGTTTTGTTGCACCAAACAAGTGCCCTCGCCCCCGGGTGGGGCATCTTGACCCCAGTTACTCAAGGGTGTGCTTTGATTAGAGGACAAGGATGCAAAAACGGGGTTGTCCGACAAACCTGTGCGAGTTTTCTCTATGACTTAATATTTTTGCCCTTTTTTCAAAACGAACCAATGTATTGGAGATATTCTGAAATTTTGCTAACTTCGTCTGGATTGTTTAAAGCGGCAACGTCCATGTTTTCTTTGTTGCAAAATTTCTTCGCCTCGGAAAAAGTCGCCTGAAAGGAAAAAGGAGGTTTTCACCTTGATCCTTTTTTTTATTAAAATTAGCGAAGAAAACCTCTTCTTTTGGAAATTTGTATTTGGTTTTTCCAATTCTAACGAGCATTGATGAAGGACCTGAATTAACAATAAATACAAAATTAATATTCGCATTACTTTAAGAGTCTTTTTTTCATTAATATATTAATTACCGCTAAAATCTATTGCTCCTAAAACATACGAAGATTTAAAAGAAACTGCAAACTCAGTCGGAAATTATTTACCCTCTTTATTTGTATAAAAAAGCGTGTTATTCCTGTGAAATGTAATCAAATAAATAAAATGTCAATTGTGCAAATTGCTATAAAGTTACCCTCTGCCACCCTGGCAATGTGCAACAATGAGACGTCTCCGATGTGAGAAATGTGCCGTCGCCACGAAAGTATTTGGACTTTTTCTAATCACTTTTTAATTCACCTTATTTGGTAAAAATATTCCAGTTAATTTGAAATCATACGCTTAATCGAAGTCAGCCGCTTTCCGCTGACGGGCTGTAGAACCAAATTCCGCGCTGATAAGGGTTTGAGGATTTAAAATTTGCCTTAGTTTCTTTTTTGTTGCACCTCACCTTTTTTCATTTTGGTACTCTGGTGCAAAGCTTTGGCACTCCATCCCAAAACAACATCCTATAAAGGTCAAATTCAGATAAATAACAAGAAGCAGACACGAAAGCACTCACGGTCCACACAATAATGATTATAAGGGTTGGGGCAAAGCAATGCATTATATTCCAAGCTCGGTTCTAAACATCAAATGTAATTTCCAAACTGCCGTCGGGTTCTGCTTCGGCATTAAAAAATTATTGCAAATGCAGGGAATTTTATCAATTTGTGGCGAAGGAAGTGGACGCTGTGGATAATTAGGAATTTTTGATAAGTCGCGTTTTTTCCAATGTCAGTATTGGGAAAATCCCTGCTTTTTTTATTTCAATTCAGCTAATTGTAAATAGTTTTGCATGAAAAAAGCTTTTAGCGTACGCGTGAAAGTTTTAATCTGTCATACAAATCGAATTGTTAGCCTAGTTTTTTAATTCATGATATTTTGTTGGAACTAATTATATTAAAATTGTTTTGATTGATAACAAGACATTAAGTTGAAATATTGCACTTCGCCACTTCCCGTGAAACTCCCCGATCGCCAATTTCCGTCCGTTTGAATCTGACAGTGAATTAATTATGAATGATGAGAGCTAAATCATTTATCATGAAATCAATTATATTATTCTGCTTGGAGGCTGTAAAAATTCACCCACTTATTTTAAGCAAACTCCTAAACTATTTGAGTATAGGCACCACTGTCTACATGCACGTCAATCAGGTTGCATACTTTTCATAAATCACGGAGACTTTGATTAATTTTGCATTATATTCAACGTTTTAACCCAGACGAAGTTCGGTAGCATTAGCATTAATTTTCAATCTCACCAAATTAGCGTCAGTAAATGGTGTTTTTTGTTAAAAAGTTTTTTTAAATGTTCCTCTAGCGTGTTTATTGTATCCAATACTACACGCAAATGATTCTACTCGTTAATTTGTTTATATCAAACTGTCCTGAAGTGATATAAATGATTCTGGGCCTCTGTAAATCGAATGCATTATTTCATTTTCACAGACGTCAGTCGGCATTTATTTTGATCTATGAAATGCAGAAACCTCATTTTTTTGGAAATTTGTATTTCGTTTTTCCTATTCTAAGGGACAAAAACGATGGACCTGACGTGATCAGTAAAAAAAAAATGAGTATAAAATATTTTTAATAAAGCTCAGGTTTGACATTTTTTGTAGGCACCCGTCACGTGCAAGGTGCAAAGTGCACTTGCAGGCGAGCACCCTCACTTTCACTCTCGCAGCTCCCTCGCCGCCTCTGGTCTTGTTCGGCGACGTACAATTTTATTTTAAGGGTGAAGGAAAGGAAAGTGAAATTGAAAAAAAGTGTATAAAAAAAGAAATAGCTTTTGCAAACAAAAAATAAAAAAAATACGTGTGTAATAGATTTTGCAGCATCCTAGCTGCAAATTAACCGTTATAACCGCTAAAGTCTATTGCACCTGAATATATAAATGACAGTATGAATGGATGTATAAAAAAATTATAAAATTATTTCATTATTTATATTATAACCTCTTTTAATGTTCAAATCAAACGTGCTGTTTCTGCAAACGTCGATGGAATTCCAATGAGCATGTTATATTTTTAATAATAGAAAATTTTACAAAATCACGCATTAAAATATTATAATTTTTGTGTCACAATTATTAATACAAGATTTGTAATCCCATTTCACTGTTATTTGGCTGGTATTGACATTCATAATTTAACTAAGAATTAAATTGCTGTACAGATCCCTTGATTGACATTTCATTAATCAAATCACAGAGAAATTTTTAAGAGCGCAATAGAAATAGCGTTTGACGCACAAAGAAAATAAATGTGGGGAATTTCATTCGGTTGCATTAGCTGCCGCTATGGAAAATCAAAACTTCAACATCCTACTTTCATAGTCCCGCATTCATAGAAATTGAATTTTATTTTGGAAATCTTTTGTTTTCAATTAAATTGTTTGATTTTCGTGAGGAAAAATATTTGGCATTTTATTTATTTGAAAATAAAGCCGACATTTGTTGTATTTTAATTGTACATAATTTATAATTCATCATCTAAACAATGAATTTTCTAAGAAAGAAATTTGAGATTGCAAAAAACAAATTAAAATATAGTTAACTTGAGGTAAATCCTTATCTTGGACTGATAATTTCTTCATAAGAAGGCAGACCGTCGATCACCGTGGTTGTGTGATAGTCCGGAGGCAAGTCAAATTCCAACGTGTCGTTATCAGGGGTCCAAGAAGGGAGCGAGTTTGATTGATAATTTTGGATTTCGATCACCTCAAAGGTCGTATTCTGATCCACCCTGCTTTCGCCGTCCGAGTTCAACCGACGGATTCCTCCAATCGTGAAGACGTTTATTGGTTCTGGGGTGGCTCTGCGATCCAAAATTGCGATTAAAAAATTATTTATACGACCAAGTTGAACTAATCTACTTACATGATGCGTTGATCGCGCCTCTTAAGGCACTTCTCAAGCAGTTTAAGAGCACCGAGTAGAAGTCCGACGAGCAGACCAATCACCAGAAGAATCAGAAGAGCCTCAGCGTCCGTCACATTGTCACTGCAGTGCAGAGCTTAAGGGAACTTTAGGGTGCAAAAATAATATCTTACTTCATCGTCCGGCGCCGAAAAAACCAATGCCGCTCTCCGTTTCGATCCAGGCGTGTTTCAATGGACTTTATCTGAACTGATTATCTTAGCCTGCGTCATAATTGCGTAGATGAGGGATTTCATCAGCCCACAGTTATTGATTAATATTTATTATTAGAAACTTTCTATAGTTCCAGGAAAAAAAATATTCAATACATGATATGTGTAGCTGTGCAAAAATATAAAAAAAAACTATTAAAAGCAATTTTTCAAATGGAGATAAAGAATGGATAAAGGCCAAAATTTAAAAATATTCACGCTAAATTTTACTTTATTTTTGCGGAAATTAGCAAATTTTAATGTATTTTGATTAAATCAGAAACGTTTGAAAATTGGAGAAATAAAATTGTATTATAATGGAATACGATGAGTCAATAATTAGTAAAATCCATTTTGAAAATTATAATTTATTACTTCCATTTGACAGTGAAACTTTGCGGAATCAAAATAATTTTTGCAAGAACAGCAATATTTTCATACTTTTTACTTCCTTGCTGGATGTACGCATTAACACATATAATAAGTGTTACAAGTTTTTAAATACAAAAGACTCTTTTAGACTCTGAACAATTAAAAGTGACAGCGTAGGAATAATTGGCGTCGATTCCTGCACAGTCGCCAGGAGTTGTCGGCGTTGCATTCCAGTTGAGCAAAGTGTAATTGACTGTTGCTCCATTTCGCCATTTCCAAGTTCCGTTGATTTTCCTCGCTGCTATAGCCAATGTTCCGGGATACCCTAATCCTGTATTGAAGTCGATTTTTATAATTTTTAACAAAAATTGTGACGGAAAATGAACCGACTTGCTTGGGCTGTGGAATTCCGGAGTTGAATTATGGTGGCGTCAAAGTCGCCAAAACCAGCAAAGGGGTTAAAACCATCATCTTGTGTATCGCACCACGTATTAGCATAATCATATGGTATCTTCAAAAAATTTAAAAATATTTTTTTTAACGATGAAATCAAAGAAATTCTCAATTAATTAAAATAAATGACAATTATGGAACTACACACCGGATACGCTGATATATGGCATGTCCAGCCAGCAACTAGACACTTCACATACGAATCTGCGAAATTGTTTCATTTCCACGTATTATATCAAAATTTAATATCAAAAATCGAAACAAACCAAGTCTGCGTGCTCGAGGACTGGAATTTATGCAAAGTTTTACGACAAGATGATAAAAGATTCAATGGATTGAACGCACATTTCGCAAACAAAGGGCATTTTGACTGCGCAATTAACACTGATCAACTTTCCGTGTTGACCAGCAACACAGTATCCGTGGGACATGTTCGGATGGCCTGCGTTCCACACGGTCAAGTTGGTGTTGTTCGAATTATAGAGCCACGCTGACGTATTCAAGCCTTGTCTGTTCATGAGTACGACAGAATTTTGCATATCTTTGAAGTAAAAAAATTTTTATTTATTTATTTTTTAGAAATTTTTAACGCTCTCACGTAGACTCTTCAGCAAAGTGTTGATCTCTCCGGCATGCTTAAAAGGGTAGTCAATCAAGGGTAACCAGGCGTTTGGAACTATTTGCGCGCAATGCTGCATAGAATCTGCCCTGCAGTTACCCTGAGGAGGTTTGCATTCTTACGCTAAATTCGCCTCCTCCAAAGTTATTCTTTTACCTCTAAGTTTCTGATGACGAAATACTGTCCAGAACTTGAATAAACCACTGTGAAGTTATATTCGCTCTCTACATATGAAAATATTTAACTCGTTAAATTTTCAATACCATCTGTGTAATTTGGCCTATCAATAAAATGCAGGTTAATACAAAATATTTCTACAAAAAACGTTGGATACTTTTCTTCGCAAACAAAATAGTTCTTTTGAGTGCACGGAGTGAAGAACCAAGACCCGTTTTGCGTCATAACGCAATCGCCACCTGAAGGTGAGGAAGAAATAGAGCCTGGCGGGGGATCGTGTATTGTTCCGCTAGGATTTCGAAGGGTGCCATTGACCATTTTCAAAGCAATCAAATATGATGCATTCAACAGATCTGCAAGATGTATATAATCCTGGAATTTGCGTTCATTCCGTTTCAAAATAAAACCTTGCGAAGGATTTATGGTGTCGTTGAGCTTTTGATACTCCCTTGAGCACTCTGCAATGAAAAAGTTCATACCCATCGCTCCGCACTTTGCCGTCGCTTCGTCATATGTTGCCTGAGTTTTTAATATTTAGAAAATGGCCCTATCATTATTATCAGATAAAATAGATGTACTGTTTCATTTGACATGTAGACCATCCTATCTCCTAAATAGTACGTTTGAACTGAAATAAATTAATATTTGCCTTAGACTTAAATTATTCTGAAAAGTCTGCAAAATTATGTCATTATTTTGTTGAAAAATACCTGATATGGGTGGATTGGGACTGCAAAGTGATATGATTTATGTGAATTAGAGCTTTGAAGAAGGAAAATTATAGCGCAACGGCACATTTCACAAACAAAGGGTCGTGGAGATCCGCAGTCAACAGAGACCAGTTGTCCTTCTAAAGCACCAATGCACGTCCCATTGGTCATGTTTGGATAGCCAGACATCCAGGTTACCTGGTCACTGTTGTTCTCGATCCATTTTGATGCGTTTATGCTCACCGCGTTCATGTACACCGGGGTTTTACGCAATTCTAATTTTAAATTTTGATCCACTGAATGAGACTCGGAAGGCAGATTTCAAGACTCACTCAAGGATGTGAGCAGGGTGAGCACCTCTTTGGAATGTTCAAACGGCCAGTCGATTAAGACCACTGAGGCGTTGGCATTAATTTCCGTGCATCTAACGTTCGCCTCGCTTAAGCAAACCTTAAAGAAGAAAACTCTAATTGAAAATAAGGGTGAATTGTAATTCCATTACATCCAAATTTCGCATCACAAAGTACCGACCATACTTGGAGTAAACCACTGTGAAATTTAATATTGATTGTTTCGAAAGTTCGCTTTAATTCATAATACTTTAAATTATAATTTACCTTCCGTGTAATTTGCCCTGGAAATAAATTTATATTTTTTGCATTCAGGGAAAAAAATTTTTACTGTGTTTCACAAGCGTAATAGTGCTTCTGATCACAAGGTGCCAAGAACCAAGAGTTATTTCGAGCGACGACGCAATCGCCACCTGACGCTGGATTAATTGGATTCGGTGGAAAGTGAAACGCTCCACTGGGGTTTGTCCAATTGTTGCTGACGTTCTTCAGAGCAATAAAATAGGACGCATTCTCTCTGTCTTCAGTCTCGGTGTCATTTATTCATTGGCTGTATCACAAATTTCGCTCAGTACCTGGTGAAGCAGCCGCAAAGTTTCTAAATTTATTATATTCCGAATAGCACTCGGCGATCATCAGTTGAGCTCCCAATTCATTGCACTTGTCAGTCGCTTCATCATATGTTGCCTAAGTTTTTGCAGTGCTTATTATCAATAATGTAAGTTTTAAACTATTTTTACCGTCTCATTCGAAAAGTAAGTTATTTTTTGTCCAAATTTGTATTGGGCTACACATTTAAATATTAATCGTATAAGAAAGACGTTCTTGAAAAGTTGTATTTTTCGTATTTGTTAACCTGCAGCAGGCTTGATTGAAATAATAGGAGGAGAAGTTGTGGTGGTTATAGTTGAAGTTTCTGCAGATGAAGTTGCCGCACCTGATGTTGTAGAAGTTAGTGTAGTTACAGCTAATGGAGTTGAAGTTTCTGTAGTTGAAGTTTCTGTAGTTGAAGTTGGAGAAGAAGATAATAAGGCAGAGGTTGTTGAATCGCTGCCATCGTTGGTTGAAGCTGATGAGGATACAGTAGTGCTGGTGGTTGAGGTGCTTGTTGTCTCTGAGCTGGCAAAGGTCGACGTGAGAGTTTCAGATTGAGTCGCAGCCGCACTTGTCTGTTGGGCACTGCTTTTAAGATTGGTTTTTGTTGATTGAATCTCTGTTAAATCATTTTGGGAGTCCGTTGCTGCATTCGTTCTAAAATCTGATCAGCCTTTAAATTGAAAATTATGACCCATTTATATACTCTTCACTAATTGACGCGGCCTCGGTGGAGGAATCTGCTGGTTTTGCCTCGCACATGAAATTGCTTTTCGCCTCACATGACACGGTTTTCAGAGTTGAACCGGAAAGAGTGGCGCAGTCCCCTTTGCTTGGCTGATTCTTGGCCCATTTTAGGCCATCGGCTTTAGTATTTCCGTCCCACGAAAAAGAGCCTCCGTCCATTGACTGCAAACTCGTCAAAATAGGACTTGCACCAACACCTTTGCATATTCAATTAAAAGTTTTAAATAATCCCTTTTTCAAATTTCAACCTTTTGAATTGAGAAAAGAGCTAATTAAGTTGCTTTCTGTTTTTGTTTGAATGGAAAGAAGATCCATCTGTCGTGACTCGCACAATTTTTTAGCATCTTCATATGTGGCCTATGAAAAGTTTAATTTTTAATTTAATCGTTTATTACGGTTAAACATTGGGGAATAGTAAGTGTTTATTCCAGCAGATGGCAAAAGGAGACAATTTTAATGTGTTTTGTTAATTCGGCATATTATCTTTCTTTAATGTTTAATTTTAAACCTTAATCTAAATATTCTAAATGCTTCATCTTGGTTATTTTTAAATGTTGAATATCAAAAGTTACCTTTTCAGCGGGTAAAATGTATTCTTGACCTCCTAGCTCTATTGGCTTTGCTGAAATTAAAAAAATTGTTTTTACATACATAGCATTAATTTGAGATTGATTTCGATGGAACAAAATCTTGCATTTACCTTTTTCAGTTGGCATAAATGCGCTGAATAAATCGCTGAAAAAATTAATTACCACCTTTAAAGAAAAAAATAATTATGAGATAATTTACTTCAAGGATGGAGATGGTGCCTTTGTGCTCTTGGGTTCCGGCGCCTGGCACACAAAATTAGAGACCGTGTCGCAGGAAATTCCTGTGATGCCCAAAGAATTGAGACCCATGCAGTCGCCGTCTTTGGCCGGGTCCTTTTGGGGCATGAAAGCCGAGGCCAAATCGCCCAACCAGTTTGAACCTCCGTCGGTAACTTTTTTCAGCGACGTCAAAACCGTGCTTGTTGATAATCCTTTTTTAATATTATTTACGTGTTTTTTTTTTGTTTTTTTTTTTTTAGAATTAAATAATTTCTTGCCAATATCTCCGAGGAAGTCCTTGACTGAATCCATTTGAGCCATTGAGTCGAGGGACATGAGCTCGAGGCCTTGATTAGCGCACACGCTTTTCGCCTCAGGGACGGTTGCCTTCTGGCTCGGAACCAAAATGTTTTTTCCACCGACAAAATTCAGTACAGCTATTTAGGCTCTTTCAGTGATGTATGGAAATTTCAATTTTTTTTTCACCATCCTCCAATGAAGTCGCTGGGCCTCTGGAATGGTAAATTTAAAGTAGGATATGATATAAATTTTTGAAACATTCAAATTGATTATTATTGGAATAAAACAGAAATTACATTGTTGTAGTAACTCCATTTGGAAGGGGCCTCTCTTCACACGCAAAATAGGCCTTTTGGTCGCAGGAAGCGTTGTAAAGGGCCCCGTTTTGTTGCACCAAACAAGAGCCCTCGCCCCCAGGTGGGGCGTCTTGACCCCAGTTGCTCAACGGCGAGCTTTTAACCGAGGACAAGGACGCAAAAACGGGGTTGTCAGACAACCCTTTTAAAATTATGTTTTAGATAATTTTCCCATGACTTTTCATACCACACCAATGTATTGGAGATATTCTGAAATTTTGCTAACTTCGTCTGGATTGTTTAAAGCGGCAACGTCCATGTTTTCTTTGTTGCAAAATTTCTTCGCTTCGGAAAAAGTCGCCTATAAAAATGAATAATGAAGCAGTATAAAATTGTCAAAATTTATGAAAAAACCTCCTCTTTTGGAAATTTGTATTTGGTTTTCCCGATCCTGATCGGCATTGACGACGGACCTACATTGACACGTGTTGATGTTTAAAATCATAATTTATTTTCAATTGAAGTATTTTACCAGAGAAATCGACAGCTTCTGAAGAAGTGACAAGGAAAATTTATTATAAATATTCTGGATACGACTAAAAATTTATAAAACAAAAGTACCCTTCCTTGTTTTTGACTTCCTGTGGGTCCCATTTCTGCTCATTGACAAAAATATTTTGATTTCGGCGGAACAAAATATAAAATGTCTTTACCTAGACATGCTGCCGTCCAGGCAACTCTTGAATCCGCAACATTTCACAATATGGCTACGTTTCGCTAAGTTTATATTTCCTCTTTTTTGGTGCACTAATTTGGCCATGAATTGCTTTTAACATTGCGGTACATTAAAGCAAACTCACACTTTAATGAAGCCACGCGTTTTCCATTGACATTCAGCTGAACCGCGTTTCTTGCTAGTTGTTTGAAAATTTAATTTTGTTAGATAAATAAAAATAAAATATAAAAATTGTAATGCATGAATTGTGTAGAATTCATAAATTGTTTTATGGATTTATTTCTTTCAGATTTTTTTCATGATGCTGTAACTTTGTTGTATTGTTTTTTCTTAAAAGGAAGGCACAATATTACGCATTTTCTACTATACGTCTAATTAAATATTTCCTCACTTTTTTGCGTTTTTCCATTGCTCCGCCGTTGATGCTGTGCAGCGCCACTCTCGAAAAAGAAGCTCTGTCGTGGAAAAACTGTAGCGACTCAATAATCTGTGAAATATACTCACTTCTACCACAATCACGGCCAAAATTATCAAGGTGCAATGTCGCATTGCATCATCAAATTTAGTTACCACTCTGGCTACCTCAGAATGTACCTCTTACAATTGATAACAAATTTCTGCTTAAGTGTCCAAATGAAATTAAATCAGAAATGAAGGGAAATTTCTATCAAATTATAACCATTCCAACTCCCTCCTCTGGCAACGGAAGTTTCCAACGCAACAAGGAGAAAATGACCAACAGATTAAACGTGGGATTTTCCATTTTTAACGATATAGAAAAACCAAAATTAGTTCTTTTTTTAAATTTGGAACTTACGTGTTCTTTTTATAGAAATCGGCAAGAAATATATGAATTCTTTTTACATTATTTCGAGTATTTCAAATGGTTTTTAGAATCAATTTCAACTAGTGAGAAGAAAAACCATTTTAGTATGTGAAGTTTGCTTCATAATTCATAACATTATATAAAATGGAACTTTGCAAAATAAAAAATTGGTGCAAATAATTTACTTATTTGAAACTAAAATTATTTCTTTAAAAACAACCGAGAAATTTTAAAACAATTTGTGTAAGTCGTGTGGATTTTACTCACAAGAAGGGAATCCAGAGTGATTTCCCTTTCTTAAGCTGCGAGTGAAGGCGGATTCGCTAATTGTATGACGGCCGGGGAGCCGCAGCCCAGTCATATATTCCTCGGCGTTGAATACAAAAATCCTGTTTTTTATTTCAAATTATATATTTATTCACGGTTCGCTTTAAGCATTAGAGGCTTTTGGAACAGTCACACACCAATTAATATAATTATATGTTTATTTTAATTTATTCATCTTTCTGGTCAATATCACAAAAGAATTTCAAATATGTTGTGTAATTATACTAGACCGAAAAAATCTACAAAATAAAATTTACAGCTCTTACGACTATATTTATATTCGATTGTGATAATATCAAACAAAATTGCTGCGCTATCTCAGCAGATTGCTAAATTAATGCTGTTGATTGATTTCTCCGTAGGAAGGCAGACCGTCGATCACTCTGTGGTTGTGCGGTAGTCCGGTGGCAAGTCAAATTCCAACGTGTTGATAGCAGGGGTCCCGAAAGGGGGCGGATTTGATTGATTGTGGACCTCGATGACCTCAAAGGTCGCATTCTGACCCGCCCTTTCGCCGTCAGAGTCCAATCGATTGGTGTTTCCAAACGCAAATATTTCTGGGGAGGTTGCTCTGCAATCCAAAGTTGCGATGCAAAAATTGCTAGTGATGTGGACGCCATTTTAAATTTCAAGATCCCATGAATTCGACAATCGGCGCAAGAATGTGAAAATATGAACAGCAGATTGTGGTCCCCGTTGTTGAATTAGGGGCTTGAAATGAAAAATGGCGTCTCGGCCAATCCATATTTCCGTTAATTTGTCCAACAATTCCTTTGTTTAAATAAATTGTTTTCACCAATTGAATGTAAACAATGTAGCAAGAAGGACAAATAAACAATGATAATAATAAGGCAACGTCAAACTAATACCTGATACGACGATTGGCGGGTCTTTCAGCCGGGCTATCAAGTACATCAATCCGGGTGCGTTTCAAGGCACATTTAATCTAACTAAAACTTATCTAACTTCCGTCATGATTGCGTAGACAGGTGAGCTTTTTTGATTATTGAAAAAATTAGTAAAGTGAGTCATCGTAAACAGAATGAATAATTTTTAATTTTGATGAGAATGGAGAAGTAATAATTTTTTTAAAAATTCAAAATTTAAAAAAATTAAATCAATTGAGTTCTAGATTGTTGAACTTTTGAGTAAAGCAAACTACTGAAATTTTAAAAATTGGTAGGATTTCTAATGTGAAAAGAAATTTTTTAAGAAAACGGAAATTATATTTTCACTTTTTATTTTATAATAAAACAACATGCGTTATTTTCTTATCTCCAATTTTATGCTTTCTAATTTTATTTTTTTTTTTTCAAATGATGTTTTCAAAGACACAAGACCCTTCTATTCGCTGCACAATCAAAAGTGACGGCGTAAGTGTAATTTGCGTCGATTCCAGCGCAGTCGCCGAGAGTTGTCGGCATTGCACTCCAGTTGAGCAAAGAGAAATTGACTGGTTCTCCGGAGGACCATTGCCAGACTCCGCTGACTTTCATCGCTGAAATTGCTAATGCTCCGGGATACCCTAGTTCTTGAAGTAACCAACAAATATTTCTTTCAAATTATTTCCTTAAAATTGACAAAAAGGAAATCAGCAGACTTGCTTGCACTGCGGGCGTCCTGAGCTGCAGCAATGTGGCGTCAAAGTCGCCGACACCAAGGGCGGTAAAGTTATTATTTTTTGATTGGCACCATCTGCTGGCATAGTGAAATGATATCTGAAAGCAAATTTCATTCAAATCCGCAGGTTTGAAATTATTAATTCAGCAACTGTTTTTAAATTTATAACTATGTAAGTTGAGATTATTCCAACATTTTGATGATTAATTTTATTTCTATTTTTTTTCATTTGGAATGTGACACGTGCTTGATTTGATTACATTTCCCAGAGATATTTTGTTATAAAATGAAATGTAGAGAAAATTTTAATTAATATAAAAAAAAAATTAGATTAATAATAAAAATCTATAACTTAAAATATAACAAAGATTTAACTCAAAATCGTATTTATATACTAAAATATTTAAATTTAATACTGTAAAAACAACACATTTATCATATTATAACTTAATTTTGTGATAATTTTACGATGTATTTAAAATTTAGAAGGATAAATAGTATCCAAATTTTTCATTCAGATATATTTGTAAATAAAATTGAAATTTAATCACATAGAGGAGTTTTTTTGGTATGAATTTGTATCAATTTACCATTTTAATTTATTAAATTCCTAATTCTAAAAAATAATTAGTCTATTCTTGTTACCGTATATGCTGATATTGCGCATGTCTTTCCGACAGCCAAACACATCATCGTCTCGTCTGCCGGATTAATTTTGTATTCCCCCATTCGAGCAAAATTTAAATTAACAAACCAGCTATGGGTGGCTTTGGTCTGAAATTTATGAAATTTAAGTTAGCTAATAATTTTAGAAAACATTTTTCCCTACACTTCGCAAACAAAGGGAAGCGTCCCTGCGCAATCAACGCTGATCAGCTTGCCCAGATAATTTCCAATGCAGGTGCCGAAGCTCATGTTTGGATGGCCCGAATTCCACTCGACCAAGTGACTATTTGTTTGAAACCACGTTGAGGCGTTCAGGTTGAATCTGTTGACCAGCACCGGAGTATAATTTATTTCTGTCGAGGACGTTGTTTTGTAACTTTTGTGGCGTTTTAGTTCAATTCTCACTTAATTTCTTCAGCAAAGGGTTGAGTTCTCCAGTGTGCTCGAAGGGGTAGTTGATCATGGCCATGGAGGCGTTGGGCATTGCTTTCTTGCAATGCTCGTGAGCTTCTGCTTGGCAGTTACCCTGGGGAAATTTTTACACACACAAAAAAATCAGAAGAAAAATGTCATTTTAAATTAAACCTCCAAATTTCTGATGACATAATACTGGCTTGAGGTTGAAAAGACCACTGAAATTAAATTGTTGAAAATATTAAAATAAATAAAATCACAAAGAAAATTTTTTCTCTACCGTCTGTGTAATTTGGCCTATCGAAAATCAACAGGATTAAAAACAAATCACCAATTTTAATAAGACTCACTTTTGTTCGCAGGCAAAATAGTGCTTTTGATTGCACGGGGTGTAGAACCAGGACCCATTTTGCGTTACGACGCAATCGCCACCTGACACTGAGGTTGCAATTGGAGTGCCTGGGGCAGGATGTAAATTTCCACTAGGGTTTTGAAGGGTGCCATTGACCATTATCAAAGCAATCAAGTACGACGCATTCGATCTATCTTTAAAAAAACTTTCAAATTTTTTGTTTTAATTTTTGTTCGAAGAAAAACCTGGCGAAGCATCTAATTCGGAGAGCAGTTTTCTGTATTCCGAAGAGCACTCTGCAATCAACAAAGACATTCCCATCTCGCCGCACTTAGCCGTCGCTTCGCCATAAGTCGCCTGAGAATTTGTCTGACATTCTAAAAAAAAGTGATTAAAGTTTAATTTATATACCATCTCATCTGATAAGTAGGTTGCTCTGCTCCCCATTTGGTAAGTGAAGGCTGCGAATTTTAATTAATAATGTAAAAGCTCAATTTTAATCAATTTCTCAGTTTGGTTCAAACAGGTGAATTTTTTAATAATAAAGTGGTGAAATCTTGATAAAAAAAATTCCCACACATTTGAATAGTCGATTTGACCAAAATTTAATATAATTTAACCGAATTTTTAATTAAATGAACTTCCCATGAAATACAAAAATTCGTTTGGTGCGAACCCTTAATTCTGAGCATTGAGGTGAGAATTTTGTCAAAATTTCAACTTTGAAATGAAAACCCCTAAATACTTTTCAAAATTTTAAGTACCTTTTAAACCTTGATTTGGACTGTAATTTTGGGAAAATGTATCATAAAAATCAACTTAATTCGAAAATAAAGTAAATTACACTTCACAAACAAAGGGCAATGGCATTCCGCAATCGACACTGATCAGTTTCCCCAGCAAAACACCAACGCAACTTCCGCGGGTCATGTTTGGATTGTCCGTCGCCCATTCAAGCAGATTATTGAAATTGATGATCCAATTCGTTCCGTTGAGGTTATCATTGTTAATGAAAACTGAAGTGTTCTGCAAATCTATAAAATAATTCACTTGTAGACAGGAATTAATAAAATTAAGATAATTATTTTACTCAAAGTCGCCAGCAGAGTGTTTATTTCTCCTGATGAATGTTCGTAAGGCGAATCAATGGCGACGACTGAGGCGTTGGTCTTTACTCCTTTGCAATTAACAATTGCCTCGGTCAGGCAAACCTTGACGTCAAAATTTTAATGAAATATTAATTTATTATTAAAGGTAAAATTACTTCCAAATTTCTCAATACAAAATACCGTCCGGAGCTTGAGTAGACAACTAAAAATAGCAAATAATAATTATAATTTATCAACATCAAATATTCTGGATTTTACTTTCAGTGTAATTCATTCTAAATATAAATTTGTATTAAATTATCCAAATAAATAACAATAATTAAAATACTTATTTTCACACGCAAAACAATTCTTTTGATCACAAGGCGTGGTGAACCAAGACCCGTTTTGAGCAACGACGCAATCGCCGCCCAACGTTGAGTTAAAGACAACTTTTGGAGGGGTGTGAAAAGTTCCGCTGGGGTTGGTCCACGTGCCGCTGACCTTTTTAATAGCAATCAAATAGGACGCATTCTTCCTCTCTTTTATTCCAAGAAATATTAATTATCACTTTAATAAGTTTTTTTATACCAGGCGAAGCATTTAACTCGTCCATCAACAATTGATACTCCAGCTTGCATTCTGCGATCAAAAATTTCATCCCCATTGCCTCACACTTTGCGGCCGCCTCGTCGTATGTTGCCTTTGAATAGGTTGAAAAAAAAACGAAATAAAAGAAAATATTTCAGTTCAGATAATTTTTCATCGCAATTTACCGTCTCGTTAAATAAGTAAGTCACTCTCTTTCCCACAGTATACGTGTGCTGAGCTAAAATTTGTTATTTAATCTTTGTATTAGAAATCAAGGGGAATTAAATAAAGTTGATGAATTGGCTTTTGTAGAAAAAGGGTTTTTGTTTTAATATAAATGATGTATCAGAAAATTTTGCTTTTTCTTAAGTAAAATTATTTGCTTTTTAACAATTGTTGCATTTGTTTTCTTTTTCATCAAATTTAGGTTTGCAGATCGTGACTAAAAAGGGGGTTTCTTAAAAATACATCTGAGGACAAAGCCTGTTTCCCCCTTCATGAATGTCTCAAATTGGAAAAGAAATAAAAATAAGCTTGTTCATATCCAACTTGCTAACCAGGTTGGACTGTAGTGATAGAAGTTGAGGTTGCTGTTGTTGTCGGAGGAATAGAAGTTGTTGTTGAAGTGCTGGAAGTTGTCGACTCGCTGGTTGAAGTTGAAGCGCTGCTAGTTGAGGACGTCGAGGTACTTTGCGTGGAAGCAGAGCTAGCAGAAGAAGTTCCTGAGGTCGACGAGGGACTTTCAGTTTTAGGTTGAGCAGCAGTAGTTTTAGCAATGGTCGTAGGCAAGTTGGTAGTTCTAAAATTGTATTATTCTGGTGCTGAAAATTAAGGTTTATTGGGAAAATTGATTTTACCCTGGAACTGCAGGCGTGGCTGAGGAATCTGCAGGTTTTGCCTCGCACATGAAATTGCTTTTCGCCTCACATGACACGGTTTTCAGCGTTGAACTGGAAAGGGTGGCGCAGTCCCCTGTGCCAGGCTGGTTGCTCGCCCATTTGAGGCCATCGGCAATGGAACTTCCGTCCCATGAAAAAGAACCGGCACTCACTGACAGCAAACTTGTCAAAATTGGGCTCGAACCAACACCTTTTCCAAAATTAATTTTGAACAATTTTCAAGTATTTATTTCTACCTTTAGAATTGAGGAAATTGCTTATTAAATCGTTTTCCGATTTTGTTTGAATTGAAAGAAGATCCATCTGGCGCGACTCGCACAACTTCTTAGCCTCTTCATAGGTGGCCTAATTAATAGTGTTTAAAGCAGTAAAAATTAGGTCGATATAAATTTTTTAACGATTTTTATGGTTTTTTTTAAGCAGAAATTTTAATTACATAAAAAGCTATTGATTAATAAAGCATTATATTTTAGTGAAAATAACAATCAAGCAGAATTTAAAAAGTTTATAAATATAAATAACTACTTAATAACAAAAAAATATAAATTTATAAAATCATATTTATTAAATAGTATTTTAAATTATATAAAGGTAAAAATTTTATTATAAGATATGAAATTTATCTGATTACATAAATATATATTTTTATTTATATTAATAATATTTTTTGATATTGTGATTAAATTGGTTTGATTTTTTTAGTGCAGAGGAAATAAGTTAAAATTTGAATTCTCATTATTCTATGAGCATTATTTATAAAATTATTAAAAATTTAATTTTGATCTCTAATTTAGAACATAATTGTAAAAAATGAAATTAAAACCAAAAGTTACCTTTTCAGATGGTAAAATATATTCCTGACCCTCTAATTCTACTGGCTGCGCTACATTTTTAAAATTTGTATGATATTTAAATATTAATAATTAACTCAGCCTCTCTGCCTTGAATTATATTGCTCTTTTTACCTTTTGTAACAGGCATAAAGGCACTAAATAAGTCACTAGAATCATCATACATTATAATAATTTATTCTTAAAAAACTTTCTGCACTCGGCAAACCTCAAGGGAGGCGTCTTTGGGCCGTCCGAGTCCGGCGCCTGGCAAACGAAATTCGAAACCGTGTCGCAGGAAATTCCCGTCAGGCCCAGAGAATTGAGACCCATGCAGTCGCCGTCTTTGGCCGGGTCCTTTTGCGGCAAAAAAGCGGAAGCCAAATCGCCCAGCCAATCTGTTCCACCTCCGGTCACTTTGCTCATCGAAGTCAGCACCGTGCTCGTTGACAGACCTTTTTACCTTTTCAAATTAATTCCACATTTTCTAGATTAATTCTTGCCCATGTCTCCGAGGAAATCCTGGACCGAGTCCATCTGGACCATCGAGTCGAGGGACATAAGTTCGAGACCTTGTTTGGCACACAGGCTCTTTGCTTCGGGAACGGTGGCTTTTTCGCTCGGAACCAAAATGTTTTTACCGCCGACGAAACTCAGCACAGCTTTTAAAACTTTTAATATTTTTCTCAGTGAATTGAAAAAAATCAACCATCCTGAATTGACGATAATGATATGGGGCCACTATAATGGAAGTAAAATCAATTCATTTCAGTGAATAAATTTCATTAAATAATATAAAATATGAGGGGGAATAATTAAAGTACATTGTTGTTGTGAATCCATCTTTAAGGGGCCTCTCTTCACACGCAAAATAGGCCTTTTGGTCGCAGGAAGCGTTGTAAAGGGCCCCGTTTTGTTGCACCAAACAAGAGCCCTCGCCCCCAGGTGGGGCGTCTTGACCCCAATTGCTCAAGGGAGAGCTTTGAAGGGAGGACAAAGATGCAAAAACGGGGTTTTCAGACAAACCTGTGATAATTTTCTTTATATAGTTTTATTTTTGTCCCTTTTCATAGCAAACCAATGTATTGGAGATATTCTGAAATTTTGCTAAATTCATTTGGGTTGTTTAAAGAAGCAATGTCCATGTTTTCTTTGTTGCAAATTTTCTTTGCCTCAGAAAATGTTGCCTTTCAGAAACAAATTAATTAATATTATTGGTCGTTATTGTTGCAAAAACCTGTTCATCTGGAAACTTGTAAATCGTCTCCCCAATCCTGATGGGCATGATCGATGGACCTGAATAATGCATTTTTCTGGGATGAAGTTTAATAAATTTTTGGTATTTGTTTTACCAGAGTAATCAACTGGTTCACATATAATTCACCATAAGGAGAAAAGGACAGATGCAGTAATACTTTTGAATATCAAGAAAATTATAAACAATAGAAAAATACTCTTTTTGGTTTTTGTTCGGTCGGTGCCATTCCTGCTGCATTAAAAATCTTGTAATAGCGCAGTGGATAAATTCAGGAACCTTAATTTTACTTTGAAGCTTGGCCACCCCGGCAAGTCCGGAGTCCGCAGCATTTGATGATCTGGCTGCGTCTCGCCACTTTGATGTTTCCGCTGTTTCGGTTCACTTCATTTGCACAAAAAAAAAATTACTTTTGGTGCTAATCGTGCAAGAGAAACCCACACTTAATTGGTGCCAGACGTTTTCCATTGACAAAAACCTGGACAGATTGTCTCGCCACTGTTAAATTTAAGTTTTAATTTTTATACAAATACTTCATTTACTGTTAAAATTTGATTATTTTATAATACTCTTTTTGTTTTAAATAAAATATTTCTCACATCTTTGCGTTTTTCCATTATTATTTTGTTGGGATTGAGCAGCGCTTCTCTCGAAAATGACGATCTTCCGAGGAAATATTATTGCAGCGACTCAATAACCTCTTCAGCATACTCACGGCAATCACGGCGAAAATGATACATCGCATCATACGGGGGCTGCTACTTAATACTTCAGTACGCACCTCACACAGTTGTCATATTGAATAAAATATATGGATCCAAAATGTCCAAATGACATAAAATCAGAGGTGCAGGGAAATTTCTCCAACTTGTAAATCGTTACCTCTGGCCTACTGACGGAAGTGCTGCACGCACGCAGCAAGCATGAAATGACCAGAACAAAGTGCAATTGGGATTTTCCATTTTTAACGATAGAGGCAAAAACATGATTTTGAACTAAATTTATTTCTGAAAATTCCCTATTGTGCTCTCACTAATTTTTTATGACGAATTAAGAAGGATGGATACAAAAAATGAAAGTCGTGAAGAATATTTTTAATTGATTTTTCTTTTATTTTTGTTTATTCTACAAACGCTCGGTCAGGTAGTCTCTCATTTTTTCATCAGTTGTACACACAGTGAGCTTCTTCAAGTTTTAATATGTATAAAAAAAAACGTACAAAATGACACGTTTGGCACGGGTAGAACAACATTCGCGGATTCTTTCTTTCTTTCTCATAAATATCTTGTTCAGTCTGTCCCACACTTCACTGCGCGGGTCCTTGATTTTCATTTATTTATATAAAAAAAAAGCAACAGAAATTTACACGTATTCCTCGGACGGTTTGGGCGACGAGACGGGCAGTCTGAGGGCGGCCGAGCGTCCGCCGACGGTGCCGTCGGGCAGTTCGGCGATGTCCTTGAAGACGCCGACGAGGCTCTCGAAGTTGGGCCCCCAGTTGAGGAGGTAGTCCCAGCCGAGGGTGGGGCGGTAGGGGGGGCCGAGCTCGTCGTCCGAGGGCACCAGGGTGCTGAGGGAGCCGCGGAACGAGTCGAAGCCGGCGTCGAAGGGCTTGTTGTTGGCGGCCGAGGGCGGCGCCGTCGGGTCGGGCGTGCGCGCCGACTCCTCGTCCTCCTCGGCCAGCTTCGAGAACATGACGTCGCGCTTCTCGAAGCCGGCGCCGGCGTTGTCGAACTCGAACTCGGAGCACGTGAACGAGTCGTTGCCGCTCTCGTCGGTGGTCGAGCTGTTGTCGTGCGCGTCGTTGGCGGCGGCGGCGGCGGCCGCCGCCTCCAGGAGGCCGGCCAGCTGGTCGGGCGTGCGCCGCACGGGGAGGCGCGGCCGTCGCGGCGCCTCGCTCGAGCTGGACACGGCGTCCAGGGTGCTGACCAGACTGGAGGTGCGCGGACGCGAGTTAAGTCTTTCGATCTCTTCGGCGGTGAGGCCCTTGCCACCGGGCTCGTTGACCCGCTTCTTGGTGCCCTGCGACGACGCGTGCAGCGAGCCCGAGCTGTGCGAGTTGAGGCTGCGCTCGCTGTTGCTGAGCACGTCCTTGGCGCTCTGCGCGGTGGCGAGCAGGGCGCTCTGCAGGGGTTTGCCGCTGATGTCGTGCAGGGTGAGGATGCGCGGCGTCTGCTGGGACAGCTCCGAGCTGGGGCTGAGCCTCGCCAGCGGCGTGCTCTGCATCTTGATGGCGCTGGGCGAGTCGCGCGCCACCGGGCTGATGGGGCTTTGCCGCAGCAGGTGGTTCCCGCCCCGGGGGCTGTCCCGGTGCGGGGGCGGCGGGGCGGGCGAGGAGCCGCTCGGGGGCGGCGCGAAGCTGTGCGGCGAGTGCCGGTGGCCGTGCTTGTGGTGGAAACTGGCCGGCGGCAGGTGCGGGTTGGTTTTGTACTTGCGGACGTTGCCGTCCCGGTAGCCCTTGTAGTGGTAGACGACGTCAATGTCCGAGGGCGCGATCGAGCTCGCGTTCTCCAGGTCGTAGTGCTCGGGCATCTCGGGGTCGTTGGAGCCCGGGTCGGGCGCGTCGTCCATGTGCGGCCGCGGCGACTTGGAAACCTCCCTCTCGATGATGTCGGGCCGCGGGTGCGGCCGATCGGCCACTTCGCGCTCCTTGTACTTTTTGGCCACCAATTCCTGCGCCAGGTGGCTGCGCAGCGCCTCCGTGGACACGTCGCCGTCCAGGAAGGACGTGTCGCCGCTCACGCCGGGCCCCACCACCCCCAGGTTGGTGTTGCCGCCCCCGCCGCCTCCGAGCAGGCCGCCGCCGTTCTGCTTCGGGTTCTCCTTGTTCTGCCTTCGCAGACGGAAAACGGCGAAACTGACCAGGATGGCCACGATTAGGATCACAAAGAACACGATGACGAGGGTGACGCCGATGCTGAGGGGCGTCGGTGCCGCCGCCGCCCCCACCACGGGGCCTGAGCAGCCGGCGTTCACTTTGCCGAAGGCCTCGATGTCTCCGAAAATGCTGCCGGAGCCGTTCAAAGGCTGGATTTCGTCGTTGATGGTGAAGTTGGCAAGACAACCGCCAAAACCTGCAAAATGCAAGAAAAATTAATAAAAATCAATTGGATAAGACTTGGATGATTTCTTATTTATTTCCGTAACCTTTTTTAGTAAAAAACTTAATTTCTTGACAAAACAATAGAAAAACCTTGCCCAATTGCATAATTTAAAATTAAAAGATAACAAATTTTGAGCCAAATTCACTCTGTTGTATAATTCATTAAAATTGGTTCTTAATAATGATTTCTCATGATATGATAAAAGATGCAAAAAAAACTGGCCTAGAAAAATCACAATTGGTTCAGTCAGGCGACCAAAGAATTGCAAAAACTGCAAGAGCTGCTTACGTTACAAATCTTTGATCGCCTCAGTGGACTAATTTTTACTTTTCCAAGGTCAGTATTTTATATTTTTTATTTTGCATCTAGTATCACATATCTTAGGAAATCTACAATCATTCTAAAGAATTATGCAATTGGTGCTTCTTTTATTGAAAAAGTCGATCAAAAATTAATAAAAAACAAAACTTACTTGGCACTGCTTCAAAAGTCCTTGCGCCGCCAATGGCGATGGTAGTGAGGTAGGGGTCGAGGAAGTCGTGCACGCCCGCACTGTCCAGCTCGTCTCCGACGCGGACGCCGTCCAAGAGAAGCCGCAGGCCACGTCCCTGAGAGTGCAACGAGACTCGGTGCCAGTTTCCATCACTGACCTCAGCACTGTCGACAGTCATGTTTACAGCCGTGCCGGCACCGACCCGAGACATATATCGCAAGTGGCCTCCGCGAATCTGTCCAAATCAAAAATCACATTAGAGAGGAAAATTTAAATAAATCAAATAAAGTTTCTGTTTCATTAAATCTAATTTTTTTTTAAATTCATGGAAATTTAAATTAATGATCTAAGAGAAAAAGTTATTTATAATTAAATTTACTTTCAAAATATACTTTTTTGTTTATACGTAATTAATTTTCACTCAACTGAAATTTAATGAATGCTGTCCTTTTGAGAGACGAATTTTGAAATTAAGTTAATTTTTAATTGAATTGCAATCATATTATTAAAAATAAATGAAACAATGAAACCTTCTTTGAAAATAATTATAGTAATCGTACCTCAATGAGCGTGAAGTCGTTGTTGGTGGTGGAAACGAGCAGGAGTCCGTTCTTCTGCATCGTCCTGAAGGACAGGGCCACCCTCTTGATGCCCGCGGAGGTGGGAATTTGCTCCTGCCACCTCCAGGTCGTCGCGCCCTGGTAAAGGGCCTCGAGCAGGTGCATCCGCCGGTGTTGTTCCGAGACCCTGGCCTCGAGGAAGGCGCCCTCCTCGAGGTGCACGGGCGACAGGGCGGCGTCGCAGTTGGGGGCCAAAAGGCCCCCGGGGCAGCGGCACATGGCGGGGCTGGGCCAGCGGGCCAGGCACACGCCCAGGCCGCCGCACGGGTCCGGCGCCCCGCACGAGCCCCGCGACCGGGAACACGTGCTGTCGACGCCGCGGGAGCTCAGGGGGTTGCTCAGGTTCAGGGGGCGGCCGTTGACGGCCACGCTGTGCACGCAGCCCACGAAATCGTCCGCCTGCAACTGGCCTGGCCGTTCCAAAAGCGGCTCCGCGCTCGCCAGACCGCCCAGAAGCATCGGTTGACCGTTGAAATTTAGCGTTCTGAAATCAAATTTGCATAAAATTAGATTATTTTTTCATTATATTTAATTAAAAAATTTCAATATCTATTTCAAATTAATATTCATTTGCAAAATTTAAATTAACTTTGATATATTTAAACATTTATAAGCGAAATTTTCGTGACACTTTTTTTAATTTAAATGTGAATAAAACTTCAAAGATTGAATCACGATCCAGTTAAAAGAACATTGCTGACGTATTTAATAATTTACAATGCGCCTTTTCACTTGATATAATTAAATTAAGTAACGCATTGTTTGTTCTTTTCTAAAGACAACGCGAGTGTAGTTTGGCGCCGAGATTTATTTATATTCATTGAATAAATTTCCGCGGCGATAACCGAGTGCATGTCCTGTCCGCCCTGCGTCCAAGAAAGGGGCGCGGAACGATGCAGAAAAATCGTTTCGATTATACGCGACGAAGCGTGGAAATCAGCAGAGTTAATTTTTTACATTACACGCGCCCCAGCCGCGATCTGCATAAACGTGGGAGGAGTCATGCTGAACAATAGGTGGTCTTAATCAGGCGATAAGTGCACTGTAAATCAGAGTGACACACGAAACAAAACGAACAAAATTAGCATTCTTAAATAATTGTCTTGCCTGCGACCAAAAAGTGCTTTAAAAGATGCGTAAAAAAACTAAAAGTATGATAATATTTTCATTTTTTATGATTTTTTAAATGAAAAATAAAATGTTTTGACAAAAATAAATAAAAATGTAATCTTATCACATGAATAATAACATTTGATATTATTATATTAAAAGAATTGATAAATTTTACAACTTTAATACCAATTTCTATTATGAATGAATTAAAATCATAAACAATTAAATACAATTTAAATCCTTTTAAATCCATCGCAGCATCTTAAGTTTTTGTTTAAAATAATTATTCTCATTTAATTGAAGTTGTAAAAGATTTGAATTTTAAGCGCCTTTTAATAATTCTACCATAAAAATGTTATAATAAAAACAGACTTGATAGAAAATTGAACTCACCCAGCGGGTCCAACGTCATCAGAGTAGCAAGTCGAGTCTCCAGGTTTGCACTCGTGGCAGCTGTCGCCGTGCTCGGTGCAGGTGGCCACGGCCAGGGACACGACCCTGCCATTCCTGGTGGCCGTCACCTTGTGCCAGTTTCCGTCCGAGACAATTCCGCCGGTCGTGATGGTGGTCACGGCCGTCCTGGCCCCGCCGTACGAAAACTTGACCTTTCCGTTGACGATCTGGAGGGCGACGAAGTCGGATCGGCCGCCGGTCTGGGCGCCGAAGTTGTAGACGAGGAGGGCCTCGCGCTTGAGGGTGGCGAAGACGATGGTGATGTCGTTGGTGGCCGCGTCGAGCGCCTGGAAGGCCATGAAGGAGAGGCCGTTGAAGCCGAACGAGGAGCGCTCGCAGTGCTGGCCGTGGTGCGTGTCCGGGCACTGGCACTTGTAGCCTGGCTTCAGGGCCACGCACTGCCCGCCGTTCATGCACGGGTTGGAGCGGCACGAGTCGGACACCAACTCGCACTGGTTGCCCATGTAGCCGGGTCGGCACAGGCAGAAGAAGGAGGCGCCGTCCGGGCTCTCGCGGCACGAGCCGCCGTTCCTGCACGGGCTGCCCGCGCACACGTTGCTCCTCTCCAGTTCGCAGAGGCGGCCTTCGTGCAGCGGCGGACACACGCACTGGAATTCCGAGGTGGACGGTGGCGACGAGCGACGGCAGGTGCCTCCTGACTGGCAGGGGTTGGGCGCGCACGGGTCCTGGCGCCGCTCGCATCGCTTCCCGGTGAAGCCTTCTCTGCACCGGCACACAAAATCGTGCGTCACCTGAAAATTCATCAACGATATTTATTTGCTTTTCATTAAAATAAATTTTTTTTAAATTAAATTGAGATTAAATATTTTTTTTACTCTTTTGGTTTATTTAATTTAACTAGTCATGTTGCCATTTACCCTATTTTTTATTTTTATTTAGAAATATTAATTTACTGAAAATAAAGATTCATTTATAGTCAAAATAACAACATTTTCTTGATAAAATTATAGGCATTTAAATTTGTTTACAACATTTTGATTTGTTCTTATCTCAAGTAAAATTTCTCTTTGAAATTTTCTCTTTAACTTTGTTGACAGCAAAATAATGTATGATTTTTTAATTACCTTTGGTGCGGTGAAGATCAAACTAGGACTGTCCGTGATCTGATTCTCGGGGCCAACCTTGACCGAAGCAGAGCAAATTCCTCCGTTTTCGCAGACGGAATTGTGGCAGGGCGAGTAGTTGACGGCCATCGAAGGCGCTTGCAGGATCTGCTGCAGCACGTCCCGCTTCCTGCTCAGCGTCTCGGACACCAGACTGGGCGACCGGTACTTGTTGGCCGCCGTCTTGATGGCCAGCTGGATTTCCAGGCCCTTGTCCGCCTCGTGCAGGCCGAAGAGCAACGGGACGTCGCCCCTGTCCTTGAGGGCGTCCAGGATGGGCCTGTAGTGGAGGCCGAGGAAGCGCGAGGCGGTCGTGTTCTCCAGACGCATGGTCAGGCTGTTCTCCACGCTGGTGTTGTCGAAGGCGATGAACTCGACGGTGACGGTGCTGACCACGTCAGGGTGTTTGCCGTCATTGCCGGACACGCTCAGCGCCAGGGCGCCGCTTCCTTGGGGCTTGTTCACCATCAGATCGCAACCGCCTAAAATAACAAGGATAAAAAAAAATTATTTATTAAAATGGTGTGTAAAAATCCTAGATATTTGTTTGATAAAAATTTGACATGAAATGCTAAACTTTTTGTAAATCAACTAAAATTTCCTAATGATTAAATTTAGATATTTCATTTTAAAACTTACAATAAAATTTGTTTTATTATGGAAGTAATTAATAATTATAGTTATAAAAGTTAAAAAAAAAATTGATACAATAAGAATATTTTGTGGTAGAATTTCGCAATCGAGGGTTGATTCATAATCATAATGATTTGAATATAAAATGGGCTTTTCCTAGTTGGGTTTTGTGTTGCTTATTATTTAAGAAAAAATAGCTCACAAAACCCACCGAGAAAAATCTGGTTTAAAATTCAAATCACCACAATTATAATATTTAAATTGAAGGGGCAATTTTTCTATTTTTTGATATGTTTTATTTTGATTGCAATAAAAGTTTTTAAAATAAATTACCTGGCAAAACGGAACCTCCCCTGTGCGTTCCCACCAGCCTGCAGGAGTACTGTCCGGTGGTGTCCGGATCGTTGGGTCGCACGTCGGCCACCTTTCCGCTCGGATACTGGTTGTTGAAGGCGTGCACCAGCACGTGCACCGTCCTGGGCGTCGACGGACTGTCGTTCTTGTCGAGCACCACGGCCGTGACGTGGTGCTGCGCCCTCATTGGTGGCTTTCCGCTGTCCGACACCTCCACGATGAAGTGCAGCTCAGGAGTGCTCTCGCGGTCGATGCTTTTGGTGGTTTTGACGAGGCCCGTGTTGGTGTCCACAGCGAGAACGTCGCGGTGTTCGCCGCCCACCAGACGGTACTTGAAGGGCGCCCCGTTCGGCGAGAGGTCGGCGTCCGTGGCCGCCAAGGTCATCACGCTGGTGCCTGCGGGTTCGTTCTCCATGATGTAGCCGACGGCGTCCGGCGGCTCCAGCATGGGCCCGTTGTCGTTGATGTCGTCCAGCATGATTCTGACCATGGTGGTGCCCGTTTGGGGTGGCGAGCCGGTGTCGATGGCGCCCACCACCAGGGAGTACTCGGGGTTGCGCTCCCTGTCCAGCTGCGCGGAGGTTTCGATGATGCCCGAGTGCGGGTCGACCTTGAAGGCCTGTCCGGTGTTGCCGCCAATGATGGAGTAGCTGAACTGGTTGTTCTGCGGCCGCACGTCTTTGTCAACGGCCGTGACCCCCAGGACACTGGTTCCGGTGGGCGCGTCTTCGGCGATGCGAACTTCGTAGTCGTTTCTGACAAACTCCGGAGGGTCGTTTCCATCCTGGATGGAAACCACCACCTGCGCCTCGTCAGTGTCATTTCCTCTGATGCTGCCCGAATTCTTGGCCAGGATTGTGAGAACCACTCGGCTCTGCGTTTCTCTGTCCAGCCTTCTGGAGATGGTGAGGACGCCGGTGTCCGCGCCAATGCTGAAGCCGCGGTCGTTGCTCGATCCCACCAGCAGGTAGAAAACGTTTCCATCAGGACCCGCATCTTGGTCGGTGGCCTGGATGGCGCCGATGCTGGTGCCGATTCCCGCAGACTCGGAAACCGTGAAGTGGAAAACTGGCTGCACAAACTTGGGGAAGAACTCATTCTCACCGGTTACGTGAACCTCAACCTTGCAGGAGCCGTACTGGGGCGAGTCAGGGTTGGAAGCCAGGATGTCCAGGGTGTACGCATTCTGCTCTTCGTAATCAAAAACGCCCTTTGTGGAAATTTTTCCTGAACGAGAATCGATGGTGAAAACTTCCCGGCCACTTCCGCCCACAATCGAGTACTGGATGATCGCGTTCTTGGGCGAGTCGGCGTCTGTGGCGTTTGCGGTGAAGAGTGCAGTTCCCACTGGCAGGTTTTCGCGGACGTAGGCGTGGTAGACGCTCTGGTTGAACTGGGGCGCATTGTCGTTTACATCACTCAGGGTCACCGTAAGCAGGGCCGTGGCGCTGCGCGGTTCGAAGGCCATATCAGTTGCGGTGATGTTGAGTCGGTAGAACTGGACGGTGTCATAGTCAAGGGGCCGTTTGATGGTGACCGCACCTGACACAGGGTTGATTTCAAAGTCTCCTTGTTCGTTTCCTGCACTGATGTTGTAGCGAACTTGGCCGTTGGGCCCGTCGTCACTGTCAGTGGCGCTCACGGTCAAAATTGAAAAGCCAGTCTGCTCGTTTTCAGGAACTATCACCTGGTAGCTCAGGGTGCTGAAGACAGGGTTGTGCCTGTTGTCGCCTGTGATGACCAAGGTCAGGCGAGCGTCCGAGTGTTGCGGAGGTGATCCGTGGTCAACGGCTCTGATCTCCAGGGCGTACTGCCGCAGACGATGGCCTGTCAAAGGTTTGGCGACGGTCACCCATCCTGTGGTGGGGTCAAGCTCGAACTGTTCAGAGCCGTTGCCTCCCATTTTCACGTACTCAACCTCCGCGTTGACTCCGAAATCCAGTTCATCCTTTGCCTCCACTTGAACGATTTTCTGGCCAACTAATGCGACTTCAGGTACAGGTGAGAAAACTTCCTTTGACCTGAACTTGGGGGCGTTATTGTTGGCGTCAACCACGTTGATGGTGACCAGGCACTCGGAGGACATGGGTGGTTTGCCGTTGTCAGTGGCAATCACAATCAGTTGGTGTTGGTTTTCAGGGGAGGGTTCCATTTTGGCCCTGGTTGCCGAGGGAGTGGCGTGTCTGTACCGAGCAGTGCGTTTGGAGAAGATCTCTCCCGAGGCAGGGTCGACGGTGAAAGAGTCCGAAGGCCTCTTCAGCGAGTACGAGATGACCGAATTGGGGCCTTGCTTGTCTCGGTCGGTGGCAGAGACCTGGCCAACGAAGGCCACACTCCTCTGCAACTCGGGGAAGTTGAAGTTGTAGTAGTCGTGCTCAAACTCAGGTGCGTTGTCATTCTGATCCTGGATGGTGATGGTCAGGGGTGTCTCTGCGCGCCACGAACCATCTACGGCGGCCACCTTGAGCAAGTATTCGTCTTGGGTCTCTCTGTCCAGGGGTCCAGCAACGGTAACATTTCCAGTCAAAGGATCGATTCTGAACTTCTCGCCAGGGTTGACTGTGAAGCTGTAGGTGGCGTTGGCATTCGCACCTACGTCCAGGTCTGAACTGGTCACCTGAATGACGAAAGCGCCGACCTCTGCGTTTTCGGTGACGTTCACACTGAAGAGGCGGGTGAACCTGGGCGGGTTGTCGTTTTTGTCCAACACCTGCACAAGCACGGTGGCACTTCCGGTCATCTGGGGGCGGCCCCTGTCAACAGCCTCCACCACGAGGGCGTACGAAGCCACCGACTCTCTATCCAACCTGACGCTGGTGAAGATGTCGCCGGTTTCAGCATCCATGGTGAAGGCCCTGTCCACATCACCCACAGGCCTCAACCTGTAGAGGACCTTTCCGTTGTCTCCGGAGTCTGCGTCACTGGCCTTGACCCTGAGCACCTTTTGCGGCGCCATTTCCTCCTCTCCGATGGTGGCGTTGTACACCTGGTGCTCCAGGACGGGGGCGTTGTCGTTGGCGTCGGTCAGGTTGATCAGCAGCTGCACCACAGACCTGAGAGGAGGCGTGTCCGAGTCGCTCGCCTCCACCCACACCTCGTACTGAGGCGCCGTTTCGTAATCCAGTCCTCGGCTCACGATGACCTCACCTGAGGCAGGGTCCATCCTGAGGGCGCTGCCAACGTCACCACCAGCAATCGAGAACCTGATGACGCCTGAGGCGCCGCTTTTGGGCGAACTGGCGCGCACCTTGGTGATGACCTGCTCTTCGGCGTCCTCCGAAAGGGTGAACTGAGTTTTCTGCGAGGTGATTTTGGGGAAGAGGTTGGCGGCGACCAGGTACACGTCAAGACTGGTCGAGGCCGAACTCGCCGGCTGGCCGCCGTCAGTGGCCAAGATTTCCAGGCGGAAGAGGGCATTGTTGATGTTGGCGGCGGCCGCTCGCAGCTCCCTGGCGGCGGTGAGGACTCCTGTGTTGGCGTCCAGCGCGAAAAGCGAGGCGTCCTCGCCTGCCAGAGAGTAGGTGATGCGGCTGTTGGCGCCGTCGTCCTCGTCACTTGCCCTCGCACCAAACACAAAGTTGCCTAAAACAGAAAGTAAAGTAAATAAGTGTGTGTCAAATATTTCACAAACAAACTTGATATTTCAATTTTTGAAAGAAAAGAAAAAAACTACTTAAAACTTGATTTTACTATAAATGTGAGAAAAACTAAGCTTCAAACAGTGGATTGAGATTTTTTCAAATTACTTAATTATGACTGAAAACTATTAAATTTATTTGATTTAAAATTTAACTAATCATTTAAAAATTTTAATTTTGCTACACTTTAATGAAAACTAAATTTTTATTTTTATTAAGCAATAAGCTATAAATTCTACTTGAATATTTTAGTATAAATTGAATTTTAATTAGGAAATAAATATTTAAGACTCAATAAATTCATTAATACTCAGAAATTTTGGGATTTATTTGAAATTCCATTATTTAAAATCAAGTTTTTCTCGACTTATTTCAATAAAACCACTTTCAACCCTCTTTAAAATTGAGCTCTGAAACTGCTTAAAAACCCAGCGAATTTATTGAGTTAGTTTTAGAATTTTCATACATATAAATTAAATAAATTTCTAAGTCGTACCTGGACCGGTGGTGTCCTGAACGTGGACGGAGTACTTTGGCTGCGCAAACTTTGGCGAATTGTCATTCTCGTCTCTCACCCTGATGGTCACATTGGCCGCGGCCGCCCTCGGTTCGGTGGCTGAAGAGTCCCTGGCGACCAGGGTCAGGTAATAGACGCTCTTGTCTTCCCTGTCCAGCTGGACGGCGGTGGTGATGCGTCCGGTGCCTGGGTCGACCACGAATCTCTCTGATAAATCACCCAGTAACGAAAACCTGCAAAAAAATAATATGTTAGATTTTTTTTTATTTAAATGAAATATTTAATAATAAATTATCAACGTATTGATAACTCATGAAATGCAATTTAATATAATTCTTATGTAAATTTTTTTGCCCTAAATTGCAGGTAAAAATAACTCATTCACATCATGGATTTGTGTAAAATTTCCCATCATTTTATAAATAATAAATTTAGCTTGACCGACCAAAGGAATCCATTAATGCCGCGCGGAATAACAATCAAGCTGGTTTTTTTCCAAGCTACTTAAAATGTGAATTAGACTTTTATGATAATATGGCAATAATGACGGGCATTAACATAATTTTAAGGTGCAGCGAGGAAAATGCGATCGAGGTGAAAATAATGCATCAGTCGCGAATTGTGTGGTCGCGAGCGAGCGCGGCAAAAAGCGAGAAAAGGGTTTCAGCATATTATGAGATGGAGAGGCGAAAGTAATAAAACACTGAGGGGACAAAAAGCGGCGCCGCCAAAGAAAATGGTTTTAATGAACGGTTGGTTAACGCGACTAATAACTGCATCGGATAATTAGTTTTTGATTTTCACACTCACATGCATTTCGAATGATTCCGAGTTTAATGGGCGCGCGAGCGGAATTCTCGTTTATTCGAAATGAAAATAATTCAAGCGACGCTGTACATAAATTTCAAGTGAGCGAGGTGCCTTACTGCCCGTGTGGGAGGATAAAAATGTACGTAAGAGGGCCCTTAATAATAATAATAGCGTGGATCACATGCGAGAAGAGCCCCGAGTGATATTCTCAGGCATTTATAATTTGGCATCCAACGGACTCGCCTGGGCGCGGCGTGTATATTTTTTTAAATATTTATCTCTATTTAAAAGTGCACCAGAAATATAATTTATCATTATCGGCCGCGTTCATTGATTTTAAAATTTATTCCACAATTAATCAAAACTTGTTTGTCTTTGAAAAACCGGCCGACTAATGAGGCCTGTCGATATTTAAAAAAAAAACTCGTACCTGAGGAGGGCGTTGAGGCCGGCGTCCTTGTCGGTGGCCGACGGCCACAAGACCTGCGTGCCGGCGGCCGAATTTTCCACCACCTCGGCCGAGTACGACTGTCGCTCGAACTCAGGGCTGTGGTCGTTCATGTCCTGCACGATGACCCTGACCGTTCCGGTCCCAGTCAGCGGAGGAGTACCTGAAATCAGATCAAAAGGAGAAATCAAAATTTGTTCTCATTTGAGGCGAAATATTTCGATTCAAAGAAGTCGGACAGAAATTTCCATCTTCTGGTCCATTTGGTAATTTTAATGCTTTTTAAAACGGAACTTTTTGTCTCTCGAGGCGGTTTTTGTTGTGCTAGACAAGCGACTGGCATGGTGATTACTGGTTATGGTGAGCACATGTGAACGTTTTCTCGCAGCTCACATTTGTTATATAATTTCCCCGGCGACTCTGAAGAATCTAAAATTCGTTTTCTTATCATTTAATCTGAATAGAAAATCAGAATCAAAAATGAGTAATTTAAATTTGAATTTCTAATAAAAATCTAAACGAACAAATAATCGGAGGGATTAAATTGTGCGTTGAATTTTCCTGGAAGTCTAAAGGAGGAAATAATTATCCTCTTCAATAATTACAATATTAAACGCCGCGAGTTCAACAGACCCTTATCTAGCGAGGATGGGTCTGTCTGTGTCACCCCGAAAAAGGCAAGCAATTTTCGCATTTTTATCGACTTGAATTTTTTCTCTCTCTCTCGCCGGTTCTGTTTTCGGAGGCAGCCGAGTTTGCTGGGAGCGATTTGGGCTTTGTTGATCACTCACATATTTATGAGTGCGGCGGCAAGGCAAGGCCAGCTAAAAGCATAATGATACACCGACAAAAGCGGCAACACGGCGAACCCTTCAGGGTGCGTCTGCCTGTACCTGAGAAAGATTCTCTATCTTAGATTAGGCGAGCAGCGAGGCCTCGGCGCGCGCGATCATCATCGCGAACCATTCTTAATTTATTCCCTGTTTGGCTAATTTTTCATTTGGCCAAGGCTGCCGTGTTTGTTTTGATCGGCCGCGCTCCTCGATTAGCCCAATTAATTAGGACCCTGCATTGTAATTTGCCAAATATCTTGATTTATCCCGCCGCCCCATTTTTTTTATCGCAATCGAATGCGTAAATACAAATTTTTGTATAATTGTTCGCACAACACCTGAGGCGTAAATAAATAGGCCTGCGCCTGCCCTGCACCCACCCACACCAGACCCTGAGAGTTCCCACACCTACCTATTTGGCATGTTGCCTGCATATTTACTTATTTATTGCAGACAGACTTGAAGCTGCGCGATCAGGAAGTGCATTCGTTTCGCTGCAGATGAGATGCACCGGCCGTAAATCAACGCCACGGGCAAGCGATTCACGCATTAAATGCACAATCGCGGTCTCGCCAACGCGCTCTTAATAGATTGCAACTTCTGCGCATAACGCGTAGATAAATTTATAAAGACGGATTTAATTTATTTATTATTAAAATAATTTAACAAAACTTGAAAACTTATATACAATATTTAGATAAATGCCATAAAGAATCAGTTAATCAGTTAAATGAATTACTTTGGATAAATTTAATGCCTCTTTTGCCCGAAACTGGTGGAAAAATTTCCATACCCCGGCTTCTTTATCCCTTGGATAATTTTTTTTATCACTTGTTTAAATTCTTTTAGCCTCAATCAACAAATTCAGGGGGCTATAAACCCTGCAATTTGTTAGAAATTAAATCATTATTCTAAATAATAAAAAATTATACTTTTCTCGCCTTTGCTTCTAAAAACAACGACTACGACTTGAATGCTCTCAGCCTCAGGGAACACCATTCAGGCGGCGATGAACTCGGAATACCTTAATTTTTAGTGCTTAGAGTTTCTTGTATATTTTTGTGTAGAGCTGAGTGATGTTTTGCGTTGTTAGGTTAATTCCAGTTCTCCGTTTTAATTTTCAACAAGAACTGTAGCGTGGATTCAGATAATCAATGCTCTGAAAACGATTTAATTAAAATGTTCAAATTTGAACTTTTAATTGAAAATATTAATTTTTAAAACAGATTGGGATTTCTGTTTCCTTAAAAATTCCATTTTTAGCCTTCAACAAGCAAAATCGTGATCCTGTAGTTTAGTGCGCTGCCGTTTGTCTTGATTTTTAAGTTTTAAATAGAAAAATTGATTTTTTATAAACTGAAATCCCAATCCGTTTAAAAAATCACGATTTCCAATTAAAAGTCGAACTTTTGACCTTTTTAATTCGTTTTTCTCACCCAGTTTCTGAATCCTTGATAAATTTCTTGGATAACTAGATATTTAATTCTAGTTAATTTATTCATTTGCATCTTGTAGACTTTGAGTTCATTCAAATACAGCAGCAGCAAGAAGTGACAAACGCGCGCATTCTTGGCTCGGCACTACTTTTGTTGTGTGTGTGAATGGCTGTGGAAACGCAACGCGGCGTCGGAATAAATAATCGCGGCAGAATAAATATCAGAAAGTGAAAACGCGCTCACCGACAGCTCGATTATTTATTCGCCCATTTATACGCACTTAAAGCGCAGTGGCTCTGCTGGCCTGATTGAGTCACTTGTTGCCTCTTTTGTCGCGCCGCGCGCGAAACAAAAGAAAGTGCGGTCCGAGATCTATCTCGGAATGTGGCGCAATTAAACAATTATGACACGCAATTTATTGGCAATTACCGCGATCGAGCAACAAAGAGGCCATTTTTCGCGTCGTTAGCCGCGCAAATTGGCGCCGCCGTGACTAATCATATTGATGCACCGCGCGGGCGAAAAGAAAACTCGTCAGGCGACAATTAACCGTGGGCGGCAACATACAAACGCCAATTAACACATGCGCCAAATTGAATAACCGAAAGAGATGAAAAGTGACCAAACGGGTTGACCGATTTTTGACCACATTTTTTTTAATTCTATATCAAACAGCTGAGAAAAGATTCAAATTTCAAGTGGACCGACCACGCTAACAGGTTTGTCAGCCTGAATTGAATTAGTGATCCAGGAAAGATATTTTTCACGCCATGAGACTGAAATTTTCACCATCATTCAGACACATTTTCCGAGATTATCCAATTTCTATAGGTAAAAATATTACCTTTAAAAGCTATTTTTTTTTCTAATTTTGCTATTCTATGTACAAACATGAGACTGAAAGCAATCGAAAGGAAATTTAATAAGCTTTCAAAACCTTATCAAGTTTGCTTCGATCAGACAATTTTTTACTGCAAAAAAATTTGGATTGTTTGAACAAAGTTCAATTTTTGGTCACTTTGTATTGCTTCTTTAGCTCTAGCTCTTCAGGATAACATTTTAGAGACAAATGTTTCATAAAAAACTTGTAGATAAATTAATTTTGCGCAAATTTTGTATTTACCAATTTCTTCTAAATCCAAAGCAGCAAATGTTAAAAAAGCGGAAATGTGGAAAAATGAGGTTTTCTGCTCAATGTTAAAATGTTATGGGTTAAAATCAAACATGGACGTAGAAGGATCAAAATCATTTATAAGTAATAAATCAAACCAATTTATTCATTTCATTTCAGCCATTCATATTTGAAGAGTTTCAACTGAATTTTTTAAATGTAAAAACTCTACACTTCAATTAATGTTCCAAACCAAGAATCATTGTTTTTCTGATATAAATAATCTTGAAAATTTCCCAGTGCAAAAAATAAAAAATGGAATTTAAGTCTTAATTGCTAATAAGAAAACTGATTGAAGTATTTTTTAGTCATATAAACAGAAGATTATTAATAAATTACACTAAATTAAATCATCTTTTATTGTTTCTTCATTGAAAGGAAAGATTAGTGAGATTTTTAATTAAAGATTTTCTTCTTTTTTTATTGGCATGTATTATTTTTTTCGGCGGGGAATTCAGTAACGATGGTCAAAGTTCGGTTCGGCTGAGTTCGGCCCATAAAATGCCCTTTTAACAAGGCTGTCAATCGCGATGATGGCCTCAAGTTTTGCACTCAAGATGGACGAGCGATAAAACTTTTCGGCTACCGCCTCGCTGCTGTAACTTTTTAGCTTTTTCATAATTTCAAATTAAATGCTCCTGGGAACATAACTCCATCGACAGATATTTTTACTGGCATAAAATTTTATAGCGAATCCGTCTCGCGGCGGCCAAAAGTCTGGCGGGCCCCGCGGCCAGCAGACGCGGCCGCGGCATTATGATAATTAGCCTTAGTACATATATCTGGCCAAGGCCATCAAATTAATAAATAATATTTCATCTATATAAACCGATTTGGTTTTTTTTCCTTCGAGTTGGCGTCCGGAGAGGGAAAAAAGTGGCTGCCTTTTCAAGAAGATATATCAGATCGTAATGAGGCCGGACGGCATTCCTGGAGGAGCCGGGCGGGCACCGATAATCGCGCGCGCGCTCCTAAAAGCTCGTGTTTCTGCATTAATGGTGCATGTCGAGTGCGAAAAGCAGAATTGTATGCAAATGCAGGCCGGCGCGATATATTTTATCGCCACCCTAACGTTTAACGTTTTTATTATTCAGAGTCGTTTGTCAAAAGCACAGGCTCCACCGAAATGCTGCTCTGGACCAAAACAAAAGAGCACAATTAAAATTAATTTAAATATTAATTTATTTATTTTATGTCTTAATTCAAATTAATCTTTGATCGATTAAGCGCCTGCAAGATTTTCTCCCAATTTAAAGTAAAATTTCAGTAATTTTCTTTATAAAAAGGATTTTTTAACAAGGAGCTTACGATGACGACACTGAACCATTTTTCATAAGTAAGTTTTTTATGTCGCCTGATCTATTGATTTTAGTTTCCATCTTAATTGGAATAATATGACTGTGACTTGGTTAAATTTTTGTCAATCTTGGTCCGGCCTACTTAAAGGAATTTAATTTTTATTTTTTTGAAATATTTTCATAAAAAAGTAATGTTAAATTTCAAAAATTCTGTTCTCCCAGCGACTAATATTTTTCGTACCATGTCTCCCTGGAACCTAAATCTTATTGTAAAAGCCAATGCAGATGTAGAAAAAAAATTACTATCAAAATTATAAGCGAAAGCCTCTCAAAAATGATCTCTAACATACAAGTACAGCTTTTTTTTTTTTTTGTTAAATATCTTGAAAAGTGTGGATATTTGTCCTTTTGAAGTCGGAATTAGC